TTGAAGTACCAAAGTTATATTAATATTTCTAAATCTCACTTCTTATCAGGATTATGATGAAAATCTTCTTTCCACTCTGCTAGACTATAGTCTGGCCACWTTCCATGTCATCCTCTTCATTCCTGGCAATGTCATTTCCTTAAAATGCAAATGTGTTCATGGTGAACCCCTGTTTAAAACCCAGTGATTCCCAAGGTGTTAAAAATAAAATCCAGACTCCCCAGCACGGCAGATGGTACTATTTTCTGCCTATCTTCTACCTCCTCTCCCCTCTAGCATTGAATTATCTGTAGGTCCACATTTGTCCTACATGTTCTCATCTCATGCTGTTTCTTCTGTCTGAAACACCTTTTCTGCTTCTGGGTCTAACTTAGGTGTTTCCATGACTCAGTTCACACTGAGTCACTCCCAGTAACATCCTTCAGATAYAATTTCCTTAGAAAGTTGAGTTCTGTGTCCTTTATCTATGTTTTCCTTATATCCAATATATCACTTTAAAAACTAAAAATTTATTTATTTAATTAWTTATTTAATTATTTAATAAACRAATGTGTTCACTGAACTGTCATTTGCTAATTTGTTCATCTTAGCTCTGGACTGTGAGTTCTTACAAACAGATATTTTTATTTTTTGTCTCTGAATCACTAAGGCTAAACAACAATTTCTGACAGTGAAGAGTCACCAAACACATTTTCTATTGAATAAATATAAATGAATGACAGATAATTAGTAATTTCCTACAGGCAGGGGTAATGTTCAAAATATTTAATGATTAGTTGCTAGAGGTACTKATGGGTTATGTCAGAATACTCTTAACAACTGCTGATGCTGTGCTTCTTGTACCCACCAATATCAATCCCAGAAGTAGGGATCTTTGACTTTTTTTTTTTAATATCAACATGAGAAACTATATATACTTTCATACCTACTTGTGTTTGGACTATTTTAGAAAAACATTGAGACATAATATGTGGGCAAGTGCCTTAATGCATGTACACAGAGACCAATTATGMTGTGTGGTTAAGTCACTTATGTGTGAAGATGAATGCTTTCCTGTAAAATTTACAATGGTGTTAATGTGCTGCTGGGCTTTGTCCTAATTAYTCAGAGGAGTGTTCACATTCTCCAGTGGGATATTTCTTGTTAAGTAGCAGTATGGTAAGAAAGGATCATTTGCACATCTTTAGAATCTGCATTAAATCTTTATTGTCTCATTTCATGTGTTTTATATCAGTAAACAATTCCCTCATCTCTTAACCAGTGTTGCCTTAGCTCATGTTTCCTTTTTTTAATGTACCCTATTGCAAATTCTGCAAAAACTGATTAATACCATGTTTCCATTCTCCTCTCCTACCACTCCAAGCCAAAGTATTCATTTTAGAAAGAGTAAACTTTTTAAAATACAGACGCAATCATGGTACTTCCTACCCCAAACCAATCAACCATTCTGCATCACTTATAAAAAAATTTCTTTGGGTGCTTTMAAAAAAATGAGTTTTGTAAAAAGTGCATGTGTCTGGGCTTTGTGCATGGAGATTCCAGTTTGGTAGGAGTAGGGTGGTAGAGTGGTACCTAGGCATTTCTAACAGTTTCTAGAGGAGATTCTATCTCATAGCCAGGCTGARGACTCCTCAGCTACAGATAAAGTCCCAACTCCATTACAAGAAGGTTATTCATGAACAATAATTAGCTATGAGATTTTGGCCAAATTGCCTACGTATTGGACCTTAGCTGCTTCATTTTAGTAGGGGAAATAGTGCTAATGTTGCAGCACTATGCTAAGTATTAGAGATAGGGTTGGGTCATGAATCATCCAAACTGAGATACTCCGGGACATTTTGCATAAATGTGGGCTATTCTAGGCAAATTGGGGCATGCAGTCACTATAATTTGAGAACATATATTGAATGCATTTCTCACAGTGGCTAATGTAGCAGAAGCTCAGTGGATCATTTTTATTTTTGTTCTTAATATTTGTTTTCCTCCTCTGCTGGAAGCCCAGGAACACAAGGTTATGATACAATGCACACAAATGGTATTTGTGATRTACTGTCACCAAAATCTTAAAGTTTCCTATGCATGGTCCTCTCCCCTCTGTTTACTATATTTTGTAAGCCTTGATTTCTCTCCCCTTTCCTYTTTCTCCCTCTCCTTCTCTCTTTCTCTCTCTCTTTTCTTTCTACCACTCTACATTCCTTTAATACTTGCAGGTCCCAAGGCAAGAGTGCAAAAGGGACYCACTTATAATTTTTAAAATTATAAAATATAGATTGAACTAACAAGCTTTTAAATAAGTGTTCTATTTTGATAACTACTAAAACAACATGGCAAATCCATATATAGACTTCTGCACAGTTCCACACAAGAACTATGGTGAGAGGAGTGCCAAGCGTGGACCTTGACCTATGGCCAGCCCCTCTGCTCTTCTTATCCCTGGCTTCATCTGCATTTCAGGACCACCAGCCTATTCAAGCTCTGTTCATCTCCTGCTTCCACTCTCCCTAGTAAGCAACTCTTAGGGTGTGTATTTGATTCCCRTTGCTGCTGTAACAAATTACTACAAGTTCAATGGCTTAAAACAACAAMGAATTTATTCTCTTCTAGTTTTGAAAATTAAACTTACTGGGTTTAATCCAAAGGTTGGCATTGTTGTTTCCTTCTGGAGATGTTAGGTAAGAGTCTATTTTTCTTGACAGTTCCAACTTCTGGATCTGTACTCYTTGAATCATAACCCCTTCCTCCATCTTTAAAGCCCATGGTGTAGCGTCTTCTCTCCCTCTGAACTCTTACTTCCCTCTCATGAAGACCCTTGCAAAGGCATTGAGCCCATTTGGCTACTCCAAGTTTCGAGGTCTTTAATTTAATCATGTCTGCAAAGTTCCTTTTATCATATAAGGTAGTTTACATGTTCCAAAGATGAGGATATTGATATATATGAGGCCCTTTATTCAGCTAACCAAAGAACCCTTGGGAGGATGACAAGAAAGAAGCYTGAGGAAACATTGGGAACATACTCAAGAACACTTAGGCAGACATTCTGGGCAGCCAGGTATGTGAGGGGTGGCCTGGAAGTCAGGAAACACTGGGGTCATAGTGGGCATGTCTCCTTGGCCCTYAGCATTTGCTGCCTTGCTCAGCCAGAGGAGGTTCTGCTACAGCTCACCACCCAGGGCTGGGGCTGTTGTAGAGGCACAGGCCAAAGGATGGTTCATTTCCTTTCCCCTGTCGATCTGGAAACCACTGTCTATTTTCCTTTCTCTTGATCTAGCTATAAGATTCCGCTGGAGGAAAAATTTCAGCCAATTGCTGTACTCGATTAAAAGTTCTTTTTCTCTTTTTGCATCCCTGCCTTTTACTTGTCATGAAAGATCCCATTCCACACCCACTCATTGTTTTTAACCATCTTCCCTGGCTTTCCCTTCCTTTGAATCTCTAATTCCATCCTTCCGCCACCTCTTCATTGTTCTTAAAATATACAAGACTTCACCTGCTTGCTGTGTTTAAAAAGTATGCTATCGAGCCAGCAAATTATTCCTGAATCCTACAACATTGTTAATTCACTCCTCTGATAATATTTCTTTTTTTTAAGTTTTAAATTTTCATCTACCATTTGAAGCCTGCAGATTTTCTTTTATAATCAAACTTAAAAATTACTTATTCTGCTTGTACATGCTGTATATATTTTGCTGGATTTGGGGCATTTGAATACTATTTCCACAGTCATAGAGTATATAGAAGAATTTTTATGTCAATAAAATAATTTTACAATGCTATTTTTCTCCTTTTAAGTTAAAAAAGTCTCTGAATACTCACCTCTGTTTTTACGMATTCTTGTTAATGCATGGAAAATTTGAGGAAATTATCAATGTTTTAAGATTCTTGTGGTTGTGAAAGAATTGCTGGGTTTTGAGAGTTTATGAACTATTACACAAACTTTATTTTTAAATAATTTTTTTGGTGTTTCTTCTTTTCTTAATGGGGCTTATATTATTCCTACGGATCCAATGAAAAGGTAACCTGCCAATTTAAACTTAGTTTTAGAATAATGTTGTAAATTTAAGTGAATTTTTGCCCAAGTCCATAATAATGTAATATTCCTGTAATGTGTGCTCCGTGAGGACATGTGTGTTCCTCTTGTTCGATGTTTTTCAGTGATGACTTAGCTACTAGCAGCTGGATTTTGATAATYAATTAATTAAATAAWTGCAAAAATGGTAACATTTCAGAATGCTCTTAAAATAATAAAATCATGTTCAGTACAGGCCATCAGGCCATGCTATTTCAATCAGAATGATAAGATACAGTTTTTTTTTAACTTTCAATCAAATTTGCAATTTCTTCTAGCCTATTCTGGTATAAGCAATAATTTATACCCATAAGAATACTAACTAAATTGTTTATATTCAAGGCAATACAGGTCTGTTTAAATAGTTTATGAACTGATAAATACAGAGGGCACTATATATTATTTTATATATAGTGAGAATTCTATATGCTCTATAGAATATCTACATAGCACAGAACTATGTAGATTAAGATAAATAAGTATCTTCAGCAGTTTTGGGAGATGAAAAATGTGAATCTCTGGTATTAAAGTGAGAAAAATATTTTCACTCTGTTCTTTTCTCCTCATTTCTTTTTTTTCATGACATTTTTTAATTTTTTTTTTTGAGTAAAAGAGGATTCTAATTTATTTGGAAATATTTCATGAATTTGGTTGTTAGAATTGCAAACATCAGATCATAACTATAATAGAGAAGTAATAGTTACTTCTCCTCATTTATTTATTTCTTTATGAATTGTTTGCGGGAATTGGTCAACGGTGATCTAGTCTCATAATAGTAATGACATACATGATTTATTCAGTGTGAAGGTATGCAATGTAGCTTCGTCATTTGAAAGGTTTACTTCATAATGTCTCTTTCCTTGTGCTATTGTCTTCCATGGCTTAAGCTTTATAAATGATTAAAGCTGTCATCTTTTTTATCATTTGTTTTCAGAATGGCTTCACTCCCTTATACATGGCTGCTCAGGAGAATCACATTGATGTTGTAAAATATTTACTGGAAAATGGAGCTAATCAGAGCACTGCTACAGAGGTAAGACTGCCAGTCCAAGTCTTAAGTTCTTTGATTATAATGTCCATGTTCTTTATACCAGTTGCAAAAGCTCTCCATTAACTTTTCTAAAACATGCTGGCAATACTTATAATTACAGAGTGGCTATGAAGAAATGACCCAGGCTTGTGCACACCGTTCCATGAGTTTATGCCCTCACTTTAGATTCACRGCCACTTATTCTTACATGAAATCATGCCTGTGTCAATTTGGGGTATTCTACTTTCRCAATCTTTATATCATTTTAAAAGTAGATTACCATGAATCATAATCATTCCTTTTAATCAATATTTTATCTGGTTAAATTCAATACAATTCCTTGAAGGAACAATTTCTCACCATCAGAAATAATTCATAAGTATTTGTGTTACCACAATTTTCTGAGGAAAATGTCACTAAAATGCTATTTATACTGAAACTGGAATATGACATATGTGTGTAACTCTGTTTATGGCAACCACTAAATACCATGATTGACATCAGTCCGGTTTCAAAGAGTTCATTCAGGACATCTAATCATACAAGGGATTGGGAGGGGGCAGGGACTCTCAGCACACTACTTTTCTTTCCTACACATGTCCACCTCATAAGAAGATTTTACTTTGTATTTTCCATCTCATTTTAGCCTAGGCAGATGCAGGGGCAAGTCCAGTGATTTTCCAAGAGAGTAGTTTCTAGGTGTTGCTCCTGAAGCCCTTGAGCTTGGAGAAAATGCCTTGGGGACTCTTGGAGAGCTGGGAGTGGGTGATGTGGGAGAGGAGAGGAAGGAGCCTCCACTTTGACTTTTCCCTCCTCACCTCTTTTAACCAGAGTATTCAGGCTTTGTTTTTCCTGTTTCCTATTTTCTAGCTCCACTGATACAATTTTACAACTCCAGGCCTGAAATGAAATAGGACTGCTTGAATCTTGTAACCCGGAAACCATCTTGATAATTTTTAATATTGAATATGGCTTCCTTTCCAGACAATTAAATCTTTAGGTTAAATGAACATGAACTTCKTTCTACACAACAATGGCAGTCATTAAATCTATTAAATCCACTTCCAGGCTGTTTGGGAGAAAACTATTTATGGAGCCAATCAAAATCACTTTCTGACAGTTTATTTCCATTTAAAAAATCCCAATAAATCACTCTTAATAAGAACACATTTCCTACTTATAATCAGAAAACGCAGCTGCCCAATATGAAATGATTCCATATTCTTTGTTCAGAACAGACAGATTTTGCACTCTTGCCATAGGAGTACAAAGTGATTGTTATGATTTGGGGCCTTTTTTTCCTGAGACACTAATTCTGTCCATGTGAATATCTTTAGGCAAAGCTTGGGTATCAAAGAGACTGTATCTCTGGGAAATATACCAAAATAAGGAAATCTCTCTAATGTTTTATTCTTTTACTTAAAAGACAGAATCACTTACCAGGTGAAACTTGTACACCAGAGCCCTCTTAGTCACCATATAGACTTAATGTCTCTAGTGGAAGATTTAGGTAAACTCAGCTTGCCGGGCATTCTCAGCTGACTCAGGCTCTTCTGGTCTAGACCTTTGCAGCATTTCAGTCTGATTCCAAAAATACCCCTTTTATGTACTCTGCTTTGGTAGAGGCAATGTTACATCGTGATCCAAAGAAACTTAAAACCCTCTCTGGTTTCTGTACCAAGATGCAACTTTTGCAAACGAACGGGATTTTTTAATCTTAGCTTAAACACATGCATACCTTATTTGTTTCATTTAAAAAATCACCTTAATAACTAAATTTAACTTTTCCTGATTGAATGTATAAAAGTTTAATTCATTAATACACTAGCACTGACCCTTATGATTATCAAAAAACACACATATGGACTAAACTTTACACATTGCATTTTAAATGTATCATTTCTGTTAAAAAAATGTTTGTAATGGCATATGGTTGGTTGTCATTTGGTATGTTATGCTGCATTGCTAAATATCTGCTATAWTCTCATGGGCACAGATGTGGTTATGCCTAAAGGAGACACCCTGAACTGGTTGTTAGTACTAATTTGCAAAAATTAATTACTAATCAAGACATTATGCCCACTTTAAAAATCAGATAATTATGGAATCATTGAACATGGCAGTGAAACTCATGTGTATGATGAAATATTTAAAGTTGCAAATTTCTCATGATTATAGCAGTTAGCATTGATACATAAATGATGAAAAATGAAGCAACTGTAATTTAACCTGGATTTCCTTGAGTTAGTTGAGATATTTCAACATATCATTCCAAATGAGGTATAGATTGGAATAAAATCCAATAAAACTTGGGTGGAGATCTAGAATTACATTCTCCAAAGAGAGTTTACTGTCCTTCCAGTACCATTTTTATATTTCTCTGCTCTTCCTTCTTCCTGAATGTTGCCAAAATTGAAGGCTGATATCTCTCTAATAAAGTTCCATTCTGAAAGCAAATGCTTCATCTCCAAGAAAAAAAAAAGTTCACACTTTTAAAAATATAAGCTATCACAGTGTTTCAAGAGGTAATAAAATATGTATATGATAATGACACTATGTTTTCCCTGTTCAACGAGTGCTTAATCTGTGCCTAAATTCTAAATTTAAGCTAGCTGCCATTTTTCATCTTCAGACACAACATTCTTTACTCTTTCATTCTGTTAAGTAATGAGTTATTACTAATTTTAATTCTAATCTTATTAAAAAGAAAAAAATTACTTATTGGGGTTAGTACTGCATACATAATGTGGTATATTTGAGAAAAATTATTTTCCTTCAAAAGGCTACACTTAACATTCTAAAATTATTATTGAAAACAAATTTAGTAGTTACATTGTGGTAAATTACCATTGTCTCTATAATGCAATCTTTAAATGTCTAACCTCCTTTTCAAACTTTTTTCCTATTATTTATTTATTTATTTGGTATCAGGGATTGAACCCAGGGGAGCTTAACCACCAAGCGACATCCCCCATCATTTATTTATTTATTTATTATTTTTTTAAACTTTGAGATAGATCTTGCTAAATTGCTTAGGGCTTCATTAAATTACTGAGGCTGACTTTGAACTTGGAATCTTCTTGTCTCAGCCTCCCTACCTGCTAGGACTACAAGTGTGCTCCACTGTTCCTGGCTCTTGACCATGTATCTTGACCTCTCTTCTGTATATGAATGGAAACATTTAAGATTTGTTTCTAAACTTTTGGGAATCAAGGAGGTTTTTTAACAGAAATATAGCCCAGAATATCTATTTTTTTCTATTTACCGATCACCTTTCCAGGAACTAAAGACTTGTTTTTAAAGAGAAAACATGATGTTCCAAGTTGCCTAGCACAGTTGTCTTTTTACCCCTGAGCTCCTTCTAATTTTGCATTATCTGTACTGTTGTTTGCTTAGCACTCTTTTTAACTTTAGATTTCAAAAATCAGTTTATAAATGTTTTATAGAATATATATTTTATATCTAAAGGCTCTTAAAGAAAATTTAGTTTAGAACAAAATTAATGATTATCCTAATTTGCCAAAGAGTTTTAGATCACATTATGTCCCAAACTTCCAAAATTGGATTGGTAATAGCCATTCCATCCACAATGGTTATCATTTTCCCAGCCAATACAGAGACATTGAGCAACTTGCATAGTTGATCGTGTGTGTGTGTGTGTGTGTGTGTGTGTGTGTGTGTGGTGGTGGTGGTGGTGGTGGTGGTGGTTACCATATTTGTGATTCCCAGTCAGATTTAAGTTCCACTCTATCTTAAGTTCCACTCTTATCTTCCCACATTTTCCTTCTCATAACCAGGCATTCCTTAGGGTTTGTTCTAATTTTTATTTCCCATTAAAATCATACAAGTGATCAATTAAAAAAAAAAACAATTACAACAACAAAAACATACAGGTGATCACATTCCGGCTTCAAAACAATCACACCCTTTAGGTAGTGTGCTTTGTTAGGATACATCTTTTAAAGAAATCTATAGAATAGAATTTAGGAAAGAAATCTGATTAACTTAGTCCACAGTGTGACAAATGACTAATTATGATCTGCTTCTGATCTTGCTTATCAGTGTTCATYACTACCTTAAAATTTAGAGACACCACTGCTTGGAGCTGAAACCTAAGAATCTGRATGTTAACGGAAGATATTTTTCTTCCTCGATTTTGCCAGGATGGCTTTACTCCTCTAGCTGTGGCCCTCCAGCAAGGACACAATCAGGCAGTGGCCATCCTCTTGGAGAATGACACCAAAGGCAAAGTAAGGCTGCCAGCTCTGCACATTGCAGCTAGGAAAGACGACACCAAATCTGCGGCACTCCTGCTTCAGAATGACCACAACGCTGACGTCCAATCCAAGGTAAAAGCTGAGTGCATCTGTTTAAAGGAACTCTGTGCTGCCAGATTCTTCCTGGGGAGTGATAAAGAAGTAGGCCCCGGTGATAATGCAAAATTACTCCTGCTCATGAAAAGAGATAAAATTACTTTCAGAGGTATTTCAGAAAGACGGGGTATTTGGGTACACTAGAAAAAAAAATTAAATGCGAGATAATTTTCTTTAAATGATGAGGATTGGCTATTGAGAAATTTGCTTCCTTCTGTTTACAATCATAAATAATAGAAAAAGAATCAGAAAGAAACAACTGTATTGCATAGTGTTTTGGGACTTTTTTCTGAGTAGACTACATTTTGGCATGTTGGAATAGTATCCCCAGTTCAGCAAGCAGATTGACTGTTTCCTTAATTTTGCACTGTGTAATATTTTCCCTCTTTTTCCCATACAACACTGCTTCAGATGATGGTGAATAGGACAACTGAGGTACAGTATTGTGATTATACCAAAATTTGCCTTATTTTTATTTATTTTTAATTTTTACCCAGTTAGAATAAATGCTCACTAATTCATACTAATGATTAAAATTTCCATGAATGGGAAATCATTTAGAAATTTTTCTTATAATTAAGGAAAATTGATAGTTCAAATATATTTAATGCAACATCTATTTGACGTGTTATTAAATCAACGAAACTATTTAAATACAAATTTAAAGTTTATGAGACTAGACCATGAAATAAAACTCTTCCTTAACATATTTTAATAAGTGAGCTTTACTCTTAACTTTTTGCAAAGAAGAGATGTGATCTTGATTTCTTAATGAGAATTCTCAGATTAAAGTTTAGGGAAGTGAAAATGAGAGAGGTTTCTCTGTTACCATGTTTTATATTTTTGTCTAATTGCAATTGCCTTTTTACCCCTGTATGCATTTTTCTTTATCACTTTGTTTGTAATCAATAATCATATCGAGCATATCATGTGCAAAGCAGTTACTTTTTTTTATAAGTCTTAAAACACTTGCCATTAAATCATTGTCCTCATATGAAAATAGATGACATCAAGCAACAAGAGTAATAAGTTTTGAAATCTCTCAGGGTGGGATATGTGTGTGTGTTTGGGGGTGGGGTCTAGTCTCTCCTTGGCCATTGCTGCAGACATGCCCTAACAGAAACATTGTTGAAAGTATATTATGGATATTATTCTATACCCAAAGACAAGTGGCTGATCATGTAGCTTGACTTTCACTGGAGTGAGGGAATTTTTTTTTTTTTTTTTTTTTTTTTTTTTTTTTTTTTTTGGTGCTGGGGATTGAATTCAGGACCTCGTGCATGGGAGGCAAACACTCTACCAACAGAGATAGATCCAAGCCCCTGAGGGAATTCTTTAACATCTTATTTGATTACTGGATTATGGGCTCATGGAGATTATGAAGCCTTGAACATTCATACTTAGTGTTGAACAATAGAGATGTATTTCTAAAACTATAATTTTCTTTATCGACATATTTTTGTTTTGAGATGGTAGCAGACTTGAGTTAYTTGTGTCACTTCTTTTGGTCCATATCTATGCATGGAACCTAGGTCAGAGACAAAAACAAAAAAACAGCAGAGGCCCCAAATCAATGCTTTGGTGAAATTATTCAAGATAGGAATTGTATAAATTGATCTTTATTACTAATTACTGATTTTAATACATTTAATTTTTTAGATGCTCTTTGGTGAATATGATACATTTTTGAAAACAGTGTTAGCTCTAAATATCATATTTGAAAGCAGCACTTTGGATTCAATTGAACTTGGTTATAAATATTTCTCTTAAGTTAATCGAGCACCAAGAATAGGAATCATTCCATCTGTAGTCTTGTGGAAGGGTGAACTCTGCCTCCCACTTCTCTGTTAATCAGGGAAGAGTCCTCTGAGAGGGCTTCTGTTAGTCTTGTGCTGTTCCAAGACTCACAGGCTGAGGCATTAGCCTGGATGGTCAATGCGGATGTATCAGACAATAAATTCATTTATTTTTGCAAATGAGAAACTAATATTATTATACTTGAATAATTTGAAAATGTTCTACCAGCAATCAGTATGTTTTTTCTGAAATTATAACTTGAATAATAGACATACATTCAGGGTATGCCTGGGTGACAGGAAATATCAAGATAAAAATGAAAAAATCAATTATGTTTTAAAATACAACAATTTGACATTTTATAAAATGATATCCGGAGTAGACTGACTTTTTTTTTTTAACATTTTGACATGACTTTTTGGCAGTACCTAAATGTAAAATAAAAATATCTTGACCACAGTTGTGGAATTTTGGATTGATAATTACTCTTCTCATTTTGGATCTTGCTTCTCTACAGTTAAAAATTATTTGCAGTTAATGTTGCTGATAGCACAGAAAAATTTCTGTTACCTAAGTTATCTGAGAATTTATTGAGAGTGTTTTAAAAACAAAACCACTAAACCCACATATCAACTCAATAGAAAAACAATGATTGTAATTTAGAAAATATTTCTTTTAAAGTAATATGGTACACATCAAAGTTCAGTTCAAATAAAAAAGAACAATAGAAAATAATCAGAAAACGGCAGGATGTCATAGCCAATTAATACTATTTTAAGTAATGAAAATAGAGTGAAGAAGATGATCAGATCTTTGTGCAATTTAATAAGAGTTAAGACATCTATTGTGATGATTAATGTCTTTTGGGGAGCAGGGGTTACTGGCGATTTACCCAGGGGCACTTAACTCTGAGCCACATTCCCCCTTCTTATTTTTTTATTTTTTGACAGGGTCTTGCTAAGTTGCTTAGGTCCTCACTGAATAGATGAGGCTGGCCTTGAACTTAGAATCCTCCTTCCTCAGCCACCTGAGTTGCTGGGATTAAAGGTGTGCGCCACTGTGCCTGGCCAAAAGTTTTAAAGCAAATTTTCATCAAAAATAAATAAATAAATAAATAAATAAATAAATATCTACTTTTCTTTACATAAAAAGTTCAGATGTTATTTTTTTTAACATTTTCAGAATAAATAATTTTCTAATGCCTGTATAATTGATCTAACCTGGTTGCCTTAATCATATTTTATTAATAAAAATTAGTTTAATTAGCATTCAAAATTGGACTATGCTGAACTTTTATTTTGTATTCATATTACTACCAAGTATATTATTTAATTTTTCTTTAAAATTTTTTTTTCATTATAAAACATAGCCTGATTAATCAGTTGTAAGGATATGGAAATACCATGACAGGAATTTGTAAGAATTTTCACAGTTCCAAAGACATAATGTCAACCAATGCTATTTTACAAATCAAGAACAAAAACACAGGTTTGAAACCTTCTCCCAAGGAAACCACATTTTTAAAATTCACAATGTGTTAATTCTATGGCTGAAACTTTATGTTTTTTAATCACATTTTGTTTTTCTCTATTATGCTAAATCAATTCAAGAAACATGGTTTGGAATAAGCAAATCTGATAAATAGATAAACATTTGTGATAATTAAAAATAATGAAACCAGTGAATGTAGAATATTTATTTCTTTATATAACTATATATTGCGCATTTACCTCTTTATGTAACTATCACCACATAACACTACAATTTGAAGAGTCTTTTTAAAGCATTTATTATCTAAATTATGTTTCTCATATATTAGGTAAGCGGTAAAKTATGTGATTTTCTTCATTGGTTTGGTGACCACAGCATAAAAAGTGAAATGCTTTGTCAACTGCCATTTCTTTTCTTTCCACAGAGTGGTTTTACTCCTTTGCACATAGCTGCACACTATGGAAACGTCAATGTGGCAACTCTTCTTCTAAACCGGGGAGCTGCTGTGGACTTCACAGCCAGGGTATGGATTGAAATAGTTTCATATCTTAGGCAGCAATAAACGGGTATTTTATGAAAGTAAAAGTGAACACCAATGGCTTTCTTAAAGATTTTATTTTTATTTTTTCCCCTTTCTTGGAACTTCCTAAAAGGTACTAGATTTTCCTTTTACTTTTTTTTTTTTATATCACAAGAAGTTCTTGGGATTCAACAAGTAAAAAATAGGAATGTCCTAAATTCACATGCACACAAATTATTTGCAATAGTTGAGGAGACTATTAGTTTTGACAACAGCTTTAGCAGTTATTTTTAAAGATCATTCTGAAAATGATGAATAATCAGCTACAAGTTAATAAACAATGGAATATTATACACAGAGAAATTTTTTGTTTAATGAATTGAGAATTCATTCATACGAAGAGTCTGACTAAAATATAGAAACAGAAATAACATGGAGTATTATCTGCTTAATGGTATGGAAATAATTCATTTACATGAAAGATATAAAATTCACATATGTGATAGTATATAGTATAAATCAATTAATGCAAGATTTGAATATTCAAAAAAGTATGACAAAATAAGGTACATATTCTTACCATAGTGATAATTTTTATTGTGTTTTTCTCCTAAGAAGTTTTCTGCACTGGAASTATGTTGTGCTGTTTTCAAGTTGCCTTTATTACTGAATTATTCTAAAAAATATGTTTATAAGAATCATTTTCCATTGGATATTAATATGTATATTTGTATGCTATTTTWAAAAACTTGTTATTTTTAGTTATGCATGACAGTAGAATGTATTTTGACATATTATATATACATGGAGTAAATTCCCATTCTTTTGGTTGTACATGATGTGGAGTTACACTGGTCATATATGAACATAGGAAAGTTATGTCCAATTCATTCTACCATCTTTCTTGTTTCCATCTTCCCTCCCTCCCCTTCACTCCCCTTTGTCTAATTTAGCTATACTTCTATTTCTAAGTGTAGAAAACTTTGAGATCCCAGACTTTTTAAGAACATGGATATTATCAAAAGACTTTATCCTAGGGACTATATYCTATGTTAAATAGAATTTGAGCTTTTGTTTCTACTACACCAAAGTTCTCCCTTTTCTACTCACTGTAATGTGTACGTTCAGTACACTCATAGCYATTGATAATTTATGCTGTTTTATTCCATTTTGTATTCTCTAACAATAGTGCTTTGTAGTTTGTGTGCTTCTTTGGTCCTTAAAAAAAATCAAAGATATTGAAACAGTAGAAACCATGGGTCAAATTACCAGGTGGTCATTTGTGCCCTTTGTGCCCTTTGACACCAAGTCCCTGCTATCATGCCGTCATACCCAACTTGCTCTGTTTTGTCTTTCCTTGATGTAGAATGGAATTACTCCTCTGCATGTGGCTTCCAAAAGGGGAAACACAAACATGGTGAAGCTCTTACTGGATCGAGGTGGTCAGATCGATGCCAAAACTAGGGTGAGTGTCTCTGTTCTTTAATTGACTTCCATTATAATTTCTTTCTATCCTCTTACCAATCACCTTAAAACACTAGTCAGTAAACACAGACAGTGTGTTTTCAAGGAAATTGCTACCTTGGATTTGATTTAAATCTCATACAATATTTAAAGGCTTCATATCATAAAGTGAAATTAGTATTTGCTCAGAAATGCCTGAAAACAGAATGTTAGCCCCTCAATGTAATAGTTTCACATTTTTTTTGTCTTACTGATTTTCTGGGAACAAAGATCAAAGATTGAACTTATACATCTCTCTTTTGRATAATTATAAATAAGAACCCAAATTTGTTAGAAAATATTGGGCTATGAGAATGTGATTTTTACACAAAATATTTTAATACATGCTGAAAATCTTGTTTCTAACATCAATTCCTAAGTCATTTTTCTTTCTTTTTTTTTTAAGTTGTCAGTGGATCTTTATTTTATTTATTTATATGTAGTTCTGAGGATCAAACTCAGTGCTAGGCAAGTGCTCTACCACCGAACCACAACCCCAGCCCCTTACATCATTTTTCTTAAGTGATTTTGTTAGACTAATCTTAACAGGGGATTTGCTATTATTCTTATTTAAAAAATACAGTTGTCCAATCTCCAGGACAAAAACAAACAGACAAAACCCCCAAACAATAACAACAACAACAAAAAAACAACAGTTGTTATTTTGTACATTTACTTGAATATCATCTTGATGGATATGCTATCCTTCATTCATTTCAAACTTGAGTAAAATGTCATTCTGTGTTTTTAATGTATTCCCAATAAATCAGATAATATGATGAGCAGTAAAGTACAATTGTTACTAGGACAGATTCTGAAAAAGACACTGATTGATTTCAGTCTCTACTTGCATCATTTTCTAATATGAATAATATTGCCATGTACTGATCTTCTCTGAATTWAAGCTAATACTACTTTCTACCTCATAAAGTTGTATGAGAATTAATTCTTAGCTGTTTATTTGCCTTCTTTAAAAATGTGGAATGGGTAAATGACTTAGCTACTTGTAATTTTTTAATAATATTGCTGACATTATATGCAATTATTTGCTTAAATATAATCTAGTGGGTTAATATTAGGTTTATTGAAGTAGATTAGGTTAATCATTGACTTTAGCAAAAACTTTAAATATTCCTGTAATATGAAAATTTTGAAATATGTGATATTAAAAAGGCTATGAAAGTTAATGGATAGAATGTATAACTTGTGCCGGGCATGGTGGCACACATCTGTAATCCCAGCAGCTCAGAAGGCTAAGGCAGGAGGATTCCGAGTTCAAAGCCAGCCTCAACAAATCAGTGAGACCTAGTCTGTAAATAAAACACAAAATAAGACTGGAATGTGGCTCATGGTTAAGTGCTCCTAGGTTCAATCCCTGGTATCAAAAAAGAAAAAAGAAAAAAACATGTCTCTTGTAATATTTTCTCTTTATTTTGATTAATTCTGGAACTTCATGTTCTCAGTCCATGCAATAAGGATTACATCTAGTACCCTTGCACATCTTGAGGCAAGAAAATATTTTTAAATAAATCTCACCATCTTTAAGTCTCCAGAAGCTACGCCCATCGTGGACTACAAATTCTGGTGTTAGATACTCTTGCAGAATATTGCTTTCTAAATCTCATTTTTCCAGGACATTTGGTTCAAGCTGGCTGTGTCAAATTACATGGGAATTCTGGAGCAGTTTGTTTTATCTGTCAGGAGCTCTGTTGTGGTGTCCAGTGTCTTTGCCTCAGTGTTTCATGTGGTTCTACCCTTTGCCTTGTAGGCATGTCACTTCCCTTGCTATGCTGTGGGCACATACAATTTGGAACTCCCAGAGCTGCATGCTTTACACCCTTGCTCTTTATATTTAAAGCAAAAGAGTTTCTGCATATTCCTCTATTACTATCACCATTACTAACATTCCTAACACAATTCTATATTACTAACATAACCATCAACACTGTTTCTCCCTTATTCTGACTTTTTTTCCCTATAAGACACCTGAGATTACCTAGAGGAAGAGCACTTTATTAATGATTTTCTGCACTATTCATTCATTATTCAGGCAGTTGATTTTATTATCATTGATTACCACAATATTTATTTAGCTCTTTAAAAGATGCTCCAATTTATGTAGCTCATCTACATGTCATACAATTAAAAAGTTTACCTTCCAAAAGACAATTCTTAGTACTTACAAAAAGTGGACTAAGAAATGAAGAGAAATGGAGTCTTATGCTAGTTCTGCCATTTAACTAATTACCCTCATTTTATTCATTTTGCCAGTTAAAAATCCACTGTGTTAGGAGGCTGGGAATGGAATATTTGGATCATTTTTCACTTCTCATAGTTAGATAGAGCAAATAAATTACTTTCAGGGTTTTAAAAAGAAAGATTTTCTGATTGTGTGGATTTCRAGGACATTCTATTCTTTCATTCTTTCAAAACATAGTTATTGAATTCCTGGTACTGTGAACCCAGAAGATACAAGTTAACAAAATAGACTAGATCTCTGTATTCATAGAGATGCAAAGTTCCCAATACCCAAGAGACGAGGTTAGCAGTGTGCTGTTAAAAGTTTAATTCAGGTTCTCAGAAAAGCAAAAGGAAAACAAAAATCTTGATTTGCAGTGTTTTCCTGGGTTTTTTTGGTATAAATAGCTCCACCATGGTCAATTTAGCTACCAATATGGTATCCCTAAATGCAGAATTGGGAAGAGATATACAGAAATTAGCTCTCTCTGCTCAGTGTGAGCTAGTTGGCTTCAGCACATGCCAAGATTGTGCACAATATGGAATAGTACAGTATTGGGCACAATATGGAATAGTACCAAAATGTTTCCCCCTTAAGTTCAAATACTTACTCTACTCTAAGTGGTAGGATATTAAAAGTACTGTTAAATTATTTTCATTCTGGCTGAAGCTAGAAGACCTATATCCCTGTTATCAAAGACAAACTCAAATAGGAGGTAAATGGGACCAAGACTATGGTCTGGAATTGAGAGGACAATTCTGGAGATATCCTATTTGATTACTAAAATAATGGACTATAAGGGCCAGGGGTGCAGCTCYGTGGTAGAGTGCTTGCTTAGCATGCGCAAGACCCTCAGCTTAATTCCCAGTACTGCAAAATAAATAAGTAAAATAAAAATTTTTAAAAATAAAATAGTAGTTTGCTTTTTCTTTTGTCCTTTGAAAATGTATTTTTAAATAAAAATATTTAATTTGTTCCTACTTTCATTTTAGATTATATAATAAAATTTCTATACATGAAATTTAAGATTATATCACTTTTTCATTTTTGTTACAGAGTTCTCAATTTCCTCTAGCAATCAAATTGACCATGAATACTCTGAAATTTTGTATATCACATTTGCATYTTGATGACATTCTCATCACTGACAAGGTTCTACTATGTAATTCAGAGAAATTTTAACCAGATCCCTTTTCTAGTGTCTAAAAATCCTCATTTTAATATTGAAAAATAAATTTTAGAAATAGTTAAAATGAACTTGTTAATTCAGGCATTATTAAGGGCATTATTCTTTTTTGTTGTTTTTAAACTTATTTATTATTTAGATGTGGAGAGGCCCCATGTGAAGATTATGTTTAAAATATTGAATTATGGATTTCAATGAAAACAATGAAAGTATAAAAAATTAAAGGATAATGAACAAAAAAAATCACACCAGAAAGAGGGATCACCCTTGCTACTATTAAAACCATAATAATAATGGCCACTAATTGTCACATGCACATGATGATCTAGGCACCCTACTAAGCCCTCTACGAATATCATCTTATTTCATCTTCCTAACAACTTGTGAAGCATATCATTTTTTTCTTGGTAAGAAAATATGCTGAAATTAACAGGTATTCATTTGAAAAATGAGACTACCAGAAGGGAAAAATGAATTTCAACCTAGTTAAGTCATATGACCAGGATGCACAGCTTAGTTATTAACATTTCATTATAATAAAAGGACTTTAGGAGCTATTGCTACAATGACCTACGCAGACAGGGAGGAAAGGAAAAGATAAAAAAGAAATGGCTCTAAAAAGCTAGTGCGGAGATACCAACTAGATAGATGGTAACCCAGCAATGTGGATTGATTGTCTCCTGTCAGAGTTATCCACATCATGGTGGTAGCACATCCATGTGGAATGAACTGCTCCTAGTGGAAAAAAAAAAAAAAAAAAAAAAGGAAGGGGACTTTGGAGAGTGAGACAAAAGCATAATTTTAAAAAGAAATGGCTCTAAAAAGCTAGTGCGGAGATACCAACTAGATAGATGGTAACCCAGCAATGTGGATTGATTGTCTCCTGTCAGAGTTATCCACATCATGGTGGTAGCACATCCATGTGGAATGAACTGCTCCTAGTGGAAAAAAAAAAAAAAAAAAAAAAAAAAAGGAAGGGGACTTTGGAGAGTGAGACAAAAGCATAATTTTCAAATTCAGGATTAAAAATTTAAGTAAAAATATCAGAATACAAAACTAGGGCAAGATTTTTTTCAGCATTAACTCAATACTGTACTTTGTAGAAAAGATTCAAGTTCTATTCAGATTGAGCATATTGAGCAACTTGAATTTGAGATCATCATTCACACGTCTTTTATAAGAACAGACACATTGCATCATTAAACATAAGATTTAGAACTAATCTAATCCATATTGTTCCTTAATGTTCTTCTAGGCATCTTAATGTTCTCCATGATGTTCCCATTGTTATCCTGGGATAACAATCATGTTGAGGTTTCAACATGATTACACAATGACCATTCCATGGAATTCACAGAAAACAGCATTCCACATTTTCTAAAAGTGATGTAAGGCACCATCTCCTACCTCATCTTCCATACAATGCTGTAAGTTAAACAGGGCAGGAAAAATCATCCCAGTTTTATATGTGATGAAGCTGAGTCTTAAGGAGAGGTGCCCCAGGCATCTGATCCGAGATTTTCCCCAGGTCTCTGTGACTCATTGCACTGGATGCTCTACCCACTACATGGAATTCCTCAAACTCAAGATATCAATTGCAGCATCCACCAGGAATATGAGCAGTCATACTATATCCAGTTATTGTATAGCTTTTATAGCAACTGTTGCTCTGTAGTTTCAGCAGGGTACTGTTATCAAGACACAAAAGCATAATCATTTTGCCAGCACACTTTCCTTTATAGACTCCTATCTGGTAAATTCATTAAAAAAATGTGAAATCCCACCTATGGTAAGTACTTTTTTCTGGAAAGGAAATCTTGTCATGTTAGTTCTCCTGTACCCCAAGTTGCAAAATCTTTTAGTTATTCAGTGTCTTCATATGAGCTAAATACATTTAAATATCAGACAAGGTCTTAGCCAACAACAGATGGCACACTCTAACTGATCATTTGATTAGAGTTTATTAAAGGGTCTATTTATAATGTCGTGGGTAGTCTGTAGGGAGGGCACAAAGAATAGTGTAGACTCTAGAAGCTTGTCACCACAGACCTGAAAGAAGAGGAGTAGAAGAGGCCCCCAGACCACGAAGGAGAGACACGGGTGGAAAGGCTGCTTTGGGAGGAGTTTAACCTTTGGTTATGGTGGGGTGCTGGGTGCCCCGCTAACATAGTTTCCTGCTCAGAAGRTGATGAGCTACTTGAGAAAATGAAAGTCTGAAATAATTAGCAAAGAAGTAAGAGACTAAACCAGAAATTAAGTTTGAAAGGGAAAGTGGAGCTCCTAATAGGTTCTCTAGTCCACCTAGGAGCTGGAACTGAATGACTAGAAAATGGCTCTGATCCTTTATATAAGAGAGAGTACATCAAAGGCAGGGATAAGGTTTCAGTGGGTGGAGTCTTGCTTCATGGTGTCTTGCAGTCAACAGGTTTATTGGCATCTTGGCAGCCACGCCCATCTCTGAGATGCTGTGTGGCCATGTGGCTGCAGCAGGTCACCCCATCTCCAGTGTAGTGCAGAACCTGACAGAACTAGGTCAATTTTAATATGTAATGGGTGATATCAAACCAGCAGGAGTGATGCTGGGAGTGCAGCTGGGAATTACCAGATACCAGACTTTCCCATCCAGTGACTTTCATGCCCACTGGGTTCATTCACGGGTGGCTTCCAGCATCTGGTAAAGGCACACAGCCAGACTTGGGAGATCCCTTGGAGAGCCCCATCCATGTCTTGCTGCCTTTCCCATTGGCCAGGCAGATGCCAGAGGGCAAGGTAGCCCACTGATGCAGCCTAGAGTCAGTCAGGATACAGCAGAGCGTGGATCTGGAGGGGCAAGTGAAAAATATCCAGCATGGAAATCCCAGAATATTATACCAGAATGAAATGTTGTAACTCAGAGGAATTATTTTTATTAAGAGTAAAGCATTACCTGGAAAGGTGGTCTTGGAAGAAGAGACAAAAAAGATAGACTGTCACAGTGCTGGATGAATTGGATCCTTCTGGAGCCTCTGAACTGAAGCCTTGGAAATACTCTTACTTGCTCCTGTACTTGGTTCTTTCTGATTGCTACTTGCCTTCTCCACCTCTTTCAAGGGATAATCTCTATTTTTTTTTCTTAGTGGGTTAATTATACATTCAGGATTCCATTTTCTCTCTCACTTCTTGCTCTTTGTTCCTTACAATGCTTTTGCCTTGTATTTCACCTCATATTCCCTACATACCCTGCCTTTGGGCCTTGCCATGCTTYCGGAGGAAAATAAAACAGAGACAGTGCACTTGGGAATTGTTCTGGAATCAGAACCTATCTCGAAAGTTTTCACCTCAGAAAATTTTATAAATAATATATGGTTGTACCACATTCTATTTGACATAGTTTTAATTCTACTATTAATAAATTTTATCTTTGGGAAACAATTATTTAAATATTTATGTAATGATGTAAATAATCATATAATTATGTAAGATATGTTGGAAATCCTTGGAAGAATCTGACAAAGACAAACATAACAAACCTTCCCTTCCGATTCACAAGCATCTGGGTGCAATTTAGGAAAATTTATTAAAGTAGTAGGATATATATGGACAAATTGTAAGAATTATCAGGTGAAAGTTGTGTTAGGATAACCAAAATGAAAAGAGTATAACTTGATGTCTTCCTGAGTTGTAATTCCAGGTGAGCAGGGTTTTCAAGTTCAACAAATGCAAAATGCGTTATTTCTTCATGACAAAGCAAACACATGGCCAGAAGTYGGTTTTGTTCCAGTGAAACCCCACACATAGGATTTCTCCTGCCCTCCTCCTGCTTGTTTTGTCTTTGGTTTTCTATTTCTCTTTGTGAAATACCCTTTCCATCTTGTATTCTCTTTCACTCATCTCTTTTTCCCTCTTGTAACTATTTGCAGTTCTGTTACTTTAAGCCCCGAGAGAGGGCTTCTTAAACAACAGATGTAGTCTCAGTTTAAAAAGAAAAGAAAAAAGTGAACTCAGCCCTAATTCTTTAATTCTTTTGGCAGGATGGGTTGACACCACTTCACTGTGGTGCAAGAAGTGGGCATGACCAAGTGGTAGAACTTCTGTTGGAACGAGGTGCTCCCTTGCTGGCAAGGACGAAGGTGAGTCATTATGGGTGAGAAGGGATCCAGGATACCCTTTGTGTCACTTTGTAGAAATTTATTTTCTTTTTGAAGTTAAAGAATCAGTTAAGCATTTTCTAGTTACTCAATACATGTATACTCAAAATGAGAAATATAAATCAAATCAATTTAAAGTTATTAAAATGAACATATCCATGCAATTAAGTTGTATAAAAAGTGTATACCTCCAGGTTCTTCCTATATTTTGCTGTACTTACTACAGGTGAAAACTATATAATTATACATAAGTAAGGATATCAAATAAAAATTAGAATATATTTTATATTCTGTGAGTCTAAATTTTGATTCTCTGAGATAATCATAAAAAATATATAAATATCTTTTAAAGGAACACAAATAGCAATAGAAGATGGATCTTTTGCRTATATAATTTTTATCTTTTAGGCAATACTAGTAAAATAATTCCTTAATGGTCTTGGTTGATTACATTTGGATTAGGAGTATGATACAGAAAACATAAGATTGTCCACCTACAAAGAACCAATCAACAAGCATATTATTATTATGGCATAATACTTCTAGTATTTTTTGTTTTATTTTGTTAATATGCTTAAACATAAAGTAAATCCTTTTCTATATAAATAAGAACCACATGGTTAGTTGGTTTGTTGGAGGTTTTAATTATCAAATGTAGTTTAAAAGCTTTATTGTGGTGTAGTTTGCCATTATCTAGCCTTACTTTGGGTTATCAGAAAATATCATGAAACAGATTGATGTTAATCATCCAGAATTATATAATGGGATATGCAACAACTTTTGGATCATTAACTATAACACCAATTTAGACCAARTACACTTCTTATGTTTTTCCTCATTTCTTCCCCACCTCCCACCCTCAAACAGGATTGATATCAACTGATGCTTGTACTTGGTTCAATTAAAAAACTAAGGCAGCTGACCCAAGCAAATATTTTTCAATTTATATTATATTTCAATTGACTATTTAATTAAAATCATCCAGAACAAACTAAATTACTCATTTAAATATATATCTAAATATTTATATTGTATTGGAAAAGATGAAGTAATCTGGTTGAAGTGAGATGATACCTCTAATCTAGGAGGTACCAGACCGCCCTCCCTCTTCCTCCATAAAAGCTCTTGGTTTTGAATCACCCGCAATTCCTCCTTGAAACAACTCCCCCTCAGTCTTTCAAAGTTCTAACTCTCAGTTAACTGAATCTTTATCACAATTCATTTTGAATTCTTGGTAGTTTTAATGACCTTTATAAGAGCAATAGATTTAACAAATTATTTAAAATATTAATTTGTGTGTGTGTGTGTGTGTGTGTGTGTGTGTGTAGACAGAGAGAGAAAGAGAGAATCAAATCTTTAAAGATGTGTCTAACCAGCCATGGAAAGGTGGATTGAAATCAGAAATAAAAAAAGAGAAATAAATTATCTGAATTAATTAATTGCATTATCATATTGATACTGCAAGTGTTATAAAAATATATTTTAAAATGCAAAATTTGGGGATGGATAATGCAGAGATAATTATGAAAAGTTTGGTTGAAATTTAAGTGGAAATAAAATTTTGGACTGATCATTTTATAACCAACAAAAACGTATATCAAATTTAGGATATGCAGATATTTTATTCCACAAATCAAACAATCTTGTCTATGATGTTTTCCCATAACTGTCATATCATTAATGAAGACCCTGGATAACCAAGAGGGGGTTATTTTAATGGCCTTCTGAAAAATCAAGTGATATTCAGATGTAAGGATCCAACATAAACTGTTCATGACATGATTATATTCATTCACTCAAGCATGCATCCAACTATCATATTGAGATAATACAGTGTGCCAAGCAGCGTTCTGCACACCACAGGACTATTAAGATGAATAATGCACAATTTACATCTTTAAGATGTTCAGATTTTGGTGGGAAAGCTAGACAAGGAGATAATTACCAAGAGTAGAGCTATGTGCAGGATTAGGAACATGGATAAGATGAAGTAATCAGGTCAGAGTGAGATGATACCTCTAACCTGGGAGGTACCAGACTGCTTTCCCCACCTCCTCCATGAAAGCTCTCAGTTTTGCATCACCCATGATTCCTTCTTGAAACAACTCCCCTCCCCCAGTCTTTCAARTTTCTAGCTCTCAGCAAAATGAATCTTTACCACAATGCATTTCGAATTCTTGGTGATTTTAATGATCTTGATAAGAGCAATAGATGATTCTTCTACCTGGCCTCTTGGTGCAATAACTGTAAACCTTCTATTATTTCTGTTTCTAGCCTTCCCAACTCCAAACCACCCCCTTTTATATTTCAGCTCACTTTATCCAGAACCCACTTGCCCAAATTTTCTTATTCTGGTGGGCCATTCAGTCATAGCTTCCCTTGTCTCTCTTCATCTTATGCCCTCAATTCTCAATCAGAACCCACACGGTCTATGTTCTCTTCTCTTACTATCATCTAACACAACTCCTTACTACTCCTTTCTCAAAACACCTTCCTTATTTGCCTTCTAAGAAATTACATTCTTCTGGATTTCCTTCTGTTTTTCTGGCTTTCACTTCTTAAGCTCTTTAATGAGTTCCTCCTCAACTCTCAGGTCTCTGAACGTTAGAACTTCTGGAGCTCAGTCTTTGTGTCTTTCCTCTGTTTATTTGTACTCACTCCCTATGAACTCTTTAGATAACATCTTCATGCTGATGAGACACAAATATATATATATATATATATATATATATATATATATATATATATATATATATAAAATTCCATATGTTGATGTCAAGTCACCAAGACTATCAACTGGGCGTCTCAAATTTAGTAAGTTCAAAACTGAGCTCCTGGTATTTTCCTCACTCCTAACCATATCCTCCTATAGCGTCTCTTATCTCAATTCAGAGCCATCCCTTTCTTCCAGTTTCTTAGGCCAAATGCCTCACATCATGCTGGAACCCTCTCTTACTCTCCACATTCAGTCCCTCAACACTATAGCTTTCTCCTTTAAAATGTGTCATTAAGCCAGGAGCTTCTCAACAATCTCACTATTACTAGTCACCATCCCACCTGGATGGTTGCAAGAGACCCCAATTTGACCTTTCTTCTTTTCCCTCTAGCCCAGTCTATTCTTTTTTTTTTTCAGATTTACAAACCAGACAATGGTATTCTTAATACAAGGATCACTGCAATCTTGTTGCCCTAATTCTTTCAGCAGTATCTCATCTGAAATAAAGTTGAATTCCCTGTTCTGACATGCAAGGTTTCTCACCTCTCTCAATTCTTCTCCCTCCTAACTCATGTAAGCAACATGATTCTCTTCTTTGCTGCCTATTGATCTATCATGCCAGCTGTGGTCCCAAAACAGCATGTTTCACTTATTTTTCTTCTGCCTCATATGCTCTTTCCCCCAATCAATAACGCCAGCTCTCTTATCTTCATCTTGWCGAAACTCACCTTCTCAGTAAGACCATTTATGGCCACCCTAACACTGTTTCATTCACACCCACAAACTCTCTTGGCCATTTTCTGCTTTGGATTTCCCTGATGCAATGATGATTCAACATGTGAAATATTTTAATTTCAATCTTCATTGTTTTTGAATTATATATCTATCTCCAACCTAGAAGTTAACCTTGATGAAGATGAGCATCCCTGTCTGTGTGTATATCCAATACTTGAACAGGGACTTGAGTAGGTTCCCAATAAACTAAAGTAAAATAAAGGATTATAATGGTGAATAGTTTATTTTCTACATATCTCAAGTGAATAAAGTAGCATCAAAGAATAATAAAATTTTGGAGAAATATTTAAAACTGCAGTCCAAATAATAAGACTTGTTATTCACTTAGACATTATCTTTGTCTCTAATGCATGGATAAATTCTTATTAATGTGCTTCTCTTTTCTCTGTTCATTAATGGCTTTCTACATATAGAAGCAATAATTTTGGATAGAGATTATTTTAGAAACAATGAAAAATATTATTTTTTAAGTCACTTGAACTCTATCACCCACTAACTATGGTAATCAGGACTTTAATCCATTTGTTTTTAGTCATTTCTCACTGTTGAAATTGTCCTTCTTATTGAGAATATTGGAGTGTGGGTCTCTTCTGGCATCTTATCCASACACAATTTTTACTTTCTTGAATGTAATTATTACCAAAGTGTGGTTATTTCATCAACAATCATTTTTCTAGTGACTATATTAGAGTTGGTTAATAAGAAAAATTAATGGTACAGTCTGTTGAATGGGCAAATATTGCTTAAACCTAGTTTACTTCCTGGTTTTGCATATATTTCATATACACATGTATATTACATATACAGTTTATTTATTTAGTGTTTTCAAAAAAAGGAGAGTCTTACTTACTTACTTACTGGTAATTAACAGTGCATAGCACTGCTATCTTATATTTCTGCTGGTGGGAAAGATAGACAAGAATTAAGGTTAAAGTTGCTTAGGACAGTATACATGATGACAAATTCAGATCCTCAAATTCAAAATTGTGAAGTCAGTACACATGGTCCACATTGGCTTCACGTTCCTCTAGGGTTCAAGCCCCAAATAAGACTCATAATATTATTGGAAAATGGAATCACRGAATTTCAGAGCAGCGTAAAACCAAGAGTTGATCAGTTTCTTTACCTCYGTGAAGCATCCACTTGTTCCTCCTTCACTTACCTCCCCCTCTGTAACAGATGAAGTGCTGGCAGAGAGATTAATTGAATGTTGACTGTTGTATATGGAACTGGATGCAAATAATTTAAACATCAACTATCACTTATTTTCATAGATTTAATACTGCCCTAATAATTATAAAATCAGGCTGCATTTCCACATATATTATTGCCATATATATTACTCATGAAAAGCATGTTAATATGTGTTTTACCTAAAAGTAGTACAATTATACTTTCCTTTCCATTGAACATAATCTGTTATTTATGCAGACATCAAATCAATATTATTTTCCCACCTATCACTTATGTTAGAGATCAAGGATTGACTCTGCTGTGTTTCACAAACTTAAAGTCATTTTTGAAATGGTAAACATAGTTCTGCTTTGTTTTAACATACAGAATGGGCTGTCTCCACTTCACATGGCTGCACAGGGGGACCATGTGGAATGTGTGAAGCATTTGCTACAGCACAAAGCACCTGTGGATGATGTCACTCTTGACTACCTGACGGCCCTCCACGTTGCTGCACACTGTGGCCACTACCGCGTAACCAAACTCCTTCTGGACAAGAGAGCCAACCCCAACGCCAGAGCCCTGGTAAACCTGGCCCAATCCACATTTACCGAATACAGATTGAGACAAAATCCACATTGATTGACCAGTGGTGCCTACACCAGCAGTGCATGGTTACAGATATATAGTTAGTACTGCGAGTTTGTCAGTTTGTCACCTCCCACAAGTTGCCTGCCAACTTCATGCCTTCATAGTTTGCTGTTAAATGATGGTAAGCAAGGATGGATTTAAGAGAGCACCCAGGTAACATTCCTGAGATGAGTGAATTGCAAACAGATAGATACAAAGTTCTGGAGTAATAAGTGATATTAAATGGAAAATAGAAAAGAAAAAAAAAAGGAAAGTTCTAGATATCTCTAGATATTAAATAGAGTCAGAATACAGGTGTGTTGAACTTTATTRATCTCTTTTGGGAAAAAGAAAGAGTAAAGTAATGACTGTATGTAATACATAGGATAGTATAAAATAAAAGCCTGTGAAAGTTCACATGCAGATTTTCCTTTTTGACCTGATCACCCAACCATAGGTTAATAGAAAAGTGATGCCTGGTGTACTGTCTCTTTGGGAAGCATTTTATAGAAACCATTCCAAGAATTGCTCAAGAGAAAACTGCAAGAGGCAGTCCTTAGATTAGCTTCTGTGTCTCCCAAGATCTAATATTAAATAAATCTTCCTTGCTTCACTTATATTCTAACAGTAATCAYTGGAAGTTTTAGGCATGTACTAATTCATGCAACTTGTATCCTAATTCTCAGACTAAAAGCAAATCMTTTTTCCACATGTTTAAATGATTTWTGTCAGTGCAGATTCCTCTCTAATTAGTATGTAAGTTGAGAAAAATCATTTATATCATTGAATATGAATTATTATTCTTATTTGAAATTTTCCATTGGAATCAATTTATTAATAATTACATAGGAAATAAATCTACCCCCAAAGGTACAATTAGGTGATGGTATTCATTTTTTCATAGGGAAATGAAGTATTAATTTTTAATTGAATAGAGCTCAATAAGCTTATGAAATATCACAATCTAATAATTGCAGATATATTTTAAGTGCTACATGTTCATATGGCTATTTATATCTGGCTTGTTATACAGTCTATAAATAGGTGAATGACTCAATGAACTAATTATGTTTATCACTTCACTGTGAAGGATAAGAAGTCATTAGCTTAAATAAAACCATGTGTTTTCCTGAGAACTGCTAACATATAAAAATGTCGATTGATGATCATTACCCATTGGGACATGTAAAACTGTTAACTGGCAGAATAGATATAACTCAATAAAGGGTCAKTGTTCAAATAAAAAGATGACAAATATAACATATAATGCTTAACCTTGGGATTAATTAAAATTTCACATAATTTCTCCAGTTCCTGGACATTCACCTAGTTTGCAAGGTTACAAAGTACCTCATAATCATCTTCCCACCTTCCCTTGCCTCTCAGAGGTATCTGCTTGTAATGATCCCAGAAATTCTCCCTTTTTATTGAAAATATTCAGGAACTTAGTYATTTCTTTATGAAATGAAATGTGTCTGATTGGCATATATGTGATAAATATTTTCAATAGAAAAACAACCTCGGGATATAAATCTATAACATAAATAATAATTTCTGGTAATTTGAAACAYTTCATCTCTAAAGAAGAGGATAGCAGAGCTGAAACATTACTTTCAAGGCAGTTGTCAAAGATTTGCAAAGAAAAATAAGCAATTCTTATGCTCTGAGAATGGCTCTTCATCATGAAAACACATTCTTATTTTCAAGGCATCTTCAAGTCATTTCATCCAAGAATATCTAAAATATAATTGCCCCTCTATTTTYCCTTCTCTGAAGAGTAGGCCTGTGTATTTTTCTTCTCTTTTTGTTGGCTTTGTAAGCACACAAACAGAATTAAGAACAGGCCCGACGACACAAGGAAGCAAAATCCAGTGCCCATAGGAACACACCGCCCCTTTTCTTTCCAAATTCAGACACCTACAGAGTTTGAAGAAATGGTGACATTTTGTGACGATGTAACATTATTGCCTGCAATGTGCCAGCATGGAGTTGTGTGAGAATCGTTTCTGCATGTTTTCAACTAACTTGATTGTCTTTTGCACAGAATGGTTTTACTCCACTGCACATTGCCTGCAAGAAAAACCGCATCAAAGTCATGGAACTGCTGGTGAAATATGGGGCTTCAATCCAAGCTATAACAGAGGTAGAAAAATGTTTCAGCTCATCAGGAAACATTCCTTCTCTTACTCCTACCCTTCCTCTCACCCATCTTCTGTCCTCTTCACCAAGTTGTATTTATCTGAAGAAGCCCCAAAGTCCCACCGGTGCAGAGGAGTAAAACTGCTGTTGCTTTGTTTCGCAGTCTGGCCTCACACCAATACATGTGGCTGCCTTCATGGGCCACTTGAACATTGTCCTCCTTCTGCTGCAGAACGGAGCCTCTCCAGATGTCACTAACATTGTGAGTATGGCTTGGGTCAGAATAACCGCAGGGACAAAGAAAGAGAGGAGCTGAGAGTGTGGGTGTGTGTAGGTGTGTTTGYGTGTATATCATCAGAGCCAGCAACCTAGCTTTGAGAAGGGCCCTCATAATAAATAACATACTGTGAAATAATTGCTGGAACATCCCTGAAAAGAACCTCCATAGGTAAGAAATGGGCTCAAGAATGAAATGGGAGTTGTGAAGTGAGACAGCTTGAGCTACCCAAAGTAGATGGATTGAACATGCACGTAACATGCATTTACTCAAACTACATTTTAAAYACTCCTCTGAGAGTGAATAGATGATTGTTGGAAAACAAAAAATCTTCTGGGCTCATCCTAGTTGCTTGAGTGAATTATATTCCAGATAGTTTTCAATAAAATTTCAAATCAGTTCCATAATCAGTCTTATCAAAAGATTAACTAGAGATCAACCAGGCATTAAATAGAGATTTTTTTCCTTGATAACAACTTCTTCCTCTTTTCAATGACATGGATTTTCCATTTCCTAACCTTCCTTTGATTTTTAAATTTTGATTTAATTTCCTCTGCTGGAGTGGAGACCTGTCTTACTTGAAATAGTTACACTCTCCCAAAATGAACTTTGATCTCCAGTCAACTTTCCTTCTGCCAGGAAATACTGTTTATCCCAGGATCCTTCTATCTAAYCTAAATTAGGATTTTTTACTTCTGAGTTCTTTATATTTCTCTCACTTTTGTGGGTTCTTCCCCCTTTAAACTCTGGCTATTATATCATGGAAAACCATCTAATTCAAATTTCCCCTGAGCAAGGGCACTGTCTTGCACATGTGCCATCATGTATCAGAAGCTCAAGAGTGGCCACTGGAGTATTGGGATTTTTAAAAACATTTGCAAAAGAAATAACTATCCCTCAATAAATGTTAGTYACATTATTAAAAATGAATCATGTTTATAGAAGCATTTGCCTAACTATTGTYGCTGATTTTTATTTCATATAAGTTGTGAAACAGAAATTTCCAATTTTGCTTTTTTTTTTTTTTTAATTTCCCCTCATATTACTGTTTTAAACATTGCTTCTTTGCTAAAGTTTTTGATGCCTAGGCAAAATCCATTGTGGAACTAAACATTTTTTTAATTTTAAATATTATTTAATACTCTATATTATCCAAGAGTTGATGCATAAAACTATTAAAGTCTGTATTTTTGTTTTCCTAGTTATTGATTTTTGGTCCTAAGTTTACACTATTATATGCTAATTGTTACTATTGTAAYTATTAAGCAGATGTAATTTCATAATGTGCCAACTTGAGTTTAATTTCTAGTCACTTTAAGAACTCTAAAAGAAGGCATTTTTTATTTATTAAGATATGATCAAAAAAATTTTTGACTTGAGTAGGTTTACATACAGGCCAGTAACTTAAAAAAAAATACTGTGTATATTCTCCTATTCTTCTCGCCCATCCCCCGCTTTCATTATTTGAATTCAATACTCAAAAACTCACAGGAACAATAATGATAACATGTTAAATCGCTATCATATTACAATAATAACAAATGCAATTATATTCCATGGGGTTGTTTTCTTAGGGGAGATTTTTTGTAAAATCTTTGAGAATAATCCATACAAAATGGTTGTGGGATTCTGTGACCATTCTTGCTTTGCTTCTTAACTGACCAATTCCAAATCTTTGATGGCTATTTCCTCCCAATATGTTCCCTTAGGGATGGGAGAAGGGAAATTATAAAGAAGACATGTAGATTTTTCAATAAAAATAAATAAAACACTAATTGAAACAATAAAAATGTTCAATCTCTTAAAGACTCCCAAATCTGGCAATTAAACATAAATCTATTAAACATAACTCTCAATTAGTCTTTCTAAAGTTCCTCATTTTGTTCTGTTCATTTGTCCATTACGTTTTCTTCCCCTCCAGCCCCCTAAAAACAAATTCTTGAGAAGCACCTGCCAAWCTAATCCTCTTCTCAACAGGGTTCCTAGTTGGTTTTGTTTGTTCATTGACTTTTAGAAGATGTGTTCTTTAGGAAGTATACATCTGTAGTTAGAGTTGCTAGATAAAATACAAGATTCCCCATTAAATTTAAATTTTAGATAAACAATGACTTTTTTTTAGTATAAATATGTCCCATGCAATAGTTGAGACATACTAAAATAATTATTCATTGTTTGTCTGGAATTAAAATTTAACTGGCCATCTGTATTTTTATTTGCTAAACCTGGTACTCCTACATTTAGAGAATTTAACTTTCTCTAATGGTAGGATGCCTGTGAATATGAGGATATAGCTACTCAATCCAGAACTCTTTGCAAGTTGATTAAGAAGCCGTGTGAACACTGATTGCCTGCTTGCTGTGTTAGAGTTGGTCATTTCCTGACCCCAAAGTACCCCACCCTTGGAGCCTCTGTGTGCTGCCTGATATCATGTTGCATTTTTGAATGCAATGCTGTCTGTTGTGCTTTGATGCTTTCCAACTTGATGCAGCCAAAGTGGAAGTCCATGTAGCTGTCTGCAGTTGATTTTAACAATTGAGAAGAGGAGCATGAAACCTAGTACCTGCTTTGGACATGAGCATATCCATTCTCTTGCTGGTCTTGTTTTTGTCTGAAAATTCACTCCAATGTAAAGTGTACCAGTAACTCAATCAAGTGCAGATATTTTCCCTGAAAAGCTTCTTTTGCAGGAAGCTTATAATGCACCTTGAAAACTGCCCTACCAGTTACAGTACACTCATAAGCCGATATATTCATTGACACGGAAGTAGAAAAGCAAGCAGTTTTAGGACTATTGAGAGTAYAATCATGCAGGTTATTAAAAAAGCATCTCTTCTTCCTATAAGTCATGGTGAAGTTCACACTTTGCATTATGTTTAAAAAATTTCCCCCAATTCTTAAAGTTAATTAAGCTTAAGATAATGAAAACAGGCTAACAATCGAGAAATTGAAATTATTGAGGTAAACAGTATATACTTCCTTTTATTTTCTTATTTATACCTATGCAGAAACAGTGGAAATACAAATAAATAATGAAGGGCAAGGGCAATTTATTATAAATGCCAATTGCTCCAGAATCATTAAAAAAGAATTAAAGACCATCATTAAAAAGTGGAAGGACCAGGTCTGCATACATATGTAACTTTTCTTTAAATATGAAGTTTAATACTTTAGGTTCATATCTAACTCATTAATTTCATATGTGTAAAAATCATAAAAATAACTTGTTTTATGTATAAAGTAAAGCTTTTCAAAATATTAAGACTAGTACTGAAAACATTTTTAGATTTTGACAATTCCTATTGATAAAGCTTGGCTTRTAAAACAAACATGTAAATTCACCATTGAGTAGAAACTTCTGGGGCCTCTTTGACTTAACCTCTTATCAAGAAATAATTTGTTCTTGCCTTTGTTTCTACCAAAACTAATAAGATTGCTAACCTTTTATCAGACCTAGAAATGAAGATTTGTACTTTTTTTTTAAGCAGTTAGAATCAGCCTCATCTATTGAGACTCAAGTTTTATATGTTATAGAAAACAAATTAGAAATCATGGTTGTCCAAAAAGGAAAAAAAATTGCCATATGTTTAAATGCTGAAGACAACTATTGCTACTCCAGGAAAAATACCATGCTTTTATAAAATAACATATTCCAGATAGATTTACTTTACAAAAGTCACGGTTTGCTATCAGATAATTACTAGAGATAAGTGAGTCATCAACAAAGAAGAGAAAATTAGAGCAGACATTCAGTTTAATGCATTCACYGTTAAGTCATTTGACAGGAATTTCTCATAACTTCAAAAGGAATGGGTCTCTGAAGAGTGGAAATGAACTGTGAGCCACATACCTAAAACCCTCTAGATTTAAAGGTTTGTTGTGCAAAGAATCAGAAGACATTAATCACAGGAGTTTGTCAGAAATATTCAATTATCACAGCCAGGTTTAAGATCCATTTAGTGTATTTGGAATGATTTGCTTTAGTTGGCTGGAATCAGCCTTATGTTCTAGAAACATCATGGCAAATCGACATAGAATAATTTTTATTCCACTATCTTGTTCTCACTGTAACATGATTTGAAGGAAATCCTGCCCTCTTCAGCAATAACAGGCTTCCCAGTGAACAGATCCTCTTATATCTAACCCTCATGCTTCTCATCTCCCAGTGAGTGTGTCAGATACTTGAGCACTGGTGTGTCATACTTGAGCACTGATGTGGTGCCCGGTGCTGCCRACTTCCACAGATGACCCTGTGAACAGCCGCTTCGCTCCTCTCTCAGGMGCTTGCTCAGATCACTGCCTATAGTTAATGTTAAATAGGCCACCTCCAAGATAAATCAGACTTCTTGTATGAAGCGTTGTTATCTAATCTCATAACACAAAGACAAATCAGATATCAAATAATAGTGTATTATTATTATTCAAAAGTTAAGTTTGAAATTTGAAAATAAATATGCATGGTACAAGTTATATGATTTTTTCCTCCTGTTACTGTGTCTTTTGTATTTGAAGTTGCTCATTGACATGGGATCCATGACAGATTTTAGATTTGTAGGGTGAAAAAAAATCTTTTATCTCTAAACCAGTATAAGTTATGGCAGCTTGATTGTGAAGTTAAACCTTAAGGTATCCTGGATGTGTGGGTAAGTTCACTAGTTTGTCAAAGACTGAAAAACAAATAAATAAAACATTTGCTTTATCCTTATGAAGATGGAGAAGACACAAAACTGTATTTTTCCAAACTCAATAACTATGCCTCTTCGTAGATTTCTTAAATCCTTGGATGTATTGCTGAATTTCGTAAAAAGGGACTCTTTATTCTTTACCATCAACAGCAGAGGGTTTATTTATGATTGGACGATTTTTGTTTCTTGGCAGCGTGGGGAGACRGCACTGCACATGGCAGCCCGGGCAGGGCAGGTGGAAGTGGTCCGATGCCTCCTGAGAAATGGTGCCCTTGTCGATGCCAGAGCCAGGGTAGGTTCTGGGGCTCCCAGGTTCTCTCCTGTCGCAGTGCATGGTCTCATCTTTAAGAGATGTGTATTCTTCAGTTCCTTGGTTTGGAAATGCCATAGGACCTAAGTGAATGCATCAGTAAAATGACAACATTTTCAGGCCAAAAAAAAAGTGACACACAATATATAAGTATGAACAATGAAAAATGAACCCCAGTTTCAGAAACATTTGAAAATATATACAATTTGGCATCAAAGACATGCATCATTGACTTAAATCTTAATATAATTGTTTAATCCAGGACAGTACACACATCTTTTTATTGCCATGAACTTAAAAACCTTATACCTGCATTATATAGATGTTATACATATTAAAATTAATTTCTTACTACCAACACCAAAAACAATGTCATTTAATAGTCATTCCTTTCAAGTTAATTAAAAATCAAAATACCAGATTAAAAAAAAAAGAGAAAACACAAATTATCTTCAAAATTTTAATATTTCTCTTTTACCTGTTTCACTTTCCTTTCTTTTATATTRAGGTCTACTTTCCTTTCCACTCTGGACTTTATACATTTAGATGTTCTGCATTTTTGCTATTTCAGAATAGAAGAATTTGGGCACTGGAGATTACTTGATAAGACTTGATCTGTTTCTAATGACTTCAATTTCCTCATGGGTTGATTTTACCTTCTTTTTTTTTTAAAATTTTATTTCCCAATTTCTTTTCCCACCTTCTCTCTTTCTGCTGAACACACTAGTRATGTCTCTCTATTTCCCTTTCCACATTGTTCCATTAACTTTTGCACTAACATCATTGAGATCCTTATGGACTACTTAAACACTTTCTCTCCTTACCCAACACTGGAAACCTAAGTTAGGATTCACTGTAGCTTGATTCCTACCATTGAGGCTCCATTTAAGAAGCCATTGTCTTGGAATGAAAACATCTGGCAGGAGTCATCAGAATTTTCAGGGATGTTAGTTAAGTCACTTCATTTCTGTCTTTATCATTAAAATATGAAGACTGGACTCAGAAACCTCTAGTCTGCTTTCCAGACTTCCTCAGCATTCTCTGACTCAGTGACTTTAATAGGCTTTTGCTTATAACAGGTCCCATGGATCACCATGCAGAATTCAGTGGTATCCACACAGCCTTGACATCAYTTAAGTTGTTTTAGGTTTTATCTGACTTTCTATTCATTATGCAAGTAGTGTAACTTATATGTTCATTGATAACAATCATGGATATTTCATGTTTTTATATTTTTAAAGCTTTGGTTATTCAATGTTTCCCCATGCCACAGCATTTTTCTCATTTCCTTTTAAGGTCACCTGGCATTCTGCTATTTAAAAAATATTTCTGTTGTCAGAATATTTCTGAGTACCATGAACTTCACTTTTTTTTTTGAATCAGAAATGGTCATAATGTTCTCACTGTATTTTTGTAATCCATGAATGCATTGCAATTCTTATTACATATATACAGCACACTTTTTCATATCTCTGGTTGTATATAAAGTATATTCACATCAATTCATATCTTCATACATGTACTTTGGGTAATGATGTCCATCACATTCCACTATCCTTGCTAATTCCCTGCCCCATCCATATTTAATAATAAAAATTTCCAGTTTTCCTTTTAAAATAAAACACCTTAGAATTTTTCTGATATTCAAAAAWTTTTAAATAATTTATTCATTTTCATGTTTTTAAGCCTATTTTCTACATTGATTTAACCTATCATTATAGGCATATACCCTTTGGATACCATCTGAAACCCCTTCTTTAAAAGCACCACTGGCTACGTATTTTTTCCTTTGAACTAGTGTAACAATCACTCATTTATGTATTTATTTATTTATTTGACATGCAGGCTCTCTTTTACAACTACTTTTAGTCTTGTAGGCTTCGTATAAAAACAAATATCTCTTAATTCTTCATTCCTTCTAATTTATTATTATTATTATTATTATTATTATTATCATTATCATTATCATTATCATTATTATTGTACAAGGATTAAACCCAGCGGCACTCAACCATTGGGCCTTATCCCCAACCTTATTTTAATTTTGTGACAGCATCTCACTAAATTGCTTAGGGCTTTGCTAAATTCCTGAGGCTGACTTTGAACTTGTGATCCTTTTGCCTCAGCCTCCTGAGCCCATGAGATTACAGGCGCCGCCATGCCCAGCTCTCCCTTCTAATTTAAATATTGAATTTCATATGTTTTCTTTTCTCTTTACCTTTCCACTTACTCTAAAATGCAGCTGAAATCCCTTCAGAATAGCATCTTTCTATTAGGAACAGGAAAAACACTATGCTTTATAGAGCAGTTCTCTCCAAAGGCCAATGTGCATAAAAATCACCTGGGGCACATTKTTAATGGGAGATTTGAACTCAGCTCTACATTTCTAACTCACAGGTGATGTCATTTCTCCTGTTCTGGGATGATACTCTGAGAAGCAAGGAACTAGAGTTTTCRTGTGTTCTATTTTTAGTGGGGGCAGGGTTCTGGGGATTGAACTCCTGAGTGATTTACCACTGATAKTCACATATTCTATTTTAAGGCAAACTTTGCCATGAGTTTTTTACTTTAATTTAATCCTTGAAGGTTTCTCTGAAACTCTTTAATTTTGTTAACATTTTTGCAGTGCTTTATAATTCATGAAGGATTTGTAACAAATTATCTTATTTGACACACAGAGCAGCCCGTGTTGCAGGGCGGTTTGGGGTCCTCCAATTGAACCTAATGCTGCCTTGGCTGTGGCCGCAATTAGGCTAAAGAGGATTTCTCTTGTGGTYCTGCATCTTCCTCCTAACTTTGCCTAGAGGAATTAATTCCCTCACCATAAAGCATCATTGCAAGGCAGCCTGGACAAGGAAGTAGCTGAGCTCTAATCTACTTGATTTCCTTACCTCCTGATTCAATGTAAAGAGAGCTTTCCTCTGTCTCACCCAAACAAATCGCTGGTTTCTTATTAGTCACATCCCCTTCCTGAGCAGGTGGCTGTGTCCAGGACACAGAGCAAGCCTGGGCCCATTCCCATTCACATGGCCCATTCATGAGTTGGCATAAATGCTCTAGAACCTCTAGATAAACCCTCTAGAGCCACATGTAGTGCAAAAGAAGGAGGACTATTCTCAGAAAGAGGTGCAGGGGTACTGGACAAAAAAAAAAAAAAATGAACACATATCTGCTGTTTTACTTGGTTTCCCCTGAAAACTTCCTTTCTTAACCTCCATATCATTGCTTTAGAACTCACCCTCTCCCAAATAGGAGATTAAAAAATTAGGTTTACATTAAACTCAAAGATCAGATCTCTGGGTCACCTGTCATTCTTCTCAACTGAGTTTTGAAATGAATACCTCATGGTTTTATAACTCAGGACTAAATCATAAATTTTTTGCCTACTGCCAATGTATAACAAAAAAAAAAACCCTGCATAATCACAATAATATTTCTAACTTTAAACTGCAAGCAGCATACTCTATTTAGTCAGGGGCATGGGACATATTTTTGCTGGACAGAGTGGACAGCAGGGGCTACAGTGGCATAAGTTCCTTGGTCAACCAATCTGTGGACCTTATCTGAGAAAGGTACTTCTTGTTCAGGATTCACAAGAGAAATGACCAGGAGGACCACCAGGTCCAAGTTCTCTTGCTTTAGGAACTTATTCTGTTGGGGCTCAAGTTTTGCTTTAGGGATCCAGTGATCACAGAGACTTAACCTCACTTGCAACTTAACTCATTCAAAACTTTCAATAGCTACCAGTAGACTTGGTTCCTTGGTACCCTGTTACCTGGTAACTAATAGCAGAAATATCATTAATATTTTCTATTTATTTTTCATTTTTTGGCACCAGGGATTGAACCTAACAGCACTTGATCACTGAGTCACATGTGCAGCTTTTTTATTTTGAGACAGGATCTTGCTAAGTTTCTTGAGGTCTCACCAAGTTGCTTAGAGCCTCACTAAGTTGCTGAGGCTGGCTCTGAACTTCCAATCCTTCTGCCTCCGCCTCCTGAGCAGCTGGGATTAAAGATGTGTGTCACTGTGCCTGGCTCATCAATTTTTTTTATAACCATGTACCAGAAACTGTTATTTCTGTCTTTGCAAAAGAAGTTGGAGCTTAGCAAGTCTTCCTAATTTTGGTTGCCTCTAAGCCAAGTAAAACAGTAGGYTCTGGAGGTCAAGCAGGGTTCACCTACTTCCTTGACCAGGCTGTATCACAGTCAGTGATACTTTATAATGAATAATTGTTGCCTTTCCTAGGGTACCAGGCTCCCCCCAACCCCCTGCATAGCTTTACCTCTTCCTACCAGTCTTCTGTACTTTTCCAGTTATTTTCCTTGGCTTTATTTAATTTTAGTTTGAAGCAGCTAATTCTGCATTTGCTATTCCACAGAGAGATAACTGCCCAAACTTGAAAAGGTCTGATATCCTGGTTACAGGTTGCAGGATTTTCTTAGCAAAATCTTTGTGTCCTTTCCTTTCCCATTTTCTTATAGGACTATATCAAAAATTGAAAAAAAGTGGGCAAGACAGCTTGTTTCTTAACTGAAAAAGCAAACAAAACAACAAAAACCTTGATCCTCAGAGCAGAAATAGTTGAGCATTTACCTGTTATCCATAGCTACCGCCAGTCAAGGGTCAAGGATTGCCACTTCTTATCCGTAGATGAGAGCTGTCATCACCTGCCTGCCAAACACACTCATTGAAAAACACTTTTGAGAGTGTGTTGCTTCTATACCCAGCTCTGTTGAGTTCTGTAGGTTGGAGGCCTGAGAAGGGAAACCCATCAACAGCGAATGTTCACTGTAGCTATTCTCAAGTTCCTTGATTTTTTGGTGGTTGTATATTTTGCTAACCACTTATTTTTGTAAATGTTCAACTCTTCATTCCTATTGAGAGTCAATCTTTCTTTCTTTTTTTTTTTTTTTTTTGGTATTGGGGATTGAAACCAGGGGTGCTTACCCAATGAGCAGCATTCCTAGCCTTTCTTTCTTTTTTTCTTTCTTTCTTTTTTTTTTTTTTTGAGACAGAGTTTGATTACTTTGCTTATGTCCTCACTAAGTTGCTGAGACTGACCTTGAATTTGTAATCCTCCTGTCTCAGCCTCCCAAGTCACTGTGATAACAGCTGAGATTCGTTCTTCATGCATCTTATTTTATCTATTTCTGTAGAATATGTAGCCAAGAAACATTGTCTCAAGAATTCAGTACCTTCATTTGAGTTTAATAGTTTAATGACCTTGTATAATCCTTGAGAACTTATTAAATTACTTTTATTCTCTTCATCTGGAAAATGGTTTAATAATACATTCTATGCCTTCCTTTCAGATCTGTTACAAGGATAAGTCACATGTGCCTTGTACATAAAGGAAACTTATAAACTGCAAATTTTTTATGAAACTCCAGTTCTAATACTGAAATAATCATTACTATTGTTTATTATTTACTTCTGAATAATCATTACTATTACTTATTATTTACTTCTGAATGAGAAGTAAATAACACTAATATGATTATTTCAATATCAGAAGCAATGCAATTTCATCTTTTCCTATAGTTTCTTTTTTATTTTTCCTCATGACTTTAAGGTACTGCATTCCTTTAGACATATCTATCATAACTCTTCTCCACTCATTCTTAGCCCTGGAAGCTGGCCCAGTTTTTTATTCTTCAGTTTTATTATGAGATTCCCTGGACAGATTATAAAGATAAACCCTCTTTCATCACTAAGGTTACACCTAATTTTCTTTTTACATGAGACAGTGGTTTGGTCTAGTTCTCTTAGCTCTGAAAACTTGATTCCTGACTGCACATTAGAGACAGGCAATTTCATGATCCTTAAATATGTCCTTCCTCTCATTTATACCCAGCTATATCCTCTCTCTGCTTTTAAAATAAAGCATTTGACTAATCGTTCATTCCATTTGCTTCTTGCCAGAGTTCCATTTCATCTTTGAAGTCCTGGATGTAAATCCCAGGCCCATCTTCAACATTTCTGTAACAAAATCTCTTTAAATCAGATTACAATATCTTCTTTATYCACAGTTCCTCTTTGAAGGAAATGACCAGCATTTGTGTCCTTGGCTTGTGGGTGAAGTAAGCACAAAGTTTTCCAGCTTCTCTGGGTCTTTTTCTCTTGATACAGTTCCCAGAATAAATTTTGCCTCTAATTGAAAGCTCTTAGAAGTGAATCTAGGTCTTAGGACGTCTGGATTGAGTTTCTTTCTTCTTCAAAACCATGGTTTTCTATTTAAACGAAAGTGAGGACTAAAGCTTTATTGAATTTAGAAATATTTTGGGGTGCCCAGTAAACTGTGAACAGGTTCATGAAAGTATGTACTATTTAAAATCTAAGGAATAGGGGCTGGRGTGTGACTCAATGGTAGAGCACTTGCCTAGCATTTGTGAGGCACTGTGTTCCATTCTTAGCATCACAAATAAAATAAAATAAATAAAATAAAGGTCCATCAACAACTAAAAAAATTTAAAAAAATCTAAGAGATATTTTTAAGTTCAACTAGGTCATTTGATAGTAAAAATACAAATGAAAGCATGGTTCTAGTAGTAATGATTTTCTTCTTGAAAGCGGTCAGTGGAGATTCCAAGAAACATCATGAAGCCTCTGAGTGAAACATAATATCAATGAAGTTTGGTGTGCCTGCACTAACATTTTGCTTGACTTGAGTTGTAGGAGGAACAGACACCTCTACATATTGCTTCTCGCCTGGGTAAGACAGAAATTGTCCAGCTGCTTCTGCAACATATGGCTCATCCAGATGCGGCCACTACCAATGGGTACACGCCACTGCACATCTCTGCCCGGGAAGGCCAGGTGGATGTGGCATCTGTCCTCTTGGAGGCAGGGGCAGTACACTCCTTAGCTACCAAGGTAAGAAGAATGCCTAATAACAGTAGGACCAAGAGAACTCCTAAGTCAGGATCCCTCTGCTCTGCTATACATGGATTCATGGGCAAATCTCTGTTAGGCTTCTGACTTACTTCCTCCTCTGAATATTTTAGATTCATTGTCAAAATGATCAAAGATGGTAAGATTTTTATATAATATTTTTTAAAAAGAGTGCTGGATTCTGTTTTATCATTTCCTTAATGCAAAATCTACTTTTCCTTCCCTTTTCACTATAAAATCTATAGTATAATTCTCAAGAGAAAAAAAAATAAGATGATTCCCAAACACATTGAATTGGTATTACTAATGAGGAAGAAAATGTCAAATTAGATTGAAAGTACATTTATGGGTTGTAGTACTACGTAGAACTTCCCTTGACTTAATCTTGCATTTTCCCAGTCCTGGGATGAGCCAACACCTATTTCGTATCTCATTCCTTTTCTAGTCTCGACCGACTGTACTTTTGTCTGAGTATTAATGGGCTCAAAAATCATACTTTATGATTTGTTGTTGACATTAAACAGAGAATATACACGAGCCTGAATTTTACTTGTACTCAAAGTTTCGTGATAGGATAATTTTCCTTTTCTTTTCGCATTCTATTTGAAATTCACTATTTGGAGGTAACTTAGGGTGAAAYACAAACACACCCAGTTAATTGGAACAAAAGACTTTGAGAAAGTCTAGAATAAGTGAATTTGTCACAGGGCTAAATAATTTCCACAAGCACAATTGTAATTCATATTAATTTTAAYAATCTCAATTTGTTTATAATAAATAGGAATAAATACTGCCAACTGGGATGAAGAAGGCTTACAAGTATGAGCTGAGGCAGGGAGGTGGCCCTTAGAAGAGGAAACTGATCACTTATGCCTTTAGGACTTAACTGGTGGCCCATGGCTATAAAAATGTTTGCATRTAAGAAATTGATTATTATTTAAATTCTGACATCTGAACAATTGAAAGGACTTTAAAAAATCTTTAAAGAGAAAAAAACCCCAGAAATTCAGAAACTAAGCAAGAAACATATAATAATAGTTATTATAACTCAAGGGAGACTGGATGATTGTCTTATAGGTGAAGAAGGTATAAATAAATAGAACTAAGATATGTGAAAATATAGAAATGCAGGAGAGTCCCTTGTATTTCAAGGATTATTATTATTTTCAATTTAAAAACATATGCTAAATCCGTACTCAATCAGGATGGTAAAATTGGAGGAACTATTAACCAGGGCAGTTTAACAGTGCAACTGAAGGTTAAACATAGGTGACTCCTCATCATTAAAGCCAWGTAAGTGTTATAAATAAGGGAGGGTAGATGGAATCCTGATGAGGTTGACATGGGTGAGAAAGGGCTGGGTGACTAAGAGGTGCTTTCTAACCCCGACACTGTGATTCTATAATAATCAAATCCAAGTGGTTTCGTCTAATGAGAGTCTCCAAATTTATAAAGGGATTGCATCACTACCCAGAAGGATAAGGAGTTTATTTTTTCTTCTTCCTTCATGGTTTGCCTCAAAAAACAAAACTCACCTTCTTCCCAAAAGAGAGTCACCCCAAGCACTGTGTGCACTGGGCCTGGGCGGCAGAGCTTTTGACAGTGAATGTGGATTTGTATGGACAAATGCCAGAAGGAAGAAATATTTCCTACATTTGTCCTACTCTTGGAAAAACCCAGAAGATTCACTTTCTTCCAAGAACTTATTGGTACCAAATGTTAAAAAACAAAACAAAACAAAAAGAAAAAAAAAAAGAAAGTCATCTTAATTAAAAATAATTGGTCTGGTGATACTGTGAAATGGTAATATTGATTTTGGGGGCATATTTGGTGTTTAGGGCTTGAACAGTCTGAGAATAAACCATGTCTTAGAACACCTATTACAGGCATATTTGCTGTGTGTGTTTCAGGGTTTCTGGTCAGTGTTAGAATCTTTTTCCCACTCCCCCTGGGGTGCCAGAAGAGCATGTGGTTGAAGTGTCTGGCCAAGAGAATGGATTTGAGATCATAGTGCATGAGCTATATCATCCTCAAGATCCTCATCCAGGAACTTATCAATATTTATAAATACTGCTAATTACAGAACATGGCTATTTGTTGGACACAGAAGCCATATGTACATGTATGTATTAGCATGTACATATAAATGTGCAGGACAGCTATCTTTTAAAAAAGCTTCAAAGCTCCAGTGTCTCAAAGCCTGGTGTTAATCAGCCCAACATCATACCAGAAGTAGAATGTGTTTTACAAGACAAATTGGTCTTTTAGACAGTGTGGGTCTTCTGRGACAGGAAACAAAAATCAGGATGTRAGGAGCTTTTTAATAGTGAGAGTTTTTTTTTCTGCAAACCATTTATCTTGCATTTATATTTCTACAGCAAATACGTCAAACTGAATCTCAAATAATTATTCATTTTTTTCCATAACCCCCAAAATATCCTAAAACTTAAATAAATTGGGAACTAAGGTGTTATAAAAAGGATTGTAAGAAATAGAAGGCAGCTGTTGTTTCAATCCTATTAATTTTAGAGGCCAGAAAAAAGGCAGGCCTTGTTTTTCCACTCACAAATCACAGCCAGTTTCCTGACACTAGTGGTTATTGCAAATCCCAAACCTATAAAGTGAAATTTCAGTCTCCAAGCACTTAAAATAAAATTTTCTTTTGTCTTGCCTATTAAACCAAACCTTTAAATGTTAAATTTCATTCTTTTTTCTTGTCCTTGTTTATGACTAACTGATCTCATTCCATTTTTCCCAAATGGAGAAGGAGCAAAACTTGTTTAGTATATTAATAAATAAAGATCTTGATAGGTGTTAGAAAAATAAATATTAAATTTTGCATTTCTTCTTCACATTTTCAGAAGGGTTTTACTCCCCTGCACGTAGCAGCCAAGTATGGAAGCCTGGATGTGGCAAAACTTCTCTTGCAACGTCGTGCTGCTGCAGATTCTGCAGGGAAGGTAAARGTTTTCAGTAGTATGTTTTAATTGTGAAAATCTCTTGGGTTGATAAATCTGGAGATCTGTGGAGCTATTTTTTCTCAGTGTTCAGAAAGGAATGTGATTCCAACTGCTGCAAMTATGCCAAGTACATGGTGTGGATTATCTGTTCATGATTTTCCTCGTACACACAGATTCAGAAAATGTTTTGAGCTGAGCCTTTAGTGTGTGTTCTTGTCACAACAGGGCCCACAACTTCTCTATGTTGAGAAGAACCCCTGTGATGTCAATGTGGCATTTCTTACATAGCATTTGAGTTCTTCATTTGTTGTGACCATTGAGATGCCCTTTGCTATTTGTAAGCCCATTTTCAATTTTAGTTATATGTCTAATTTGAAATTTATTATGTATTTGTTTATTTATTTTGGTTCTTTTCTATTGACTATATTAATTAATTAACACAGACTTAATCAACATCAATTTCCATGCATCCTAGTAGCTTCAGGGCAGCTAATGCTAATTTCTTAACGCTGACACTTAAACACACCCTTTTCAGAATGGCCTTACCCCGCTCCATGTTGCTGCTCACTATGACAACCAGAAGGTGGCGCTGCTGTTACTGGAGAAGGGTGCTTCCCCTCATGCCACTGCCAAGGTGAGGACTACAGGAAAGGATTTATAGACACAGGGCATAGCTGTAATCTGAAAGCGCATGGGAATTGCTTTTTAAACACATCATATTGTATCATTGCAACTAGCTAATAATAGTAGCGTTTGTTATTGACATTTTTTCCCTTCTATTTCTACCAGTTGCTTCTACAAAACCTTTTAACTGTTAGAGTCAGCAAACATTAAAGCGAAGGGCCCATAAACCAGTAGAGATGAATCTTATTTCCAGGAGTCAGTTTTGAATACTGACATCTGAATTTTTAGAAACGAAACAGGATAAAGGCATGGCACATTTTTTCCTTCTTTCCTATAAAACATAATATGATACAACCATCATTTTATACTTCTATGCCTTCAGAGACCTCACTGTGCTGTATGAAGAACTCTTGTTTTCTTGGTCTCTTAAAATGATTCAACCACGTTCACTGTAGTGTGGATCCTTTTAGGTCCCTAGACTAGCAATGACAGTCTAGACTACCAAAACAGCTCCAGCTGAGTCCAATACCTATGGACTAGGCATTTCCACCACTGGTATTGTCCTTTGTTATAGAATGAAAATATACATGAAAGTCACACAATACATATAGCCATCATTATATCTTTCATTTGTTTATTTAGCAAACATATTTTAAAAGAAAAAAAAATATTTGTCGTGTAGGAAAATATCCATGCCACATTAGAAGAAATAATAAGACAATAATTAGCATGTCTGTGACACTGTACCTAGACCTTTACATTCAGGATCTCATTTAATTTCATAGTAATCCTAAATTGATATTATAGTGATACCCATTCTACACCTAAGAAAGTGAGATTTAAATAGTTTGGTTTTTCCAAAGTCACATAAATAGTTGGTGCTAGAGCTATCCTCAGGCTACCTGACAGAGCTGTCACTCTTCACCACAAGGTCCGTTGTGTCCCAAAGCACTGGAGGAAGATTTCTTCCACGGTCACTTTACAAATATGTACCTGTATACTCTCGTGTCTATTTAAATGGTACATATTATATATAAGTAATAAAATGGAATACTATGTATATAAGTATATTCTATAAAATACCAGACATTTTGTATATAAATGTTCCCTCTACAAACTATTACAACTTACATAACTTTATACACACACACACACACACACACACACACACACACACATATAAGTTTCCATGATATCATTATAATTTCCCCTGCCCCTAACGCACAGTCCCTTAATCCCACAAACTCCTTTTTTCTTTCTGTTAGAATCCAGTACCTTCCCTGGGGGTAAAGTAGGATTGGGTGAGAGGAGTTTCAGTTACTTAGTTCCGAAAATGTTTACTCTTTCTGGAGTAGAGGACTCTTCAGGTCTTCAGGTGGAGTATCTATCAGACAGTCAGACCTCTTACATTGCCAAAATCAACTCTGTCTTCAATGATCTCATGTCTTGTTTTGTTAAAACATCTTTGTCTTCTTCTACATCAGTCTCATTAACAAATGCCCTGGTACTTTCCTACCTCGGTAGAGCTTGTGCTGCAGGAATGGGGGAAGTTGGCACTGAAAAAGCTCTTTATAGCAAAAAGGAGATGCCTTAAATTTATAGGGTCCACAAAAAATCTGTGTGGTATTCAGTCGAGCCCCTGGAGCCAAGTGTGATATTGTGAAGCAACTGGGGTACCTGGGACCTATGATCAGCACCTGAAAAGATTTTCAAGGATAGTGTCTGGATTTCCTTCAGCAGCTGAAAAAAAATATTATTTATTAAAAAAAAATGGTGCTTGTTTTTGCTTGGGAAATGGGAATAGTGAAGATACCATAGGGCTGTTTGAAGATTGAGATTTGATGATGGCACAGAAAGACATTTAAATTCTCAAATCTGCTTTTCATGTTTTGGTACATATTTGAGGAAATACCATATCCTAAAAATACCTCTTAAGGTAGTCTCACAAGGAGCACTCCATCAGTATGCCACCTGTTCCTTCAGTGTGTCACAGTTAATGGCAAAACCACTGCTTTTCATCTTTATCACACATTTTTTTTCATGGAAAATTTTACCAAGTTTGATAATGATAAGGGAAGAAAACAATACATGTTCCAGAAATGCACTTGTTCCAGTGATTTTGCTTTTTATTTTCTTTTGACCAAGTATGAGGATTAGTATTTGGTTCTTCAATCCACAAACTCCCGCATTAAGCAAATAGCCTCATGTTTCTACTTTTGAGGCAGAAGGAGAAGAAGGGGAGATACTGGATTTAAAGTGACCCCAGGATTAATAGAAGCCTATTTTGTTGGTTAATATCTTTTTCCATTAGAATGCAACCTCTTAGAGGCAGAGAACATGCCATGTGCACCTCTGTGTCCCTTCATTCTGCCTGGCATCTGTTTGGTACACTTGCTGAATGTGCAAGAGGTACAATCCAATCAGAAACATGTTAGTAGGAGATCAGAAACAATCCCATTTTATTCTGTATGATTAAGACTATGTCTGAAGGGTAGCATTCACTTCCGGCTAACTTGACTCAAGAGCAACATTGACAAACTCTAGTCAGCTCCAGACAGTTCATCCTTGGTGGAGAGAGGTCTCAAAAGGATGTCTTCTATCAGGAATAGTGAAGGAAAAGGACGTTTAAGCTGGAAAAGAGAATCTAATAGGAGATATGAAATGCACCCTAGGGCCAGGTGTGGTGGTGCATGCCTGTAATCCCAGGAGTTCCAGAGGCTGAGGCAGGAGGATAGCAACTTCAAAGGCAGCCTCAGCAACTGAGCAAGGCCCTAAGCAACTTAGTGAGACCCTGTCTCTAAGAAAAATATAAAAAGGGCTGGGGACATGGTTTGGTGGATAAGCATCCCTGAATTCAATCCCTATACCATAAAAGAAAGAAAGAAATCCACCTCAGGTACTTAAAAGACAGTCATGTAGAAAAGTTGTTGACTTATTTTCTCTACTGTTCAGGAGAGAATCAATATTATAAGGGGGAGATGTTTAGCTTTAGGATTTTTGTGTCTGAATCTGTATTATAGTGTCATGTGGCACTTTTTTACTTTGGTTGCAAATATTGGTTGTGGTTGGATGGAAACTTGTGGTGGGTTAGAGTTTGGATTAACTGTCAGCTCACTTTTAACTTTTTTGTTGATTACAGATTCTTATTTCCTTCAGAGATACCTATAAGGTCAATGATTAAGCTTACTATATATAATATATGTTTTTGTTTTAGAATGGCTACACCCCTTTACATATTGCTGCAAAGAAGAATCAGATGCAGATAGCTTCCACACTCCTCAACTATGGAGCAGAGACTAACATTGTGACAAAGCAAGGAGTAACTCCACTCCATCTGGCCTCACAGGAGGGGCACACGGATATGGTCACCTTGCTTCTCGAAAAGGGAGCCAATATCCACATGTCAACCAAGGTATTCTGATCTTGTCTCTTCTTGCATCAATCAAGAGACGCTTGGATGGCTGTAAACAAAAACCCATCAAAGATAACTTGGAACAAAAAGGGGAATGTATCAAAAGGAAAAAAGGATATATTACAGACCCCCAAGGACACAAGGGAGACAAGCTTTATGAGGAACTAGAAAGCCATGAGAAACAAAGCAGTTGGTCTCAGATTCTCTGCTTGTGTGACTGCATTTTGCACCTTGAATTTTCTCTAAAAGTCAGTTTTTTTCACCTCTTCCTATAGATCTGCTTCCTCAACTTCTCGGTGTAGTGCCTGAATAGGCTATGCCATAGCTCCCCAGAGTTCATATTACTGTAGTTCAAAGAGTTAGCCCAAATTACTCTAGTTGGTGCTGGTTCTAATTCCAAATCCGAGAAAAGAGGAGCTGTTAGGGAGGAATGGAGAGAGATGGTGGTTCCATTTGGAATTTGGCTCAAATAATTGCATGTAAGCTGGCCAGCCCACATCTACCATTGAGGTTATCTTTCAGCACAAATGCCAGTCACCTCTGGGGTGGTGGTAGTGGTGGTGGTGGGAAATTCATTGTTATTTTTAATTTACAATAATGATAAATATGTATCTGAAATCAGTTCCCTATGTCTGCCTTGATGGTATTCTTTCAAATGTATGGTATTCTTTCAAAACTCTCCTTTGGGAGAGTTTTAGCAGTCCCTCAGCTAAGATAGAATGAGTATTTTTGAGTTACACTCTTAGCAATGAAAAAGAAATATTCAATTTTGAATCACAAAATAACTATATTATCTTTATAAAAATGACTTCAGTGTTGTATTTGAGTGATGTTCTAAAGATAAAGCCATGCTGGGTGTGGTGGTGCATAACTGTAATCCCAGCAGCTTGGGAGGCTGAGTCGGGAATATCACAAGTTCAAAGCCAGCTTCAATAACTTATTTAGGCTCTAAGCCACTCAGCAATCTAAGAAAATATAATAAAGGGCTGGCTCAGTGGTTCAACCTCAGTACCAAAAGAAGAAGAAGGAGGAGGAGGAGGAGGAGGAGGAAGAGGAGGAGGAAGAGGAGGAGGAGGAGGAGGGAATGAAGGATAAAGCCATGATGTATTTATCACTAAAGTAAAATTTTCCTATACATGATGTTTCAATATATTGGAATGATAATATAATACATAAACTCTCTGTGTAAGAAGTATAACCTTGCCTTTTAGTTGGTATTGTAGTAAGATAATGCAATTATAAAAATACTTCAGATAAGAAGCAAAACCAACAACAAATTTTCCCATTGATTTTGAGACCATCTACAATCAATACTCTCATCCCCTCCAAATGATTATTTCTCAGTAAGAACTGTAATATGGAAATGATAATAAATTCCTTAACCAATCACCGTATAATAATAAAACACTTATAGGTCCACTAAGTATATTTAGGCAATACCTGACTTTTTTTTTTTAAAAAAAGAACCCCATCAACATCTTATGGTTTTTTTGATTTGTTAGGAAGGTTTCTATAATTTGATTTGGATATGCACGTTTATCATAAACCACAGAAGATTTCATACTGGYTGTTAGTTTGTAATCTTGTACAAAATTCATTCTGCAAATAGAGTAGAAAACATTACAGATATTTGACATGTCACTAAAAATGTCTTCGAGCTAATTGATGATCACTTTATTTAATGATCTCTTCTATAATTTCTTTTTAGAGATGTCAGAACAGAATTTTTACTGCTCATTTCCAATAGATACTTGGTAGATTTAGTCTGACCTAGTGAATAGGAGTGATATCCACATTTGTTTTAGTATGTATTCCTGGGAATCTATTTCGAAAAATTCCAGAAAAATCTAATCAAAAGCTGCTTTTGTCATTTCAAAAGATACTTTTTATTATAAAACATAGGCAGTAATTTTAAAAAATGAATATCTTATCTATACCTATCTATAATAAATTTAAGGATCAATCCATAAAATTTAAGTATCTGAAATAAAGATAGCTTGAATTTTGATCAAAGAGTGCCTGGTACAGATCACTGATGTTCAGCTCCAGATTTATATTCATTTTTCTGTGTCAATATTGAGACAGACCTACTATCTCTGTAAAAAGAAATAATCTTCTATTTGCTGTTTTGAGGCAGAGAAATCAAAGTAAGGAAGAACCTGGTATTTTGTTTTAATATTCAGATTTCTTACACTTTAGGATTAAATAATATTTGTTTAGATGTGATGAGATTTTAGTGCAAAAGGATGTCTTCTATCTTACCTGATGTTTTTTATTCACCTCAAAGCTGAGCTCAGCCATGGTTCTAAGGATTAAAAATCCCAGATCCTGAAATAAAAAACACCTTCTCTCCACTTGTAGAATGTTTTTCTCTTTGTAGGTATTACTGATATATTTTTTTTTTAAGATCAGAGCACTTATTGATTTCTAGAAGTAGCACCTTGGCTGTAGATCATGGGTTTTCTTTTTTTCTTTTTAATTTAGTTAAGCATTGGAATTTATTTTATTTTTTATCAATTCTTTTTTAAAAAATTTATTTATTTTAATTAGGTATATATGACAGCAGAATGCATTTTGATTCATTGTACACAATCGCAGCACAAGAGATCATGGGTTTTCAAGAGTACAGCTTAGCCTTCTTGGCTCATGGAGAGGCCTGCAAGGTGATAGTCAACAGGACCATCTATCTTCAGCTGAATGTGAATTGAGGGTGAGAGAGCGCACAGGTAGCTACTCAGTGTACAGCTGTAGGATATGGAGAAAGAGGATGAWTATACAAGGTCTTGGAGGAATAGTTGGAGGAGAGAAACATTTGTTATGAATATGCTATAAGCTAGAATGTAAGTTCTGTAAAGGGGAGCTTTTGTTCATGGCTATATTCAAGTGCCTAAAATAATTCATTATATAGGAAAGGAACTAATAAAAAACACCTATTAATACAAATGACTTAACTTTTAAAGATATTCTTTTGATCTCAATTTTGCTGAATGGAAGCTGCTTGTATACTGGGAGATGCTCAATGGTTGCACAGCATTGATTGAACAAATCACTTCTTCCTCTCTTTTCTTTATGCCTTCATTTTTGATCAATTTATAACTATTTTTTTTAACCTCATCTTCAAATAAACAAAATAATTTCTTTGATTAATACATGTCAAATATTTTCACATAAAACTGAACCATTTATGTTGCTGTGCAAATTATAGTTACATTTTTAAATTTAGTGTCAAGAGGCACTCCACACACACACACACACACACACACACACACACACACACACACACACACACCATTATACTCTCTTTGGGTGCTGGGAAAATTACTCTGAAATCATTTCCTATTATCCTGTACATTTTTTAAACATTGATATGATATTTTATTGGTGAAGATATTTTATTGGTGAGTATATGATATTTTATGGTGAAACCAAGTTAAATTATTACATTGCTATGGATATATAACAGCAGTAGTATTTGGTTGATCAGTTATTTAAGTAAATAAATAGATTCAGCAGGAACAGTCGGGTTTGGAATGAATATTGTTTGGAGACTTTTAAGGTAAGTTATTTTAAAGTCTTACATCATAAACCCCCAGTATAGAAAATAGAATATGTGGGGCTGGGGTTGTGGTTAAGTGGTAGATCATTTGCCTAGCATTTGTGAGGCACTGGGTGGGTTCAATTCTCAGCCCCATATATAAATAAATAAATAAATAAATAAATAAATAGACAAATAAATAAATAAATGGTCCATCGACAACCCAAAAAAAAAATTATAAAAAAAGAAAAGAAAAAGTATAATTTGCTGGAGGTGTTGATTAGCTTAGACAATAAGTCTTGAATGAAAAATTATATTAACTTAAAGTGTTTCTCTTAGATATCAAACACTGCAGTTTCTGGGAAGAAGCTATGCATCTTCCAGGGGTTTTTTCAAGACATTGATATAAATGTTGCAATACATTTTCCTCTTCAAATATACTTYTTTCATTCCATTCTCTCCATAGAGTGGACTCACCTCCTTACACCTTGCAGCTCAAGAAGACAAAGTAAATGTTGCTGAAATTCTCACCAAGCATGGGGCTGACCAGGATGCTCATACAAAGGTGAAATTAATCACTATCTATCTTGCAACCTGTTTTGACGTGAATGATTTCCAGTAATCCTCAAGAGTCCAGCCCCTGTCCAGCCCCTGCCTTACTCCTCATAAGTCCATTCTAAAGTATAAACCTTCAGAACAGATCTATAGTGGTTCCTGGTTTTTGAAGAAATCAAATACAAATGGATAGCATGGTATCCGGACCCTTCATAAGAAGACTCTAGTTTTGCAGGCTTGAGTCCACCTTCTCCCTTGTTGCCTTAGCTTGTCCAAATGGCTCACTATTTTCCTCCTGTGCTTGCTCACCTCCATGTCCTTGAAATGCATTTCCCTATTCAAACCACTGAATTCTTGCTCTTTCTTTAAGCTCATCTTAGCTTCACCTTCCCCGGGTCTCCTCCTGAATGTCCTATCAAAGTCACCCTTTCATTTCTGTTTTTAGATGATATCATTTTGTGCATCTCTCTTAGCTTCTTTTCAAATTAAATCACACAAGTCTGATCTGCCTTGCTGATATAAAGTTCCCTGTKCTCAGGGGTCTGCTCATAACCATATTGGCACCCACGGGATACRTATATAATCTGCTAAATAATATTTATATAATCAAATTGAGTTTCAACCCATCCTATAATAACTGAAATTCTACCCAGTTCCCCTCCTTTTGAGGATTAACCACTAGAGTATTAATGCTTCTACTTTATGATTTATTTCTTATTCACAGCTTGGTTACACTCCTTTAATTGTGGCCTGTCACTATGGAAATGTGAAAATGGTCAACTTTCTCCTGAAGCAGGGAGCAAATGTTAATGCAAAAACCAAGGTAAATTATTGTACACATTTTCCTTTTYTATAAGCAAAAGGGTTCTGCCATCTAGATATTTCACTAGCTACCATAGCTACAAATATGTTTTTTTTTCTTTTCCTTTTTAGTTTTCTTAAAGTGATTTTGAAGAGGCAATGTAGTTTTGTATTTGTTTGAGACTTTTCATTCTAATAACCTTTGACAGCCATGTGGGTTAGCTTCAGAACTGCTTCTATTACAAAGTTAAAGTAGCTGACGCTGCTTTAACAATTTACTGCAGGACACAACAGATGCCTGCTAGGACACCCTGATGTTCAGGCAGATTTTCAGAGCCTTGGCCCCCTTACCCCTAGCTCCTTGTCCACTCATGAAGAAGGGAAGCCAGGCAACCTAGATTGCACGCCTTTCATTTTTAATAAACTCTGTCATTTTGGGAACATTGTGGGGTCATGCTCAGTAGGACAATAATGTGTTAAGCCCTGAGCTGCAAGTTCTCAAGGATAATACAGAGCTGACTTGAACCAACAGCTTTCCCCAGAGGAATTTGAATGCTCCTATGTAACAAAGCAAGGTCAGAACATCACCCCACAATTCAGTTCACTCAACTTGATTGAAGTTGTAGAGAAATCCACGATATAAGCACTGCTGTTATGCATAATGTAACTTGCATCTCCAGGTCCTTTGGTCCAAAGGAATATCTGCATGATGTTGTTGTAAGTTCACATATCAGAAATTCCTAATTGCAGCTCAAGTAAATTACTGTGAGCACATTTAGAAGTTTTCAAAGCCATCATTCAAGATGCTACTAATTAGAAATACATAAAAATTTTGTAAGTCAGTGTTTCTTTTCATATCCTCTCAGAAGCAGAAACAAAATCATGTCTGTACATAAGCATATTATAGCTAATTTTAAACAAATTTAATTTTGTAAACTATAAAGAGTTCTGTAACATTTGAGATTCAAACCTGTAGTCTTAGGTTTGAATAGTTGAAACTATTCAAATAGTTGAAACTAGCAAGAATAGTTGCAGTCTATTTCCTGACCAATTCTTGCGATTTCAGGAAATTTGACTTTGAAACTTATTTAAAAGCTCTCATATGAATTTTTAGACATTAGCTCCTAGACCATTTTTGCTGAGCTAGTTCACATTTAAGCATTCCAGGAAAGACATTTTTGTTGAAATGAAGATATTTCCCAGAAATGTACAAATGCAACAATTCAATGAAACGATGGCAGGGCTTGAAAATATTTAACATACTTTTTGTTATGTGTTTGGTTGTTGAGGTGGTTCTGACTTTAAAAACAATCATTATATTGTCTAGACAATATCTGTGCCTCCCTGGAATTAGATCTACATCAAATGGACTTTAGATTAAGAGAAAAATCTCATCTTAACATTTAATTTTTAAAGGTGGACTGTGAAATTTTCACTGTTGCTTTGGAACCATATACATCAGGTATTTAGATAGATATATACCTCAAAGTAAATCTTTTAATAAACCCTTCAGAATTTTTTTATATAGAATGATCTCTCTGAAGAGGAAATTACATTTTCTTTCTGACATTTCATGTGTAACCATAGTTTCTAAAGAATTGTTTTATTTGCTCTTTGAAAGAGCAAAAATAGGTATTGCTTTTATTCCCCAACTATTCAGAACTTTGTATAAAAGACTTACAAAATTACACTTGCTTTTATGGAAGTATTAGTTGCCTAAAATTAGAATTAGAAGCCCTATCACATTGGCTTAAGGCAAACCAAACTTGGTTAGTTAACTTGGGAAGAAGGTTTAGAACTACAGCATACTAAAGAATATTTTCTTCATAAAATATATTGCAAAGATTATAGAGTTCTTTAAAAAGCAAAAATGCAAAACAAAACAATGTTTGCTAGCATTTTCATATAAATTTGTAACCAAGAAGTAATTAACGGACAACTTATTTGATCCTTCATCAAACTTGATGTCTTGGCCATATTTATTTTACAAATGAGAAAATTGGTATTTGGAGAGGTTTGGAGACTTGCTAATTAGGGGGTATGTCTAGAGCAACTAGCCAGAAATAGCCTATGAGAGTGTATTAATCTTCAACCTAATATTCTTGTAAATATTTCTAAATTGCTGCAACTTTCCTGGGAAATGGCCTAACTCAGCAGAAGCTTTAGATAAAGAGTGGTTTAAATCAGGCCTGAGAGACATTTTCCTGGTCATAATGTCCATTGAGGGCTCCAYATACTATGAATTACTAAAGCAAGATTGTTATTTCATAATTATTAATCTCAGTTGGGCATTATTTACATATGTACAGATAATATATATTAATTTATATTATTCTAATATGTTAATTCATTATACATAATGTTAATTTATATTCTCCATTATTTGGTACATAGTGTTTKATTAGTAAATGCTTGTCAAATGAATTAATTTGGGTGATACTGAAGGGATAAACTCAATTTGTTGGGTAGAACATTGTAAACACAATGGAAAGGAAGAATTTTTAGGAAAAGAAATATCATTTGCTTAATGCTCTTGAAATATCTATGGATTAGCTCATTTGGGAGCAGGGTCCATGCAATAACTATAGGTTTCTTAAAGTTCCTGTAATTGGTTTATATTTCCAGATTTCCCAGGATTATTCCATTGTAGGGCTATAAAGCAGGCTCAAGACTTCTATCTAACACGGCTGTGCTAGGCTTAAGACACTCAGCCASCAAGACTCTCACACATATGAACATTCCTATGGACAGAAAGTCCATGGTGAATGTATAGAAGGAATCACGTGACACCCATGTATATAAATAAGCACTTTGTATTGTCAGGATAAGCAGATATGCATGTTGATCATGAGGTCACAGTGACACTGGATAAAAGGGATGTATGTACTCCTACAAGCTTAGGATATGAATGGGCCTCTCAGCACTTCTAGTCCAGCACAAGTGCATCAGAAGTACATAGGTAAAAATTTGTCAGTGATGAAGCAAGTAGACTTAAAAAGCAGTTCTGATAACCACTGCTTGTCATTGTCTGCCATGTAGGATCTAAACCTGGAATGACTAGAAAAATTACTGAACTGTTATTTTCAGTTTCATTATCTTTGAAATGAGTAGAAACATCTACTTATTCAGTCATTTGTTCATCACTCACTTAATCCACCATTATTTATGAAATGCCTACTGTGTCTCAAGCACCCTCATTTCAGAGTGATAATGAGACAAAACTTTAAGGTCCTGTATCTGGCACAAAATGAATGCTCAATAAATGAACAAATACTGTTGTATTTCCTGAGATTCTAGTGCAKCTTTTAAAATTAATGTGAATAAGTAACTAACCTGTACTACTTAACCACCCACTACAGTTCTGAGCAAGACTGGCCTCAAACCAAACTTAACAGCAATTCCTCACAAATCCTAGATTACAGAGTTTTCATCTGTGTGAAAGTTTAGACCTGAATRTTATAAACCTAATTTTCAAAGACTTTTTTGGGGGTGAGGGTAGGAGGGTGGTTCACTCACCTTCCAATGAAGTGTTATTACCTCCAAGAACATGTGTTCTCTAGCACATCCAAAGCTGTACACTAAAATGAATATGAGACTTGAATTTACTTTTATTGATATAGAATCTCAAATGTTAACCCAAAGGTTCTCTGTCAGGGAAGTCACAAGCAAACAGGGTTTGTGTGACCCTTTGCTGCCTTGGTTTAAAAACAAGTTTACTTTCCTGTTGCCTAGGGGAGAGATCATGGAGACAATGCCCTTTCCTATTTTAAATCTCCTCCCCACCCATTTTGAATGCTAATTGGTTAAAATGTAATAATAGTTATAATTTGGAGTCTGTTTATCTTGTGTTTCRTAAGCCGGTCTCTTCTCTTTGTTCRGCAGACCATAAGGTGTGAGGGAGGGTTTGCTGCTGAGAAATAGGTTGCTGGGAATATTGGCTCCAAATAAACAAAGTGTCCTAATAGTTTTGTTGTAAATAAAAATGAAGGCTAACCTACTTTTCTTCTTCCTCTGCAAATGGATGCCATCATTGTCCACAGAATGGCTACACACCTTTGCACCAGGCTGCCCAGCAGGGTCACACGCACATCATCAATGTCCTGCTACAGCATGGAGCCAAGCCCAACGCCACCACTGCGGTAAGACAGGCACCACTGTCTCTCCCCAAGCTTTCTTCTCCCTACCCTCTTGTCCTGCTGTCCTCTTGTCTGATCTAAGATCTGATATATCCTCCCTAAATGAGCTCCCGGACTATGGAAAGTCCCAGATTGCTAGAAAACCTTTCCCAGAAATCAGTGTGACTTCCTGGGAGTGCTGGTCCCAGGAGGGAAACTAGTTTGGCCAGACTCAGTTGACTCTCTGGAGAGTGGGGCCCTCCTCTTGGGCTGCTGGAAGGACTCTGCTTACAGCTGGCTCTCAGATGTGTGAGCAAATCATCCCCTCCCTCTCTGCCTTCTTAAGGGAGCTCAGTTTCTGGGCTGCTGGCTTAGACAAAGCTCATTGGGATGTGGAGCATTGAAATGTAAACTAAGTGGAGCAATTAAACAAACCGGGATCCCAGGAGTTGGTCTCCATGCAGCCTGAATTGCTTGCTTCTGTTACTTTGCTGCATAGTAAGCTCCTCTACAGCTGTAGCTTGAATACGTTACCSTGTTCCCTATGGTAACATCTTACCTGCACCAGATGGCCTGACCTCAGTGAGGAGCAAGTGTACCTGRTGCTCCCTAATAATTCTGGAAGGCATTGTCTTGTATCCAAGGGGTACTTTCCTAAGCCCAGTCCCGTTTTGTAGAAGGCATTTGACAACCTCAGGGTTAAAACACCAAGTGCTTCTTATTAAAAAGAGCAGGCAGATGCAAAGTTGTTGTGTTACCATGGTGACCTGGGCTATAGTCTAAAGAAGTTACAAAGACAGATTTAGATGTAATGGTAAAAACTAGTGATTTTCCTAAGCTGTGCCTTGTTTTGGAAGGAAATGCTGGCTCATGCAGAGCTGCGGGTGATCTCATTGGCTCACATCTCAGTCCTCCCTCTCATTTCTCACTCTCTTCCCCTCTTTCACTCTCTCTTCAGAATGGTAACACTGCCTTGGCGATTGCTAAGCGTCTGGGCTACATCTCCGTGGTCGACACCCTGAAGGTTGTGACCGAGGAGGTCACCACCACCACCACAGTGAGTACAAGTGACAGATGGGCTTCTGCCCCGTCTTCTTGGTTTTCCAGCCACATACTTTTCCACTCAGGCAGTTTGAAGCTTTTAGAGTTGAACTTTGGTTGAATGCATTGCAGAACATACACAGAAGCATGCAGATGCAAATGCTTTCCACAAGGGACACGGGACTTTTGGCTTCTTTTACTCAATGTAATTCCACGCAATGTGTGTGAATATAGTTTTATGATGTTTAGTATCTTCTTTAACTTTTTTTTTTTTTTCCTGGTGCCTCTGCCCTTTTCCTTGAGTTGTGTGTGACACCTACTGCTGGCAGAGTGGCAGCACACTCTGAAGCAAACTTCTTGAAGCAAACACAGGAAGTCAGGTTGCCCATGGACAGACCCTGACCCTCCTGTCCATTGTGCTCCTGGCCCTGGTGGAGTCAAATGCACTGTCAGTGAGAACAATTGATCCTGACTTTTCTTCTTCTTTCTGATTATTTTATTCAAAAAGAAAATTCCATGTTCTTGGTAGATTTTTAAATTTCCACCCTTTTATCACAATAACTGATTTCTTTAGCAAACAGTGATGATGACCGGCCTTTGCCAGAGAAACTCTGGAAGAGTGAACACCCGACAATCATGAGTCCCAATGCTCTTGTACAGTTCAGCTGGAGCGAAGCCTAAAGGAGGCCCCCTCAGAGGGGGCTCCTGGCAGAAAGTGGAAATGCTATTATATTTGCATTTATTTGCGTATTAGCTTTTTCACTTCAGCACAAACCCTAAGAACAATAACTTTTCAATTTATCCTTGTAAAATAGAAAATTAGAACAACAGTAAAACATTAGATGTGGAGACAGTAAAACCATAAATCAACAAAGAAAGGACTCTGAAGAAGGTTCTAGTAAATGATGCAAAAAGAGTTTTGGAACACTTGGTTCTTTTGATAGATGGGAGGAAAAAGAAAGGAATTTTGCTTTCCAGGGTGATGGAAAGTCCCTATTGACATCCACTGAAGTAGATGGAATAAGTTGGTTAACATGCAGTTTTAAATAGAGTGGAGTATGATTTATTAATGAACTGCAAGATACAGACTGAATTTAGATGGGAGAGAATAGGACTGCTCATTTTCTCCAGCAGAATCTTAAAGCCTTTAGCCACAATGTTTTTAAAGATTTAAAGTGTAGCTTTAATAAATTATATAGGAGTAAAACCGTCTTATCACTGCCTAACAGCACATTTTGTAGGTCATTACATATGGCTAAATTATTTTTTAATGTTAAAATTTTATTTTTATTTAAAACCATTTTTGAAGATGCATTAAAAATGTCCATATTTATGGGGTCCAGGTAATGTTTTGATACATGTATACATTCTGTGGTGTTCAAATCAGGATGAACCTGTCTAGCTGGTAAAAACATTCAAAATTCTTTTTGTATGACTAAATCTTAATTTGAATTTTAATTGCTTTTTCTTACTATATGACTTATCATCCCAGGATAATCTTCACGTTAAGGTTCAATACACTTAGGCCACTTTATTTGGCACATTTTCAGCATTGTGTACATCCCAAACAAATGAAGTCTTTAGTGGCAAGATTACCCAAGCACATCTGTTGTGAGAAGTGTTTTTTTGTCAACTCTATTTCTTTTTCCATGCTCTGGGAATCATGTATGTACTTTGTTTTTTTTTTTTAATCAATTCCACTAGATGGCAAACTTTCATCTCTTTTGCTGTCTTGGACCTGCTTTTCTTCCACTCATTAACTAATTGATTCGTTCATTGTTTTTTGGACATAAAATATGCACTAGGCTCCTTGCTGTACGAAAGTCATTCATAGTAGCAGGATTGGAGAATGAGATTTATGCTCCACAATGAAGTAAGGTTTTTTACATCAAGAGCACTATGCACTTACAGCTTCAGTTCCAAAGTTTCAAATTATTTTAAACATAAAGATTTGAATTTTTAAAGAGGAACAATTAGCTTTCTGCATTTGGCTCTAAATATTCTAATTACTATCTCCAAACAAGTTCTCAGGTATCTTCTCAGAAATCAGATTGTGAGGTGTACTGAGAGGTCATCTCCAAACCACATTTAGGTCTAGAGAGAGATGACAGCTTCCGATACAACCCTCTGTGAGTTTTTTGTTTTATTTTTCCTGTTAACTGTTATTCTCTACACATTCTAGCTGAGCACAGTTCAAAAATAAGACATCAACAACAGAACCCACTATACTCAGAATTCAAATTTATAAGTAAAAAGCCAATAAACAAATATAAACCATGACAGAATTTCTGAGTTCAAGTAGAATAATAAAAAGTCATTGACAGCATTAAATAAACAAGTACCCCCTTTAATCAGATGTTTTTATGGATACATATTTCAATACTGTTGCCTTTACTTTATGCTTCTCTGATTTCTTATAGAATGGTGAGTTTGTTTTGTGAAATGGAACCTAGGGTGAAGAGTTGAAAATAAGAATTTATTCTTTTCTATAAAATCTCTCATATTACRCTTCTTTTTGGGAAGAGATTTTCAAGCATTCTTTTCCACATAATTTATTTTCCATGTAAGCTGGTATTAAAAATAATAGTTAATACTTAGGGTTAAAAATATGCCAGACATGGAGGGCAAATCTAGGATTCAAGTTTAGGTTGTTGGATTCCAAAGCCCTCATTTCTATCCACTCTGGCTAACTGATCTTGGTTTTGCTGAAAAATAGCCTAACAGGAATTTTGTACAGGGACTATTTTTTACAAAATTTTTAATTTAAAACATACCCCCCCAAAAAAGCATCCTTTCTTGATTTTGGTAGGAGCATCATATTCAGTATCATTTTCTCAAGTCTATAGATTCACCAAAATTAATTTAGTATGTGGTGAKAGCAAATAGCACAAGATTGTTTAATAATTAGGTAAAATTAATAAAATCTATTTTGATGTTATTACCATTTAACTATACTAGCTGCATTACAGCTATACAGCTGACGTATGGATTTCACATCAGTTGGATTCATATGATGTGCCATTTGAGCAGCCATGTGAGTTCTCTTTTGATCAGAAAAAAATGTTCCTTTGCTTTTCTTCCTTCCAGAGTTCTTTACTCCAAAGTATGAATGAAATCATTGTGCACAAGGCAAAGTAAGRCATCAGTTTATAAAGGAAATGTTACTGCTGCAGAGATTTCTGAGACATTTTGGAATCGTGGTTTGTTTCCTTAACCTTTGCTTTTCTAACTTTACTTTGAAAAACACAGCAGGGAAGATGAGACAGTTTAGAATTCTCCTGAGGCTACAGTCACTCTGAGTTTGCCAGAATAGACGTCAGAGTGGTGGGGACACATTTCTGGCAGCAGACGCTGGTAAACCCAATCTTCTAAGGCAGCTTGGAAAAAGTATGGGATGTGACTCATCCCTCTAYTTATCGATCAGCTATCAATTCCTTTTATTTGTATAGAGTCATCATGTTTTGTGTTGCATATAATCATTGACAAACAAAGCATAAATTACTTAATCAATTACTGAAATAAAAATATCAGATATAAGTGATATGATATGTATTTTCATTTGAACATTGGGGCAGTCTTTTAACAAGCAATTAGGAAAGTGTAAAGCACCCAAGTCCTAAATCTTATCTGATACCATGTCCATTAACAAGGGAGTCATAAAACTGGAAATGTAATAAATAAATGTAATGTCATTTGATACCTTTTTATGTGACATCATTTCTGTGAATAAGGTTCTGGACTCAATGGCTGAATAATATATACTATATTATGTATATTACATACTATATACTATATTACACTCAATAATATACTATATTGTAATGTGTATATACCTTATATCTATGTGCATATAATATTTACATAACATATGCATTTTTTAAAGGAGACATTATACTTAATGGAGAAGCATTTTAAATGTTTGTCAGATTTTTTCCAGTGGGTTAGAATTATCCTAGTCACACTTATTGGATGGCAATTATTTTTGGTGACTCACCTTTGTTGAGACTTTGCAGAGTACTTACCTTAGTTTGTATAGAAAAGAGTTTACATAATATTTAATTTAATCACAAAAGTTATATCCACATGTGTGATTGGTATAAGTAGATTTGAAAACAAAAACAAGTTTAGCCTGTAAATTGATGGGARGCAATGGTTGTGGGCATTGGAAGGTGACATAGTGGCCAAGATCAGTCATTGTATTGTGGCCTAATGAATATGTGACATAAAAGAAATGGTTTACTGGGGAATGGCTAAGTAAAGGTCAATTAATCACACTTTTTATTTTCATAGAACAAACCAGATATTAACCACCATTTATAAAACATCATGTTAAGGGCTCATGCTTTATTTTCTACATTTTCTGTATATTATGATAAGTAATAAAAACTTGTCATCTGATTTAATTATATCCCATCAAATTTGCACAGAGCATACTACTCATTTTAACTTTTAAAGTAGTTTCTAATCTTGACCATAGCATCTTCGTTTCTACAGCAGAAGGAGAGGCACATGATCATTTAATTATAGCTTTGTTTTGCATGTACTGTTCAGATGCAATTGCATACAACCATATTTATGTTTCAATAATTGAGTTTTCAGAGGATACTTTGTTTAAAAAGAAAGCACATATTAATTTCTCATTACATTACTCATGAGTAGGAAGACTTATTTGTCATCATTCAACAACACTTATTGATAGCCTTCTAAAGGCCAAGTGTAACATTGTGTACAAATGGGTATTATCTTTACTATATTGCCAGAGGGAGTTTTGAATATACAAAAAAAAAATACCCTTGGCAAAGATGATTACTGTGTTCTGATTTTTATCTTTCCACATACATTTGCTTATAATAACTTTGATAGCATTCAAAGATCAGACTAAAGCAAATTAATTATTTCAATTTTTGTAAGTACAAATACAATATAGTCCCATTACCAGCATCTGAAAATAGAAATTGAGACTGCCAGGAGGCAGTCATTCAAGAAGTATCTCCATCAATTATTTTTGAATGGAGAATCATCCTCTTGAAGAAATGTGTACCTGGAAGGATGAACACTCTAGAACATTTCTGGGAAAAAAAAAAAAAAGACTTTGTGGTGTAGTTGAATTCAATAGATATAAATTCACATTTTTTATTATTTTATTTGCCATTAGATAATTATTGTTAAAGAATAAAAAAACTTTTAGCAAAACATCATAATATAGCTGTCTCCATCCTATATTTCACATGAAAATCATTCTTCCACATACACTTTCTCCACTCCAGGAAAATGAATCTCAAATAACTACACAATACACCCAAATGAAAAAAAAATTACTGATGTGATAGATGACCATTTTACTTTTCTTCAATTTTTATTAGTAGATGATCATTCCTTTTGCAAATTCATTCTTTGGCAGTTTTATATGACCATATTCCTCACAGCATCTAAAATATTGCTGGGTGTRTACATGAATCATAGAATGTCTTCAGGAATGTGGTGTTAAGTAAGTTGCCTACGTAACTGAGGAGCTTTAAAAAAAAATACTCATATCTGGACCCTATCCTCAGGGATTCTGATTCAATAGGTCTGTAATATGATCCAAGTAACAACATTTTWAAAAAATCCCTCTAATAATTCTAATATGCAGCTAGAGTTGAATACAACTAATTGAGAACATAGGTTGTAATTTATCTGTGTTAAATTTATAAACCCATATTGACAATATTAAAATAATCACCAAATGGTATAACAGKTTTTTTAAGTTCATTCATTCAACAAATCTTTATTCAACACCTATTCTTCTCCAGAACTTTGGATGCATGCTTTTGTCTTTCCTGCAACATTTGCTTTCAGTGAATAAGATGCTATGGAATTATTTAAACATCATAAGAAACATTCAGGCATGCTGAATTTGTTATTCTGTGCTTCTCTGGATATTGTAACATTTTCTTTAGTTAGTCAGTTTCTTCCTAGTCTCATTTAACTATGATTCCACCCCAAAGAAAATCTATTTAATCATTTTTGTGGCTCTTAACTATATTTTTTGCATAATTTCATATCATCAATTTTTTCAATATGTATTGGGGAGGTACATATTGGAAATAATTTCCCTGTTAAATGACTCATAATGTTATGTGGGAGCAGATAAATAGAGAAGGCTCACACGGTTATATGATGTGGTCACACGATGTTCTAGGAGTACATAGCAACAGATGAACAGAGATAAACAAATGAATTAATTGGTGAGGGCCAAGAATGTTTCTCTAAGGAAGTTTCATCTAACATGAGCCAAGAAAAGATGGGGAAGAAGAATCCTGGTGGAGGAAAAAGTACTGTCTTATATTTATAAAAAGAACAAATAAAAAAATATATAAAAGGTTTCAAAAGGGCTGGTAGCTCAGGGGAGAAGTGCATGCTTAGCATGCCCAAGGCCCCAAATTCAATATGCAGCACTATTTAAAAAAAAAGAAAGAAAAAGAAAAGGAAAGGAAAGCAAATAAGCAAAATTTTCTAAAATAGCACAGGAAAGAACACTTGGTAGTAAAACCATTAAAATTTACATCTTGGATTGAGTGCTTGCCTAGCATGCATGACATTCTAGGTTCAGTATCCAGCACTTCAGTATATACACACATAAATTTAATGTCTTTTTTTCTACCTTAATGGTTTAGAAAACCCTTTTGGAATAACTCAAGTTATTGCTTGGTTTAAAATGATGGATTACTTGACAGTTATTACTGTTAGGTTACAATGCAGCCTGTAAATAGTAAAAGCAATAATAAAAGTGTGGTCATTTAACTTTGGGTGTGGCAGGGAGAGAACCTGACCTGTGTTGTCAGGGACACAGGCCTTCCAACATGGAGTGAGACCTGGGGCCTCCCTGTSAGTCCCTCTTCACTACATCACAAGGGGTCTTGTGAGCCATTTTATTTAGTTTTTTTTTTTTCCTGAAGAAAATGGAGAGCCACTAAAAGACTTATGCAGTATCACATAAAGATTTTAATCAATCCCTCTTAACACACATATTATATACGTATATATTTCTAATTTCTCAGTTTAATTTGACAATCAATTGAATTCTTCATAAATATATTTGAAGCTCTCTGCTGCTTTTGGAAAGGAAAGAACTGGTGGTAGGATTATTATAGCCATTCAAACAATCTCTGATACCTATGTTATGAAACCTAAAGAAAATATAGACAACTTATTCATTGTACTTCTGTGCTTTAGTTGAAGATTTTACTAACGTCATGGAATTTTCCTTTTAAAGTTATCATGACTGCCAAGTGGTACACTTAATTCATTTTAAATGGAGAAACCAGAGATATGGGTTTGAGACTCAGGAATATTTAGTAATATTTAGGTGACATTTAGTCATGAGATTTAGATTTTTATTCTTTTTTRTACATGTGTTTTATTTATTTATGTAAATTGTAAAAAATGGTACTTATTAATGGTGCACAATATGAAGCTTTGATGAATACATACATTCTGGAATGGCTAAATCAAGCTAGTTTATATATCCATCATTCCATATACTTWTCCTTTTTGGTGATGAGAATGCTTAAAATCTACTTCTTTGGCAGTTTTCAAGTATACAACACATTGTTTCTATTGCTATAGTCACCATGTAATACATCTCAAACTTACTATTCCTGTCTAACYGAAATTTTGTGTTCTTTCAACATCATCTCCCTAATCCTCCTCATCTGGCCCACTCAGCCCCTGGTAACCACATTCTACTCTCTGCTTCTATAAGTTGGATTATTTTAGATTCTTCATATAAGCAAAATCATGAGGTATTTGTCGTTCTATGCTGGCTTATTTATTATTATTATTATTATTATTTTTAATCACTGTGGTGTCTTAGGTGTTTAGCACGATTATTATGCAATCTGCACTCAAAATGTTTCATGAGTACATGAGTGCCTGAAACTTCAGAGGACCAGGAGAGGTGGCACACACACCTAGTGACTAGAGAGGCTGAGGCCGGAGGATGGCAAATTTGAAGCCAGCCTCGGCAACTTAGTGAGACCCTGTCTCAAAAAATAAAAAGGGCTGGGGATATAGCTCAGTGCTAAAGCACCCCTGGTTCAGTCCCCAGTACCAAATAAATAAATAAATAGGTCTCAACCTTACGCCACACATCAGGAGGGAGAGGCAGTGCATCTGACCACTCTGGGTGCTATCTTGGAAGGCAGATAAAGAACATACCAGAATTGTGGTGAAATACAGAGAATTTGACTGATTCTCTACCGTTGATCTTCTAATCCAGAAAGGACATGTCACATTATCTGCTCACGTTAATTTATGTGGCTCACATTGTTTACAACTTCCTTTCCCAAGGCTTTTTGCTTTTAATAAAGTGCATGTTTTCATTGCTTCCTTTTAAAGCTTTTCTAGAAACGTCACTTAGTTCATTTTAGAGAAGCCTTGAAAGCATTAATGTGCTTTCTCAGTATGACTAATTATTAACGCCATCGCTAAAGAATTTGCTTTTTAAGTGAGAACTCAAATAATAAACCTTCTCTTGTATAATTTCACTGCAAAGATCATTTTTCTTCTGAAAGAACAGATGAGTTTTCACAGGAGAGAGAGGTTTCCACAGGGTACACGCTGATAAGATGGGGCATTTGGGGCCTGATGCTGCTATCGAGTATGATCCATTCCGTCGTTCTTTGCATCTTCTGTTTGATTTTTTTTTTTAACTTGAAGTCCTAATGATTTTTGTCTTTTCAGACCATCACAGAGAAACACAAGTTAAATGTTCCTGAAACGATGACCGAGGTTCTTGACGTTTCTGATGAAGAAGGTAAGACTTGTTTGAACTGTTATGACATCTGTCACATTATCACACAGAGACCGACCCAGTGCTGGGGATGGCCACCTCTTAACACTTAGATTTAACATTCAAAGTTCTTTCTACATCTTTGTTTCAATATGTTTACTTCTGCCACTGTGGAGGAGCAGGGAGGAAAGACTGATCAGTCTATTTTCTCCTTTCATTGCTTTTAATATATGTATCAAATGACAGTTGGCAGAAAGTGGAAAGAACCAAAACTGGTCATGCTTTAAAAGAGCTACCTGGTAATACAATTATTAATAATGTGTATTTTAATTATGTCAAAATATTTTTTATTCAAGTGTCTTAAAGTCTTTAAAGTATTCTTCATTAATGATATATTAAGAAATCTCTGCTTTCTGATTGGTTCAAATGTACAGAACAAATATTAAATCCAAAGGAAAAGAGCCATAGTGAAGGCTTAAAAATAGCACTGCAGCAAATAGTACAAATCCAACATAAATAAGCAGCTCTTTAAGTAAAAAAAAAAGATGCATCTTATAGTTTTAAAGTTGATGAAAATTATCTAAGGCAGTAGATTGCAAAGTCCTAGGAAGCCCATTTTTCTAAAAGGCGTCCTGGGGACTGCCTAGGGTAGGTGTGAGGCATTTTGCCAGAGCTGGAGTTCTGGCCCCTCTACTTCAAACCAGAAAGTCGACTTTGCTTTATATTTTGATTTTTCATATAATAGTCCACTTGAATAAAAAAAAAAAAAAACTGCTACTAAAAAATCACAAAGGCAGTTTATAAAGTATGTAACCTAGCCTCAGTGGTGCCACCGTTGGTCATATGTACATGATTGAAAAATCATTGCCAAATGCTTACACATGGAAAATGTATATGTTTGAAAATTATTGCCTTAAAAGGTGGTACTAGGCTTAATACTATACTTTTATGAAGAAATACTAAAGCATTTTTTAAGGTTCATCAACATAAAATCAGGTAAAACTTTAATTGTGATATTTTTCTTTGGAACCAATTTGTTATATCACCTATTGACTGATAGGTATTGAGTTGTCCCAATTTATAAAAGATTCAGGACGGACAAGAATGAACAAATGTTGGGTAAATGCATTATTATAAGTAAGTTAAAAAGTATTGTCAAAGTCATCAGATGCACATATTTATCATAATTTTGTGTTCTATCCTTATACTTATGAACTAATTTTCCAGTATCCATGTATGCATACCATATTTTGTTTTGTGGATCATCTTTCTCATCTTCACTTCTGTGTTGTACAGCTTTAAAACAGTTTGGGGACCATTTTGTTGATGGGGAAACACTTAGTGATTCAGGTACCATTAGAGGAACTTGGTGTGTAAGCTTTTCTTTGCTTTTGTTTTTTTCTGAAATGGATAAAAACAACTTGCTTATTATTTAAATCTGTGTGCCTGTTACTAATGTTTCTTTTGAAATAGCATGTGTAATATGGGTGGAATTGTATATGTGTGCTTATGACTGTGTGGATTTTATTAACCTAGAAGCTTAAAGCTGTAAATAGTTTATGCTTTCAATGATTTTGCAATTACTATTGAGACTTACTAACATAACTTTATCAGATGATATTATATAAATATTTTTCTCAAATTAATATCTTTTCTTAGGATATAAATTTAGAGAAGAAGTAATCCTTTGCTAAATTGATACTAAACTAGCATAATCATGTTAAAATATGTCATTAKTTACTAACTAAGCTATAAGCTAAGACTGCTTGTAATGAAAACAGTTCACATCATCCTTCTTGGATGAAGACATACTTCAAGTTTGGTAAGAGAAAATATTAAATTAGAAGCTGRGTATAGTAGCAAGAGCCTATACTATAGCCCCAACCACTGGGGAAGCTGAGGCAGGAGGATTACTGGAGTCCAGGAGTTCATCAGCCTATGTAAAATAGCAAGACCCTGTCTCTTAAAAAGTACAAGTATATATAATATATATTAATTTTTACTATATAAATTAGTGATTTTTTWAAAAAATTAAAATTAAAAAACTCTTTTAAATAATGTGAATTTTTTAAAGTTAAGAATGGAGATAAATAAACTTTTAAAATTATTTAGGGTAAACTTGGCATTTAGGGGGAAAATGAATAAGACATTCTATAGTTTAGCCAAAAATTTCAAAAGTACATGTGGTACTATTTTAATGCAACTCTACTAAATTAAAAAAATAATGATTATTTGATTTAAAAATAACTTTATTTACAAAATAATTGTTAAAGAATTCYATTTCTAGTGCATTTAAAACATTTAYTATTGGATCTTTAGAAATTTCATTAATAGCCTCTCAGACCTTCACAATAAGGTCTAGCTATAACATGTAACTTAAAAAATTAAAACAATTATCTATTAGAAATTATTAGGGATAAGAACTGTTGATTTGAGAAGCATACTGGTTAATGATCAAGAAAGTCTCTTTAGTAAGAAAAATTTTCCATTTTTAAAAATAGCCCAAAACTTAGTAACCTTTTATTCCTAGCAGGCAATTCAAGTTGAATAATTTTTATATAAAGGACATRTTAGAGTAGTATAAACTATCTTTTTCATTCAGGGAAAGTATAAAGAGAGTTGGCTTTCACATTGCCAACTCTTTAATGTTTTGCACAATTAAAAATGTTTTCATGGAACCTGACATCACCCACGTGGTCATATTGCATCCACATGCGTTTGGAAAGTACTATCCAATTCTCATTTTCTCTACAGCATCTATTATTTTAATAATAGTAATACTGTACTACCCCAAAGATTAGTCAAGCCAAATACAGATGTCTTCTAAGACTAACTTGCTATGTATTATAGAAATCAGCATTATCCGTCCATGAATCTATGAGCAAGTAGTAAATGTGAAATTTTATGGTGGAAAGGTCTATAACTGGTACTATGGGGGAATCAAAGGTGAATATGGGGTATGCCTTTGAGAAGCATGAATGGAGAGATAATGTATAAAAGAAGTATAATTTAGGGCAACATGTCAGGTCTTCATATTTGCTTGGCAGGATGGAGATACTTAGCAGTTTCATAGATGATAGATGAATAAGAAGGTAATCCGGGTTTAGGGAATGAAGAAGGGATAGTGTGAAGGTCCCAAGATGGGAAAAGTGCAAAAGAGATGTAGAGTGATCAAGTAATACAGTCAATTGATTTGGCTGATGCATAAAAACATGGGGTCAGTTGTGGAGTGTTTGAATTCTTAACTGAAAAGTCTGGGAAAATTAGGATACCTTAAAATGTCATTTAAATCTGTTAATCCAATTAAATCTGTTAATTAAATCTGTTAATTAAATTAAATCTGTTAATCCAACAGGGGTCCACAGAAGGCATGCACTAAGAACTTGGGAAGAAACAGATATCAAAGCAGAGACAAATAATTTATTGAAGCATTTAGATGTGTTATCTTATTTAACTCCCACAGCATCCCTGTGAGAGAGGCTATAGATTTCCCCCATATTTTTTTTTTCAGGTGAGGACAGGCTTATCTGCAGGCGAAGAGAATAAGCCTTAGAGACATTAAGTAGTTTGTTCAGTGGCACACAGCTATTAAGTGGTAATAGAATCTAAGTAGTAGTAGAGTCTAAATCTAGCACGAAAACTGTTGTAACAGCTTGGCTGTGTTAGAAAGAACATCTTCATGGAGGAGCATGGCAGGATATTCAAGAAAAAGACAGAGTGGGAAGGGAATTATAATGTCCAGACTTCATTGAAGCTGTGAATGTAATCCTCGACATCTCGTGGAATCATGAGCTGATTCCTGTCTTTGCTGACTCAGCTCCATAGCCATAAGCTGTAAGTGGGAGCTGAGGAGTTATAACACTAGTGCAGTGGGGGAAAAAAAAAAAAATGATCTGACAGTTGAGAACTCCAGCATGGCAGAGCATTGTATGAAATACCGAGGCTCCATCTGTCTTCTGCTTTGACACACTTCACTTCTGTTGTGAACACTTGACACTTAGTGAAGCCCTTATCTCAGAATTCGGTCTTTTYCCCATATATCAACAGCAAGGATAATTTGAATGGGAGGGAGCTTAGTGACATTTCAGATAATCATCTTCTTCCCAGCATCAATTGTGACCATTCCATTGTATCTTAATTTGTGTCTACGCTCTTCCCATCTGTGTCCTACAGAGGCTGGTTATTTTAGTTGGGTTTGTGTGATTGTGATCTAAAGGCCCAACAAGAAAATCTTAGAGAAGGAAAAGTTTATTTTGGCTCAGTTTCCGAGGTTCAATCCCTGGTCATCTGAGTCCATGGCTCTGGAACCCAAGGTGAGACAGAACATCATAGAGGAAGGATGTGGCACAAGGAAGCAGCTCAGGATGTGACAACTAGGAAGCGGAGAGCACTACTCACTACGGACAAAATATAACCCCCAAAGCACACCCCCAGTGATCCACTTCCTCCAGCCACACCCTGCCCGCCTACAGTTACCACCCACTTAATCCACATCAGAGGATTAATCCACTGATTAGCTTTTAGCTGTCATAATCTTTTCACCTCTGAACGTCTTGCATTGTCTCCCATATGAGTTTATGGGGGACATCTCATATCTATACCATAACACTGTTCATGGTTAAATTCCACTATCACTATGGAATCTCRTAGTTTCCAGCTATCAAAACTTCAACTCTGCTGTGATACACTGATGCTTTTACGGTTAATAGGAAAGCATTGTCACAACATTGTTTGGAAAGAATTGGAGAATACAACAAAGAAAAGTAATTCATAAACCTGGGTGTCATCATTTCATTAAGTGAGGAAGTAGGTAATGAGGGGGAGGTGTCATCCTGAGTATAGGCAACAGTAAGGAAATGTATATAAGGTTTATTATATGATGGAATAAAATAGGTTTGACTATTTTACATCAAGTAAGTAAGCTGGTAAAAGGAAGTATGTTGGTGTATAATAATCCTTTCACAATCTAAGTTATGTAAAAGTTTTTCCAAGTATACTGGAAGTCTACTTAAATAAGAGCTAAACGTTTTACATCAAGCTATTGTTTTAAAACACTCATCCCCATAGACCTGATCAACTTGGGCAAGGAAGTAGTTGTTTTGTTTGCYCATATATGGAATTTGCAAAGAAGTATGGTGGTTAGGAGTGGGACAGGTAAAGAAGATGAGTTCTGTTTGGGACAAGCTAAATCTGAGTTGCTTGTAGGAATTTCAGTGCCCCAAAATAGGATTAGGACACAATTTCCATTGTGTAGATGTGGAGTTTGTGAGCAAGGTCTATGATAGATATAAATTTGTGTATAGATAGTGTATTGAATGTCCTTGAACCATTCAATAATCTTAATAATACATGATAATATATGACATAAAAAGAAAGATTAGATGGGAAATAGCAACATTTATGGGAAGTAGAAGCTGAGAAGAAAAACTCAAAGTGGTAGGGGGAAGACAAGGAGAGATGTCAGAGAAATTAAGAAGAGTTATTTTTTAGAGAAAAAAAGCTTCTTTGAGTCATTTCTCTCTGAGACATAATCAAGACATCATGATCAGAAAGAGAAACGGGGAGGGAAAGAAGAAATACAGGAGATTGAAATGGAGTAATTGTGTTATATGCATTTGTAAATGTCAGAATAAATTCCACTATTATGTATGACTATAATACACTAATGAAATGTAGAAAATAAAAAATTTTAAAAAACACTAAAAAAAGATTAAAACAAACAAACAAAAAACCCTGTGATGTTATATACCTAAGGCCATCATAGGTGTCTCTAGAACTGTGAAGTGCTGGGCRTGKTGGCGCAYGCCTGTAATCCCAGTGGTTTGGAAGTCGGAGGCAGGAGGATAGTGAGTTCAAAGCCAGCCTCAGTAGTTTAGCGAGGCTCTAAGCAACTCAGTGAGTTCCTGTCTCTAATAAAATACAAAGTAGGGCTAGGAATGTGGCTTAGTTGTCTGTTCGAATGCCCCTGAGTTCAGTCTCTGGTACCACCCCCCACCCCCACCCCACTCCACTCCCCCACCCCCCCCCCCACCAAAAAAGAAAAAAAAAAAACTGTGAAGTTTCTTTTTGTATGTGTTTTTTTGTTGTTGTTGTTGTTTGTTTTTGTTTTTTTGTATTGGACATTGAACCTAGGGCTGCCTTAACACTCAGCTACATCCCCAGCCCTTTTTATCTTTATATATATATTTTTTAATTTTGAGATAGGGTTTCACTAATTTGCTTAGGGCTTTGTTAAGCTGCTGAGGCTGGCTTTRAACTTGCAATYCTCCTGCCTCAACCTCCCAAGTTGCTGATATTACTCATGTGTGACACCATACCCAGCTGGTTTTTAATAACACTAAACATAGCAGCTGTTAGATAGAAAGCACCATGACAAACTCTCAAAATGTAGAGAATGAGGGAGAATGCCAAGGAAATCCAATGTCTCATTAACTCAGTGTAATCAGAGGTTTTTAAATTTTATGCCTTGATTTGTTACTAGAGGCAAAAAAAATTTGATGTGTTTGATTAAAAATGTACTCTTAAGTTTCTTGCTTTCTGTCTTCTAACAAGATTCCGTATTCATAAGAGAGAAGGCAAGGGTTAGATCCTGGGGTTCTTTTGCATAACCTTCAAGATGAAACCATGAGGCTGCGTCTTGCGCCTGMTAGCTAGACTCTTTTCTCTTTCTTTCTCCCCTTTTCTTTCCATCACATTTTTTAACCTTATTCTCTCCACAAAGACATGATAAGAGGGAAATATGGGTGGAATAAGGAAATTGGAAATTCAAGACCTATTTGAATAAGGAGTTTTTGGTATTTTCTTTTCTTTTTTGGACTGGTGATTGAACCTAGGGGTGCTTAGCTATTGAGCCACATCCCAGCCCTTTTTATTTTTTTATTTTGAGGCAGTCTTGCTAAGTTGTTTAGGGCCTTACTAAATTGCTGAGGCATGCCTCAAACTTGCCATCCTCCTGCCTCAGTCTTCCTGGATTGCTGGGATTACAGGCATGTGCCACCACACCCGGCTAATTTTCAAGAATTTTAAGAACCAAGAAAATTAAAGCTTATTTTGAGTTGCTTTTGTTCCTCGTCACCACCGTGACTTCTGAGAGAGTGAACTGAGAACTGGCAGATTGGGAGAATCAAGTTGAAATGCAAAACCAAATTGATGTGGCAGAGGGAGGGGATGCCCTATTTGTGGGTAATATTAGGAATGTTGTGTTAGAAAGCAAGGCAAAATTGCAGTGGATTCTTGGGGGTGGGATAGTAGAGTGAGGAAAAGAAAGAAAAAGAGAGTGAGAATGTACCAGTGGCCATTTGGCTTTTTGTCAAGCAATCCCCAATGGATAGCCTGTGTTATGTGACAGTCCTGCAGTCTACCAACCCATCACTTTTTCACAAATAAGTGTGTATGTTGTCCTCTCAAACATTAGCAAAACTCACTGAAAATAATTTAGGCTTGTACCCAAGCCAGACTATATAGTGTGTTTCATTAGACCTATTCTCAGAATTCAACTTAGATTTTTTTTCTCACTTTATTCAAGTGTTCTTTCCCCTAATGTATGCATTTTATTAATCCTATAAATTAATTATTCCACTTAAAATATCACATATTTGATAGGAATAGACATTTTTAAAGCATATTGTCAAATGTATGAAGAAACTATTAAGGCTGGACATTATGTATAAAATTATTGAAACTACAGATAGAAGCCAAGTAGTCTATGCATTGGATTAATTATTAGGCTAAACAATATAAGCTAAAAACCAGTTGTCCTGATAAAGCAAATTGATGGGCTTGAAAAGAATTATAATTCAGGTAATTATTTATTCTTTATATATTTTAGTATGTTTTAGCCTTTTTCGAGTGTCTGCATGCCTCTGTCTGTGTTCTACTAGAGTGCAGTGTTTCATGTATGTCAGGGCTGTTTATGGAATGCATTCTGCAATCACAGTCATAATTTRTAGTTGATACTGCAACCAACAAATAAATTCCTCCATCTTCCTCTGCTTGTTTCAAGGGGATGACACCATGACAGGTGATGGGGGAGAATACCTAAGGCCTGAGGACCTCAAAGAACTGGGTGATGACTCCCTACCCAGCAGTCAATTCCTGGACGGCATGAATTACCTGCGATACAGCTTGGAGGGAGGACGATCTGACAGGTATTCACGCAAAACTTGATGTCCATTGAAAGTGTGTGCAACACATTTTTATGATGATAAAAAAGTAGATGCAATTATTGAACACTTAATGGGCACTTCACCATTTTCAGCAGCTAGTATTTCATCTCATTCAGTTCTGTAACAACTTTAAGAAGTGTCCGTTTGCTGGGCGTGGTGGCGCATGCCTGTAATCCCAGTGGCTCTGGAGACTGAGGCTAGAGGATCGTGAGTGCAAAGCCAGCCTCAGCAATGGTGAGATGCTAAGCAGCTCAATGAGACCCTGTCTCTAAATAAAATACAAAATAGGGTTGGGGATGTGGTTCAGTGGTCAGTGCCCCTGAGTTCAATCCCTGGTACCCCCGCCCTGCAAAAAAGAAGTGTCCATTTTCAAGAACAGACACTGAGGCCAAGAGAAATTAAGTAACTTGGTAAAATCAAACAACTACTAAGAAGCAGAACTGTGATAAATAAGAGCCTTTAATGGTGTGTTTGATCATCGGCTACTTCTTTTCCTCTTGGTAAATCCAAGGGGCCATTTTGCATATAGAGCCTCTTACCAAGTGGCATCTATAGATATCTCTAAATCCCTTTTTTTTATTGTTGTTAATCATATAGTTTCTGTGAACAAGAGTATGTTATGAAGAATAATTAAAAGGATTCAAAAGAAAACTGTGCCTGGAATTAGCTTTTTCATAAAACAAACAAACAAAACTGAACTGATCTTGGAAAAACCGAGGTACATTAGAAACTATCTGAGCAAAACCTTAAGGAGCCTCACTTTTATAGAAAAATCTGGAGGGCTGGGGCTGTAGCTCAGTAGTAGAGTGCTTGCCTTGCACATGAGAAACACTGGGTTTAATCCTCAGCACCACATAAAAATAAATAAAGATATTGCGTCCATCTATAACTTTTAAAAAATTTTTAAAAAGAAAAATTTGGAGAGGTTTATACAATATCTGAAATATATGCTCTGTGTTATTTTTGGTTATTACTGGTAAAACTAGTACTTGTTACTTTCTGGGGCAAGCTGATTAAGAACACCGGAGCTGGGTATGGTGGTGCACACCTGTAATCCCAGCGACTTGGGAGACTGAGGCAGGAGGATCACAGTTTAAAGCCAGCCTCAGCAATTTAGCGAGGCCCTAAGCAATTCAGTGAGACCCTGTCTCTAAATAAAATACAAAGAAGGACTGGGGATGTGGCTCAGTGGTTAAGTGCCCCTTGATTCACTCCTCAGTACCAAAAATAAACAAAAACACATCTGGAATACCTCATCAAAAGCATGACTACTAATTTAGGTCAAGCATATCGTTGTCCATGTAGTTCTATTTCCTAATCAACACTCTCATGTTTCCTCCTATCTGACTATATATCTATCTATTTATCATGGTACTGAGAATTGAAACCAGGGGTACTCTAACACCTGGGTTTATATATTTTATATATATTTATATTTCATACCCCTAGCCCATTTATTTTATTTTGAGACAGGGTCTCATTAAATTGCTGTGGGTCTTGCTAAGTTTCTGAAGGTGCTCTTTAACTTGCAATCCTCCTAAATCAGTCTTCTATGTGGCTTGGATTACAAATGTGCATCCCCCACCTGGCTTTGTCTATTACGTTAAAGTTGCCCCTGTTCTAAGCTATTTTATGAATAGTCCATATACTTACAGTTTAAGAAATAATTACACTAAAGAATAGTCAATTCTAAGGAAATAACTGGCCAAACTGAGATTTTCTTGGGCTTTTTCTTTGAATATCAGTGCTCTCTTACCTTTTTTTTTTAAATTAACATTCAAATGTAGTTACAATAAAATGTATTTGTGTCAGGCTTTGTAGTAAGTACTGAAGGTGCCAACGTGATTAAGATATGCTTGTTAAACCCATAGCCTAACAGGGTGGGAGACAGTAGATTAGCAGTAGACAAAGAGGGCCACTGGAGCCCTGTGGCTTGAGCTGCCTGGAGAAGAACCCAAACTGAGGTACAATGATGATAATGATGGTGGGGAAAGGTAGGCTGGGCATCTGAAGCCTTAATAGGTCACAGGCAAAGGCTGACAATGTGTGTGAACAACAAAGAAGTGTAGCATTCCTAGAGAATAAGTGTAAAAGAGGAATCATATTTATATTTTTAGAGGACTCCTTCTACTAATGAGATGGAGGATGAATTTTAGAGGAGAGTTGTTTATCTGAAGGACTAGATCTCTCAGTTGTAGTCACCTGAGAGCCTACTGCAGGGTTATTAACCATGATTGTTATGAGAGGGCTTCAACTCTAACCTTGGAGATGGTCATGAAAAATGAAAAATCTAAGACGTATCTCAGAATATGTCTTAGCCAGAATATGAACTAGCCAGATTTGGTGATGGAATCCATGGGGTGGTTGAAGTGGTTGGTAAGTTGACTGCTTGGCCTTAGTGGCTTAGATACAGGATGGCCCTTGGGATCAGGATACAGAAGGAGGAGCCCATTGGGAGATTGTGGGGGGGATGATGGGGGTCAGTGTATCATACATTAATTGGAACATATTTTGAAACATTGATAGATTTGGAACTTATAACCTGAGATTCTTAGAATTTCAATGAAAGGAGAATTAGGAGATATTTATAGTTGTGCATCAATTCATCATAATCTATGAAAAACTATATTACTATAAGCCAGAAAAATCTTTATTTTCAGCATAGTCTCTTTTATTAAAAATGCATACTTCATTCAGTCATTTTCCCTTCTTTTAAAAGTGCTTTAACCTGAGAAAGTATGTAGAATATATGTTCTATAAAACAGGGGTGGATGGTTTGATACCTTTCCTTAAACTGAATTCTTATTAGCATGTAAAGTCAGGGACAGGAAGCAAACCAACACACGATTGTCCTTCAGGTCCACATGTGCCTATCTAGAGTCCCAGATGTGTTCAAAGTCTCTTAAATGGAACCATAGGCAGCATCTCATTTTCATGGTTTTCTTGTTCATTTTACTTTCTTTAATTTTTAAAATTTTGCTCAGGCGATTCAAAATCAGTCACCTCTTTTTTTTGGTAACCATTTTTCCTTTTCATTATTTCTTTATTTGGTATGCTCTCAATAGTACCATGCCCAGGTAGGTATTACACAGCATGAGAACATGGCCTTCCTGGTTTCATCCACATCTCCCTGCTCACTGCTCAATGTGTGTGTATGTGTGTATATGTATGTTGGCAAGAGGTGCTTATATTCTAGAATTATGGATCTATTCTCGAAGTAGGATTTTTTTGGACTAAATTGAAAACCTGTTTGAGCTAGAGAGATGAATCTATTACTGGAATAAAGTGAGCTACAGACCCAAGTGTGACTTTAACTGTCACAGCTCCACCTTGTGGTTGACAAAACATGAGCATTGCTTCCTCTAAACTAACCCAATCAGCCTGTGTGTGCTTGGAGAAGACAGAAAAAGGATTGTGATGCCTAAAATGAACAGAGATGCAAAATAATAAAAAATATGCAATTTAATTTATGTTGAACAAAAAATCCAGATAAGCCTTGAGGAGTTAGATTTTGCTTCCACTTTATTTTATTAGTGCTTACAAATTTTAAATTCTGTCCAAATCCAATATAAAACACCAAATAACAATGAACTGCAGAAGCTTCTCCATTTATTAAAGCAAGCAAATTAGATTTTTTGGATATTCACTTGTTACATAAGGTTTGAAATTCCACAAATCAAATTTCTAATAGATATTGTAGTTTACTAAGAGTAATTATTACACTTTTCAATGAACTTATACTTTCATATTAGCAAATATAAGTCCCTAAAGCAATTTCACCATAGTGAAAAAAGTATAAATTGAATCCATAGCAAATTCTTGGCAACCAGATGGACAGTAAAAATGTACCCTTCTATGGAGATATAATTATATATATATATGTTTTAACTGAACAGAGGCCCTCTGACTTAATGGAAAAAAGAGGAATTCTATTGCAAAATACTGAAACTTGTCTGTAATGTTTTAAATACATTAAAACAATTTAATTTTTTWAAAAAAAGTAAATCAAATCCCTGGACAATTTCTGATCCAGGGACTTGACTTATTTCAGAGCTTTGTGCTGGTTATTCAGAGAAAATAATTTTTCTGTCCTTAGACTATTTCAATCATAGTCATTTCATTTAAATAGATTCTATAACAGCATAAAAACAAAACAATTAGAACCTATAAACATTCATTAAATAACCAATTAGTATAGCAGAGGGCAGTAAACAGAGTGAGCTAGAATAAAATTCTTACACAGAAATACTTAGAGACACATTTCATCTTCCTCATTTTGCCACATTCTCTCCATCCAATTTTTATCATTCTGTCCACATATCCTAACATTTTGCCTTCTTTACCCATGTCATTTTGTCTCCTTTATCCGTCTTCCTGTCTTTTAGGAAAGACAAAAAAACAATTATAACAAGAACAGCAGCAGTATCTCTTTACTCTTCCCAGTTCAAAACCAATTGAGAGACCTAGATATCAGGTAACTGGATATCAAAAATCCACCTCAAATACTGATACTAAGTGCTGATGAGGCTTTATATTCATAGCCCAGTGGGATCTTTCGTACCACATCCCTGAAACAGACAGAAGAGTTCACCTCGTCAACACCACTCCTTGAGAGTGACAATTGAGACCTGGTGACTGTTTTGAAAATTTAGACAGGTATAATGCTGACAGGCATGTCACTAGGTTTTACTTAGGGTAGCTTTATTTACCATTCAGCTAAATTCCATTTACCCTTGAGATCAGTTTCTGCTATTATTGTGCTACATTCAAGGGTTGGTTTTGCCTGGTGACAGTAAAAAGTTCCCCTTTCATGGAGAAGGGTAGATGTTTTCTCTATGATCAGACTAGTTCTAGTCATGGACTGTGTGCCTCTTGTTCCTTTTGTAATGTTGATGAATATACATTGAGCAGCTTTAAATGTATAAAGTCAAAATCTGAATCTTTGAAATCTAAAGTTTTGGAGAGAGATTATGTAATTAACAAATCTCAGCCCAATAGAAACCACTTAATGGGAGAAAGCAGTTGAACCCATAGACAACCCATTCATTTCTATGGGTTGGTTCCTCTGCTGTTTTTCCCTTTCTTGGCTAACTTCAAAACAAAGTTGAGAAGAATAGTATTTTGGAACTGCTTATCTAGCACTGTCTGGTACAAAATACATCCAAGTGGATCTTTGCTATCTTTGTGGTTTAAAGCAGGCAGGGGTTGGGGTAGGGGGGAGGGGTTGTTCATTCTACCAATTGAGAAAAGCATTTTCTGAGATTAAAGACCCCTTTCTCAATAATTTAATCTCTGTCCCAGCTTCAAATTCAAGATCAAGTGAAGACTAATCACAGCAGCCTATAGCCTGTTGATGAAGTACACCATCAAAAGCCAATAGCACAACTATAAGCCAGATGTAAAATATGCTGTCTCCAGCTGCTGGGATTTAAAACCCTAAAGCAGGGGCAGCTTTAGCTTTGTCAGGAGACTCAATCTGCCTCCAAGAGCCTATTAAAAAAATAAAAAGCTAATTCTCAAATTATATTAGATTTTATTTTATTATAAACACATAGATTCATATAGGGATACATGCATAGGTTCATATTATCAATTCCTTTGATTCATGTCACTCACTCTTTCAAGATTTGAGGTTCATAAACCTACCTATAAAATAGGAGAGGAGAGGTCTTAGATTACTATGAATAACCTCTCAAGAGAGGATTTCTTCAAAGACAATTGAAGTTGTGATGTCTCATAAGGAAAATAGTATATGGCTTACAAAATTAGATGTATTTTCAAAATTAAAATAATTCCTACTAATATATTTGCTACCTTGCTATCCAGTCCATAATTCTACTGTGCTTCACTGGTCAAATGCCAACTAGCTACAAGTAAATGAAAGTTTGCTTCTATCAATATTATGAGAATTGCACACCTTCTCTCCTCCCCGAATATGGGCTTTGGGCTAATATTTTGAATGCAGGTCTTTAATTTATGGACTAAATTCACATAATAAGCTATAGTATTTAAAACATCCAAATTAAGATATTTATTATATGCAACTGATTGAAGAATTAAATTGTCTATATGCAAATGTTAAGTTTTGTTTGAGTATATAACTCAGAACTTTGAGCTGCAGATTTATCAAAAGTAGATCATTTTTCAAGGCCTAAATCCCATTTTGAAGCCCAACCTCAGTTTCATCAATGTCCATTAGCAATTTGTCTTTGTGCTGGCAAGCGTGTCTGTGCTCGGGGCTGGTGCTTAGAAACGGTTTCTTGTGCTCTTGCATCTCATCCCCACGGCAACCAACACTTCATTGGTGCTTCACTCACCACACGCAGGACACGCCAAGGGGACAGTGCTCTTCTCTGAAATAATAGCATTGTTGGAGTCACCAGAGGAAAAACAGGAGGAACTCCACTTCCACAGGAAGCATGCATCTGACCTCAGTTCATTTCACTCTGTACCTTCCAGGGGAGTGGACCAACATTCAGTCATTCAGTTTAGAGAGGAAGAGAAAGAGGCATGCAGAGAATGGAAAATAATAAGCGAAAATGAAACCTGCCCTTTCATTTTGTTCTTCTCTCTGAGGGGCTGCCTACTTTCCCTCCCAAGATTTTTCTTAGTGGCAGGGAGATTAAAATTTCACACAGTTTGCAGCAGTTTATCCTAGAATTAGTTCCTGTGTGACTTTCTTGTACTGGCAGCAAGTAAACTACAGTTGCTGGTTTCAAAGATTTCTGGGAAGAAAATGAATCAGATTAAGAGTATCACATTTTAACTTCTGGATTCCCTTGTGCCCTGGTCATTGAGCAGTAGGAACCAGTCCAAGGAGGTGTTAGTTTAGCTGCTGGACAGAGAGGTAGGGCAACGCAGAGACCTTGTCCCCCTGGAAGTTGCACGGTTAGCTAATAGCACGCTTTTTTTCACTTCCCTGCTCGGCTCATCATTTCATCCTCCCAACCCTACTACTGCTGTTGGTATATCACCATGGCCTCCTGCCAACCTACCAGCCTTCGATCCTTCAGTTCCGACAGGTCTCACACTCTGAGCCATGCATCCTACCTGAGGGACAGTGCCATGATTGACGACACAGTTGTGATCCCCAGTCACCAGGTATGTGACCTTTTGCTTTTCTGTCTTTGCTTTCTGGTTAGCTTTTAAACACTACCTGAGGCTAGAAATGTCCTGAGAAAGCTTTTAGTCTTAAAACAAAGAAAGCCTTAACTCAGTCGACAATTTAGGATGCATATATGGTATAAGATGAGTAGTAGCTAGCTTCAAATTTATATATCTTTCAGTATTTAAAATTGATAGCTATGAGAAAAGGCTTACAGTTTATGCTGAAATATTCTTATTTAAAAATAGTTTTATTTTAGGTATGATTTTATCACTTTTAGTGGATAGGATAAAGGGAAATAGATGGACACTTAATCCCTTCAAAGAAAATTATACTAAAGTGATCTTATGTCAATAATATAATTTTAAAAGGGGAATGCATTATAAAAGATTTCATTGTAAATGCATTGGTCTTATGTTGTTAAATGAAAATCTTTCCAGGAATTACCACCTCCTTGTGTTGCCATTTTAAAAATTTCACCCTATTTTACTTTAATTGAAGCAAAGTATTTTTATGAAATCCAAGGTTCTTTGTGTTTAGGTGTCAACCCTAGCCAAGGAGGCAGAAAGGAATTCTTATCGTCTAAGCTGGGGCACTGAGAATTTAGACAACGTGGCTCTTTCTTCCAGCCCTATTCATTCAGGGTGAGTAAATCAATATTATGTATCCAGATCAAGAGGTAAAAAGAGATGAGAGTGAAAATAACAGCTTTGTCCAATAGCTGTAGCTGATGGCTCACTCACAGTGCAGGTGACCTTCATCAAAACCTGTGAATAACATTGCTTTATCCAACATGGACTCAGTCTATACAAATAGAATAGCAAAAAGGTTGAATTCAACATAGAAAACGGATTATTGTTTTAAAATAACTAGCAGGATTGTGTCAAACAGCTTGCTAACTAACCAGAACATCCCAATGGCCTCCTTTATAGAAGTTTGAATCACATAGATATGCAGATAAGTTCATTACTGCTTGAAGTAGGGATATAAATAAAAGGGCGAGTTTGCATGCAACTGTAAGCTTCTCAGTTGTCTTTTTAGAGTCATCCAGAATAAGTATGAAACAATTTAAGCAATATTGTCTATTTATATTAACTCATTAAGAAGCAGGACTTGAGTCATACTTTCAAACATAAAATCATTCTTCAGGTGTAAGAATTGAATTAGGTATAATATAAATTCTTTAAGAAGTTTTAAATTGTAACATTATTCCAATTTTTTTAGTAGCTTCAAATAGTGTGGTAATGTCATAATTATATATAAAATCCCCATATTTTATCATTTAATTACTTTTTAAAAAGCTCTACCCCTATTTTATTTAATTGCCAGTAATATTATAGTTTAAATTATTATCCCAAACTTTTATTCATAATCCCCAGGGCTATTTGGAGAAGCAGATCTATTCTTCTTTTGCTCTAAGATAATCTCCTTTTAGGAAAGTATTCCATGGTATTGTAGTTAAACATTTTGAACTTCTTAGTCTAACCTTCTAAGAAATAAAGACCATAGAATATAAAATTGGTTCTTTAGATATTCAAAACAATCATCACATTTTCTTTATTAAATAACAAAAGCTAGTTTCTGATAAAGGAATTGTATGGAGGAATAAAAAAACAAATTAAACCTAATCTAAATTTCCTTACATACTTTTAAGTATAAAATGAGATAACTAAAATCTCTCAGGTATAAAATATTGGAAAACCATAACATTGCATTCTGCAACTAAGTTTCTCAACAATGATGTGTAGGAAGGAAAAGAGGCATAGAACCAGAGGAATAAAAGATGATATGCATGAATCCAGAAACATATACACACTAGAGTGTGCAAAAGATTATAGATACTAGTACTTATGCAATCCCCATCCCATGTTCCAGACTTTTCACAAATTGCATCAGTTAAGCAAAACATGTTCTGAATCCTCTAAATGACAATACCAACACGGTTCAATTTATAATGGTGATATTTGACTTGTAATTTTTCATTAGGTAATTTACTATCTATTAGTGTTTCTACTATAGTATTTGAACAAACACAAAGCTACAGATGACTCTAAAAGCATGGCTGGTCTGGAAAATTTGGTTCCGAGTATTGTTGTATTTGAAAACTACCATGATATTAATGTATACGAATAATATTTCTCATACCGTATCATGTAACATTGATTTCTTATAATCTTGTAGACAAGATTCCTGAGCAGTAGTTTTTTTAAGGAACTGAGTTTCCATTTAATTCATTGGGTAAATTCCTAAACAACTTCAAAATCTAAAAATGGAAGAAAAAGAGTGCTTTTTTTTTTTAATAGTTTCTAATGCACATGTCACTGACTTGTGTATATAATGGTCTAATAGAGTTATTTTAGATTAGTAAAAGATCCAGYTTCTACCAATAAGTAGTATTGGTGATTTTATTTTACCTCTATACTTAATGTTTTCAAAGACTGATGACCCATAGCAGAGGAGAATAGGTACGATGATTTAAACACTTCCCTGCCTAATAGTTATAGTTACTATCTGGCAAAAAAACTGACAGCAGCATTTTTTGTTATTCTTCAAAGAGTTGCCCTACTGATTCACACGGAAGATAATCAACTGATATTTCTAGCACTGAGACATGGGCACATACCAACATAACTTTGGGCAAGAATTTGAATTTTACAAATTCTTCTTCAATTTATTAATGCCTAGTAGATGTAAGTCACAATTTTATTATCCAAATTTTATCCAAATTTACTTATATATTTTAAGTGTAAAATGAGGTCATTAAAATTTCAGCATTATAAATTATTCAAAACCATAACATTGTATTCTAATACCAAGCTTCTCAATAATGATGAGTAAAAAGGAAAGTACTCCTAGAACCAGAGAATTGAAGGATTATAGATAAGAATCAGAAACCATGTCCAAAATTCATTTTAAATATTGTTATTCCCAAAGTTTTACTTTTGTAGTGATTCAATAGCAGGAGCCATGAATTAAATGCCCACTTATGATGTTGTGCTACAAGATAATATGAATAATATGAGTCCATAAGATGATGGTCTTTTAAAAGAACTTCATAAAAACATTTTGAAGATGGTTTTGCTGTGAAGGTCACATTACTCTAAGGAATAAAGTCTATTTTTAAAAAATGTGTTGAAGACATTTGCTCAAATAATGGAGTATTTGAAATGCAAGGAATCTAAGGCTGTTTTTCAGGTCACAACATGAAATGTTTATCCAAGTACTTATAGTGGTGATTTACTTGTTCATGTGTTTTATCACACACTATGGTCTCTTTTAGATACATATAGGCAAATTCTTTAGAATAAAGAAAACTTTTTATAACTAGCAAAACAACTATTTTGTAAGATTGGATTTCTAGTCCATTAAACGTGTATACTTCTGTATGTCATCAAGTATTGAAAATACAAGTGAACTATTTGAAACCATATGGAAAGTTTCCAGGAAAAGCAGATTCACAGGTAGAAGAGAAGTGAAGGGTGAAACCATAGAGTGGGACTTAACATTAGGTCCAGTGCAGAAGACTACAATCCCCAAAGCAGGGAATTCAGTCATTTGAAAAAAAAAAAAAGCACTAAGAATTCATTTGCTAATATTTTGTTACAGACTGGGAGGTAATTAATGTTTTCTATTTGCCTTAGAGTTTATGCTGTTTGTCATTGAAGCTATATTTTAAATTATGCATTTCTGTTTGCATTTCTTTCGTGGTAGCCCAAAATGTATTATCATTGTTCTAAAAGTTTTAGAAGTATGAATGAAAAAATTTTTGAGTCAAAATTATATCCATCAAGTCAAATGTATATTTTTCATTATAATACCCCTTGACATGTCATAGCTTCTTGGACACTTTAAGTGTTCCCACGAACCAATGATCAATAATGCTACAAAATCTACATCCAGTGATTTTATAACATCTGTAGTTTCTTTAACTGGGAGTAGCTGCAAAACCCCCACACCTTGTCTTTCTTTCAGCATTTGCATAGAGCTGTCTCATTGTATTTCCATCTTTTTTAAAAAAATTTTTTAGTGAATACTGTATTGGTATATAAGTTATATATATTTCAGTTGAAAGTTGCTTCTGATTTCATTCTTTATATTTCACTTTATCCATTCCTTCTCTGTGCTAAAGTATCTATTCTATTGCAGCCGCACCTCTCCATGTCTTGATCGTGACAACAGCAGGTGAACTTCTGCATAATTCCTTCTCTGAATCTGTTGCCTATTCCTCTCCCAATTTCACCATCTCCTTCTGCATATCCCCAACCTCAGGATGCTTTAGTGTGGAAGATACCTAGCCAAACAGATAGGTTTATGTTCTCCAAATCATGAGCATTGTTCACTTTCCCATTCTCTCTCTGCAAAGGGAAAGTTGCTTTGTTTAATGTCAGTGGAAATAAGGTGGGGCTGTGCCAAGATTAATATGGGGTGCCTGTCTTGGTCGTGGGTCTCCACATCTCAGCTTCTTTTTGTGAGAAAAAGTGCTACACAGAGCTAAAATATGTTGTTCCCCATAATTATGCAAGTTGATTGAATTATTTTAGAGTTTTATTGAAGATTATCATTTTAAGTGGCACTTAACAGGCTTTTTGTTTTTATTTTGGCTTTGTTTGGTCTTACCATATTTTAGGTGAGCCAAAGGCTGAAAGTTTATTAATAGTGAATTTCCTTGCTAGTACTGCTTTAAGTATAACCTTATGATATTTTGGAAATTGTACTATAGAATGGCTCTAGTCCGCTTTCTAAAATAAGCTATTATTCTATGTCATTATAATACAGTTATTTTTAGAGGTTGCAGACTGCTGATTAGAGGGTAATTCTTTAGTCATCCATGATGATACTATAGATCATGAGTCTACAATTTAGACAATATTAGCATTTTTGAAAACGTATCTATCATTTTACTTTTTCTCAAACATCCACTAAATATTATCTTTCTATATGTGAACATATAATGATTGACAAATAATTACTTGGTGATGGTGATTTTAACAAATTGGAAACATATTTTCAAAGCCCATTTTTTAAATCAACTTTTCAGTTTATGGAATTCAGAGAATTAGGAAGGAATCAAGGGACTTATAGAGGAGGAAAAGCTCATGGTGTGATTTTCTCACAGTATCTTGGAAATTGAATTTAATTTGAGACCCTCTTGCTATGTATATATGGATCACTGAAGCACCCTGACTTATTTTTTCCTGTTTTTTCACCCAGTAACTAACTATGAATGTTGCAATCTCCTCTCTGTCCCTACCCCCATGGTCCTGGATGAATTAAAAGTAAAACTAAGAATCAGTAACTTTTGGGGTGCAGGATATAGTCCTCAAAAGACCAGATCATTGTTTTCTGCTGACTCTGAAGCATGCACCCATTTAGCTAATCAAATTGCATATTTGTAGGCAAGTCATCTGCATAATAATAGTGGATTGCTTTTGCTTTCTTTTAAAATTGTAATAACATTGTATCTCACAATTTAGAAAACTTCAATAAGAATTTCTACTTTGCATGACTGCTGAATTTCATTTGGAGAGTAAGATATGCTATTAAAGCTGAATGTTACCTGGTATTTTTTTTTTGTCTGTATAGTCTTAAGTTGATGTTTAGTGTAGTTCATGTACACATTTCAGCAAAGCAGCTATTTTAACTTTAAGGCAAAATAATACAAAATTCTTATTTTCCACTTAGGAATTCTTCCAGAACATCTAAAATGGAAGATTCCAGTAGGTTTTCTAACCTACTCAATAGGAAGCTACACATAACATTTTAACCTTTGGGAAGCAACTTAGAGTTTGTTCATTGATGTCTCTCATTTTATGGATGAGAAAACTAAAACTTATGAAGATGTTAAGTAACCTTCCTGTGGTTACAGTGATAATTCAAGACGGAAACAGGTCTACAACCACTGAAGAGCATGATGCACGTTACATTATCCTGTGCCCTGCAATAATAGCATTTTTACATTTTATTTAAATAGTAAATTTCATAAACAAAAACTCTATAAAATCTTATTAAACTACTTAGCACAGATCCAGGTTCATTGTTGGGTCTCAAAAAATTTTAGTTTTCCTATTTTTATGTGGTCATAACTTAAAGACATCCAAAATATATAAAACTCTGTGGCTATAGGTAAAAGAAGATGCTGGAAGCAAGCATTTATTGAATTCTGTATGTTTACCCATATAACTTAATTCTCACCATAACCTTAAGATGTAATAGGATTACCCCTCACTGACAGAGGAGGCTTCAGTCTTAGATCTCATAGCATGGAGAGCTAAGCTTTGATCTATTTGTCATCTTTTTTATATATATCTAATTATGTGTTTTTTACTTTAATTCTTTTCATCTCTAAATATTTACAGGCATTATCTTGTCTCATTTTTAATCTTCCCAACACTTAAGAAAATCATATTTATTTGATCAACTCTAACATGGTGACTGACTCATCTCATGGCTCACACCTTCCAACCTTTCTCTTGTTCTATGGTACATAAAGGTAAAATAGTCTCTTATAATCTGCTTTCTGCAGCTGTTTTGTACCTAGAAGAATAATCATCCCCCAATCTACTACCTGTCTCAATAGTGGCACTTTTTGATACTCTGCTACCTTTGATGAAAACTCTCAAATGCTTACCCAATTTTGTATTAGGAACTATTGGGCTTGACTAATTATATATTGACCTTTACCAGTAGACTTTTCATCAGTAACTAGATATAAACTTGGGTTATTATTTCTCCAATTCCTTCTTATTTAAAGAAAAAGCTTCTTTTACTTTACAACTTCATAAGTTCAAAATTTTTATTAGTCATTTGGCAATTGCACTATTTGAGTCTCATTTGTTTAGAATATTTTCTTGCTAGACTTATATATTTATTCATTTTGACTGACAATATTTAGTTCTTTCATGTCTTACAAGCCCTTGTTCTTGTCATCTTTCTACTTGACATTCTTCTCTGTTCTCTCTTCCTGAAGAAAATTGCCTCACTACAAACTACAGTTTGTCATTTTCTGTTTATGCCATTTCTTTAGTTACTTGATAAAAACAAAAAGCTTTATTTTCTTTAGAAATTCAAGTCGCCTCCCAAATTATGCATTTTGGCATTTTATTTTTCCAATTTGATTTGCATTTGGTGCAATACTTAAATATTATTTTCCTGATTTATGATGATACAGAGATACTTACAGATAAATTTATTAGCTTGCAGCTTTAGTCCTTAAGTACTTTTACTTTGAATTCCCTATCTTTGGTCTTTCTTCATACAACTTTTATTCCTAATTAAATTATTTGCTGCATTAAATTCAAATTCTTGGTTTTTGCTAAGTACCATTTTCTACCAGTTCTCTGCCAAGGGAAATAAATACATTAGATATCTCATTTTGGAGCAGAAATAAGCCGACAAACTATAATGCATTAAAGAGGCCTTTCAAACTGCTTTGCTACATGTGAGTGGAGTAATTGGAAAGAGTTCTCGAATAATTGTCTAGAGACCAAAAAACTAAGTTACCTCTTACTTCATCCTTCCTCATTAGACACAAATTTAGACAATGTCTCATAACTGGCCTTTTCACTCTTCCATTCATTTATTGATTCAAAAATTACCTACCATGTGTTGCAGGACCCATACTGTTCTCAGCACTGACACAGGAAGAAATATGGAGAACCTTTTCACTGCCCTTTATGGTGTTTAGGTGTTTCCTTAATGGGGCTGTAGTCCATTTCTCATTGATCAGGAAGTTAGCAGTTCTGAGCAAAGATGAAGCCATCAGGAGACATCTGGGCTTAGACCTTGAGCTTCTTGGCAGCACTACCTGGTACTTAATAGGAAGATAACAAAGACATGAAGAGGAGTGTGGAAATGGAAATCATGGAGCAAGGAGAATAAAATGAGGGTTTCAGCTACACAAAATCATGGAAAGTAATTGAACATGTGGTTATTTAACATTGTTATAGTCAAGAACACAGCTACTGCAATTCACTGTTTAGACAAGGGAGCCCAAAAAGGTAGATGTTATCCATGTTCTTCTAGATGGAGAATTGATATTATATAGGCCATATGCCTCCACTGTGGCAAATACAGTGGAAATGTGATAGCAAATAATATGAGCACTGAAACTTCTTAAATGCCTTCGAAAAGTACAGATACTATTGAGGATTCATAACATTAATGAGATGTTCTATAATAATCCCTTGACTAGCTTTAGTCCCTTTTCTCTTTTTGCCATAGAGATAATAGTAAATAGATTTTTAAAAACAGAGGATGTAATACTGTTAATTATCAATGAGTCAAAAATATTATAACTAGTTTGGAAACATTTTTAGTTAAAATGTAAGCTTTTATCCCTACTTTTAAATGAAAATCAAGGCAAATATCATAATCAAATAAAATAATAAAATGGAAAGGAAGCCTTTATCTTTATGTTACTAGTTCTTTTTATTCTTTTATATTTAAAAGTTAGATAAAAAAGGAAATTTTAAGAATTTATGTTAAATACCAATAATAAAAGCCAATATTTTCTTATTGTTTTTTTGATAAAGACCAGAAACATCAACACTTCAGTATTGAAATGTTGATTGTATTCCCCAGTTTTCATCCTTTCCTGGGAACTCCAAGGCTAGGGAGGAATGGCAGATCTGGCCTGGCTCGTGCATGTGGGAGGACTGTGTGCCTCTTCCCATGGTCTCATACTGCATGACGTGCTTCAGACAGGCACACTGGGCTTCTTCGCACCCATTTTTATTACTAGCAACAGATTTCTGTTTAATGGCATGCTTAATGAGTTCTATGTTCTGCTATGAAGAGGATGCTAAGATATTATTCTTCCCTTGTCTAAAAATAACATAAATGTATTGTGTTTCTATCCTGTAACTTACTTTGATAAAATACCTTTCAATTGTTTTCAGTGTTGTCTTGGAAGCAATATCTAGGTGTGTCAAAGCTGGTTGTTTGCTGGTTAAGTTATAAGTAGATCCATGAAACACCTATATGTTGCTTTCCTATTTTTTTTTTTTTTTGTCTTAGTGTAAAGATCTTGCAAATGCAATGAAAATAGGGAAGACATTAGTGCAATTGGGTAAGAGCCTACACCCTATTGGTATGTATCTTGGTACAGGTGTGCATGACAATTAGATTGTCATGCTATATAATTTTTGTTCCTTGAGAAAGTGAGTGCCTAAGAGACTTTCATAAGTGTTATGTCTAACAAAGTGACAAACATCCAGGTTAAGCTGGAGCAGGATCTATAACCATCCCAAAGGAAACAACTCCAAAGATAAGACCACTACTTTCTCTTGATACACTTAAAAAAGTCACCTTAGGTTATAGATCTCTTTGCCGTGAACGATTGACTTAGTAGGCAAGGAGCAAAAGTAATAGAGGTGCTTTTATATTTCTAAGTTATGACTTGCCACATTCAATTTATTATACTTTGGGGAAAATCATGATGCACAAATATTCTCCACTAACAGAGCTCAGAGTTTCCCACTTGTGAAATGATGGTTCAGAAACAGAGCAAAGGAGCCAGGCATGGTGGCGAATGCCTGTAATCTCAGAGGCTTGGGAGGCTGAGGCAGGAGGATTGTGAGTTCGAAGACAGCCTCAGCAATGGCAAGGCACTAAGCAACTCAGTGAGACTCTGTCTCTAAATAAAATACAAAATAGGGCTGGGGATGTGGGTCCAGTGCCCCTGAGTTCAATTCCCAGTAACCCCTGCTACCAAAAAAAAAGAAAAAGAAAGAAAAAAAGAAATAGAGCACAGGGGACTCAGCTGCTTCCAGTGCCCATCTTCTTTGTTTCAGTCAGATGGCCTGGCAGAAAGACTCCTATTTAAAAAGTGAAAAAGGACATTTTATCTAGCAAACTGGTTCAATCCAAAACATTTAGTCATTTTGCTTTTCTCCTTTTAGAATGCAATCATTAAAAATCTGCATCCTGGGTAAGATGWTGTTGGAGCAGGATGTGTTGGCATGGATTTGACCTTGGAAGACAGCCATCGAATATTTTTATCAAGTCATAAGATTCTATCAAAATGAGATGGACAAGATTTATTTTGAAAAATCGTCTTGAGTTAACTCAGAAAAACTGTTAATTCGGTCTTTCCTCTCTGATCTAGCTTCACTTTATTTCAACATGTGGATTATTCAACATATGAGGAAACAGAAGTCTTCGCGCTTATACCAAAAGGAGACTTCTCAGTATTTTTTATATAATTTCATTCCAGTTACTTTAAAAATCATTTGGACATATTTCAATCTTACAGTTTATGTTTAAAATCAACATTGTCAACGAAAKTATAATTCTTCTTTAGTAACAGATGAAAATCATACAAAAATAAACAAAAACATAACAGAAATAAAGACACTGGTATATGGTGACTTTTGAAAACAAATGATTTACCACCATCTACTTAATAAAAAAGAAAAAGTTCCAGGCCAAATTATTAGGGAAAAAAATTAACTTCACAAAACTTGATAATTTGCTCTAATATTTCAAAACCTATCTGACATTCTGTTTTAATTTTTAGCTTCCTGGTTAGTTTTATGGTGGATGCCCGAGGTGGCGCCATGCGAGGATGCAGACACAATGGGCTCCGAATCATTATCCCACCTCGGAAATGTACTGCCCCAACACGAGTCACCTGCCGGCTGGTCAAACGCCACAGATTGGCGACCATGCCTCCAATGGTGGAAGGAGAAGGCCTGGCCAGTCGCCTGATCGAAGTCGGACCTTCTGGTGCTCAGTTCCTTGGGTAAGGGTTTCTGATAAGCCTCCCACTTAGACACCGATGAGCTTGTGTCCTCTACATGAAATCACTAGGATGGAATGAAAACAGGTACGTCAAACCACTTTGAAAGAGGATCGGCTCCTATGAAATTTTTAAAAATTGGAAGTCAGACCTGAATGCTCGACTCCACTTWCATGCCTCTTCTTTTAAGGCATTTAGGAGTTAAACACTCAGGCTGATTATTATTCTCTCTCTTTGGATGTCATCAGACCTGCCAGATTCCCTTTGCAAGTAATCATATTTTAGTTGATGGTAGGTATTTTTTTTTTCTCACCTGAGACTTAAGTGGCAAAGTATAAAGAAAAAAGAAAAATACTGCTGTATTCCAAACAAAAATGTATTTAGAGCCTCATGTCRTTTTTGACGCAGAATCATTATCTTCTTTTTGAAAAGCAGTGTTGCCTTTATGGAATATCCAAAAATCGGACACATGTGATTTGTTTTTTCTGATATCAAAATTGCTACCTTGAGCCTTAACATTAAACTAAGCTGTCTATTTAGCCACAGCGTGTTTTAAGGTGCAATCATCAAGACTAACTTCCACCAAGGTCATTTTGGCAATTTTGAGCAGAAATTAGCATTTCTCATTTCTTCTGTTTGTCTGTACGGCTGCTATTATTTTAAGTGGCATCTCAATGTGTCAAGAAAGGAATAGCTATCCCTGAAAGCGGACCAAAGGATGAAGTTGTGGAGGGGGACACGTTTCAAAACATATTGAAACAAATCAATTGTATTTAAGTCTTGTCATATCAAGTCTTGGTGCTTTAAAAAAAATGGAGAAAACTTATTAATCATGAACTTTTCATGTTGTCGGCGTCATACTGGGGAGAGGATTTCTCGCTTTAGAACTCAGGAGAGGTTCTAAAGCCTGTAATTTGGAGCAAACAGTTAACAGGTTACTCCAAATTACTTTCACACCTGAAAAAGGGTGTGTTAGTATTTCCCAATTGTAGAAACCACCTCCCATGTCCTTCTATCAGATGGATCAGAGCCTTAGAAGGAGCCTGTGAAGTTCTGGGTTGCATCAGAAAATGCCCTTATGTTTCGAGTTTTCCCTGATGATTCTTTTCATACTTACCCTCTGTTCAGGTAGTTGTAGGTTTTTAAATAATCTTCAAATCTGTTGGGGAATATCCATGAAAACATCTGGCCTCTGGACGGAGCAGAGTTTTTATTATATTCCCAACAGCTTTGTCTTTCCCATGGAACATTTTTTCTATCTTTTTTTTTTGGCYAGTGCCCTGGCAGTGAACCTGATAGGGACTGATCTGACAGCCAGGTGCTGTCCTCGCACAGATGCGCCTCCATTGTACACTCTGGGTCTCGRTTCCTTGCTCATTGTGACCAATGGAGGGGGCAGAACCAAACGCAGAGTGAAACCAAAGTTCACCCTGTGGATCAGCTGGCGACGCTGGGGTTCTGTGGAAGACCATACCTAAAGCTTACTTATGTTCTTTCTTTCACTGCTGCTTTGGATGTACTCAGTAAACTTCACCTGCCAACGGCTCCTCCCCCACTTAATGAGGGAGAAAGTTTGGTCAGCCGCATCCTTCAGCTGGGGCCTCCTGGAACCAAATTCCTTGGGTAGGAGTGACTTAAAACAAATTGATGGCTGCTGGCCCCCCATTCTTCTCCTTCTTCTGCAATATGATTTCTCTTTTCGTCATTGTGCCCATGACATGTCCCTCTCTATGATTTAAACTCTGTATAACCTATCTTTAGTGGACCATTTCTGACCCTTGTGGTATGTGACTTTTATTTTTGAGTGATGTTTTTATATCTTTTCCCTTAAAGTGCTGTGACCTTCATTTTCGTTTAAGCATGAGATCTGCCTAGTTGTACTATGTGCTAGTTATGATGTTGTTATGACGAGTTTGGAGTCTGTATCAAAGCAACCTGGACTCAAAAATCAAGAGCCTCTATATATTTTGAGAATGAATTTGACCTAAAAAATTGCAGGATGGTGCATGTTCCGAATCCTGACTATAATAGGCATTGGACACACTTGGGTTGCCAGTGGAGGGGCTCAATCAGGGCCACGCTGTGTGCACATGCCTATTGTTTCCTTGAATGAAGACAATACAAGCAAAACCCAYGAGTGCATGGCTCATTAGCACACGTAGTCTACCTTTATGACATCTCCTCATTTACGACACATCGAATTATGCAATGTATGAGCCATTTTTCCTCTTAAACCATTTTGTCATTTTGCACCTTGTAGAAAATGTTTTAGGAGATTGGCATACATCGTAGATATGCATGTACATTTCTTTTGGTTAAATGTGTATACTTACATTTATCAAAGGAGAAGTTCCAGAATGCCACATGCACTCACAGGGAAACATCATTTGGCTTAAGATAGCAGCATGTATGTGAGGATCGGTGCCCCTGAGGTGGAGTGCCACTGTGCGACCATCTGCTAACTAATGGGCTCCAGAGGATAGCCCACTATGTTCCTGTCCCCAGAAGAGCAGAATTCCAGGTCACTTTGCAACAGACAGAGTCGAGGTGCTTGTCTTGCTGTTGGTTGGCTCCCGTCCACACTAAATGTTCTGCATTGCTATGTCAGGCCTGTGATCGTGGAGATCCCCCACTTTGCGGCCCTTCGAGGAAAGGAGAGGGAACTGGTGGTCCTGCGCAGTGAGAATGGGGACAGCTGGAAAGAGCATTTCTGTGAATACACCGAAGATGAACTGAATGAAATCCTTAACGGCATGGATGAAGGTACCTTTGGATTAAGGGGTTTAAAAGAAAGGAAAAATGGAAGCATGGAAGCATGAATATATTGCATTTCTTTCTTATAGTCCAGTGATTTGTGGTGTGTGTGTGTGTGTGTGTGTGTGTGTGTGTGTGTGTGTGTGTGTCCCCCTTGTGATGTATTTCTACAGAAGCTATCTGCTGTGTTCCAATGGTGGTGAGGCAGGGTACTCAACACATTTGCCTAATTCTCCTCCTGTTACATTCAGACAAGAAAATCCTTCAAGATAGCAAGCATAGCATTTTAAAAGGAGATACAGCAAGCTTTCATCTTTAATGCAAACTTCTTTGAATCTAAAACTAGTGGTAGAACAGACATTGTTGCCCCATGACAGAATGAAGTGATAGTAAATGGTAAAGTATGTTTTTTTTTTAATGCCTAACCTGAAAAACTATATATATTTAAGATAATGGTAAAAAATGCTAAGCTCTTCGGTTGGAAAACTTGCATCTTTCCATCACTAGTACATTCTAGAATAATCTAATTTCTTTTTAAACTTTCTATTATTAAAGCAGTAGGAAAATTAGGTTCATTCAATCTTCTACCTATAATTCAAATAAGGAGTTAGCTAGGATTGAATTGCATACATACACATACATATAAACTTGGGGAACTTAGTTTTTTATCATTTTTTAAAATTTATTTTAATTTGTTATACATAATGGCAGAATGCAGTTTATTTCATATTACACATATAGAGCACAATTTTTCAATGATTGTATACAAAGTATTTTCACACCATTCATGTCTTACACATGTACTTAGGGTAATGATGTCTAACTCATTCCACCAGCATTCCTACCCCTTTGCCCCGTCCTTCATCCTCCCTCCCCTTTGCCCTATCTAAAGTTCCTCCATTCCTCCCATGCTCCCCCCACCCCCCATTGCCATATCAAACCCCATCCTCATATCAAAGAAAACATTTGGCCTTTGAGTTTTGGGRATTGGCTTGTTTCACTTAGTATTATATTCTCCAATTTCATCTATTTACCTTCAAATGCCATGATTTTATTCTCTTTTAATGCTTGAATAATGGTCTATTGTGTATATACACCAAAGTTTCCCTATCCATTCATCTACTGAAGAGCATCTAGCTTGATTCCATAATTTAGTTATTGTGAATTGTGTTGCTRTAAACATTGATATGACTGTGTCCCTGTAGAATGCTGTTTTTAAGTCCTTTGGGTATAAACTGAGGAGTAGGATAGTTGGATCAAAAGGTGGTTCCATYCCCAGTTTTCCAAGGAATCCATACTGCTTTCCATATTGGCTGCACCATTTTGCAGTCCCACTAGCAATGTATGAGTGTGTCTTCCCCCCACCACATCCTTGCCAACACTCATTGTTGTTTGTATTCTTGATAGCTGCCATTCTGACTGGAGTGAGATGAAATCTTAAAGTAGCTTTGATTTGCATTTCTCTAATTGCTAGAGATGTTGAACATTTTTTCATGTTTGTTGATTGATTGTATATCCTCCTCCAAGAAATGTCTGTTCAGTTTCTTGGCCCATTTATTGATTGGGTTATTGGTTTCTTTTGTGTTAAGGTTTTTGAGTGCTTTATATATTCTAGAAATTAGTGCTCTATCTGATGTGCTTGTGGTAAAGCCCATTCTGTARGCTCTCTATTCACCTCACTGATTGTTTCTTTTGTTGAGAAGAAGCTTTTTAGTTTGAATCCATCCCATTTATTGATTCTTGGTTTTAATTCTTGCGCTACAGGAATTTTATTAAGAAAGTTGGGGCCTAATCTGATGTGATGGAGATTTGGGCCTACTTTTTCTTCCATTAGGTGCAAGGTCTCTGGTTTAATTCCTAGGTCTTTGCTCCACTTTGAGTTGAGTTTTGTGCATGGTGAGAGATAGGGGTTTAATTTCATTTTGTTACATGTGGATTTCCAGTTTTCTCAGCACCATTTGTTAAGAGGCTATCTTTTCTCCAATGTACGTTTTTGGCGCCTTTGTCAAGTATAAGATAACTAAAGTTATGTGGGTTAGACTCTGTGTCCTCTATTTTGTACCATTGGTCTGGTCTACAGGTCTATTTTGGTGCCAATACCATGTTATTTTTGTTACAATTGCTCTGTAGTATAGTATTAGGTCTAGGATAGTAATGCCACCAGYTTCACTCTTCTTGCTAAGGATTGCTTTATCTATTCTGGGTCTCTTATTTTTCCAGATGAATTTCATGATTGCTTTTTCTATTTCTATAAGGAGTGCCATTGGGATTTTGATTGGGATTGCATTGAATCTGTATAGTGCTTTTGGTAGTATGGTCATTATGACAATATTAATTATGCCTATCCAAGAACAAGGTTGATCTTTCCATCTTCTAAGGTCTTTTTTTATTTCTTTCTTTAACGTGTTTGTTGTAGTTTTCATTGTAGAGGTCTTTCACCTCTTTCATTAAATTTATTCCCAAGTATGAAAATACCTAGCATACAGATTAAGGATAGAATTTTAAAGGCCCCAAGAGAGAAAAATCAGATTACCCATAAGGGAAGACCAATTGACTCTCAGCAGAGTTTTCAACCCAGACTCTCAAAGTTAGGAGATCCTGGAACAACATATACCAAGCTCTAAGATAAGGGATGCCAACCAAGAATCTTATATCCAGCAAAAATTAAGCTTCAGATTTGATGATGAAATAGAAACCTTCCACGAGAAACAAAAGCTAAAAAAATTTACAGCAAGAAAGCCTGCACTACAGAACATTCTTGGCAAAATATTCCATGATGAGTAAATGAAAAACAATAATGAAAATCTGCAAAGGGAGGAACTTAGTTTTTTTTATTAGAATTTAAATCTCTAAATCCCAAATTTGTCTTTGGCCATTAATCCATAGGTTGAAATGTCTCTGTTTGACTAAAGAGAAGTTGCTCATTCATAGGCCACCACAGGTTGCACAGAGAAAGTGCCCGTGTCCTAAGATGAGGCATAATCCACTTAAAGAAACTAGAAGAAATAGGGCAAGTTCTTTGCCTAAGTGACAACAGCATTTCTTATGCAAAGAGGGGATGGAAGAAGAAGTTATTGTCATCTTCCAAGTAAGGTAAAAAGGATCAGAATTCTGATTGATAAAACTTATTCCTACCTGGGCGCCATGGTTGCACAACTGTAATCCCAGTGGCTCAGGAGGCTGAGGCAGGAAGATCTCAAGTTCAAAGCCAACTTCAGCAACAGCAAGGTGCTAAGCAACTCAGTGAGACCCTGTCTCCAAATAAAATATAAATTAGGGCTGGGGATGTGGCTCAGTGATTGAATGCCCCTGAGTGCAATCCCCAGTAACCCTCCCAAAAAAACAAGCTTATTCCTTGCAATATTTAGGCCACTTTTATTTTGGGGGACAATTTCTTTTGCTAGCATGTAGATTTAGTATACTTTTCTCTGAGATGTTTGCTGGTCACTGATCTATCCTTCAACACTGGCATCTTGCCCTTGATGGGGACCCACTCTCATAACTTTTTATGTATGTAAAAAGTATATTTTAAATGAAGAATCATATTTTCATATGTTTGTCTGTTTTTAAATATATTCTTTTGTAAGTATATGATAGTATTTGCCAGTGTATTAGTCTTTAATTATATCTGTAGGATCAAATCCTGGGACTTTTATAGTAACTAGTTATAATCAATAGTCAAAAAACATACTTTTTTCTGCCTTGTATTATGAATTGTAAATGAGTTCTAAAAGTGAATGACTCTTCATAATCCCTTAAAATTCAGTGATCCACTTAGTTCAAATTTTCTACATTGTAAATCCGCCTGATTTTTTTGTGTTGTCCTAAATATCTACACTAATGCAACTTATAAAGTGTACACGACCCTATCCCTGTGAAGTTAGATGGCATATTTGGTAAGTTGTTGGCATTGGAGGAATATTGAGACTCAGAAATCATAAGCATGCATCGTTTTTTATAGCCACAGGAACTATCACAAAGACACCCATCTCACTAGAATAAACACATAAACACAAACCTTACCCTTTCAAGACAGATTTTATTCATGTACCACTCCCTTGAGAATCCAAAAGGCCATATTATTTCTTAAAAACCACAATAACTGGTCATGAGCTAACTTTGAAYTCTGCAAACAAAAGGAGTTCATACACAACCTCCTCTCCATCACACGAACCAAGAATAGAAGAGGTTCGTTGTCATTCCAGGTTTGCCCTCATATGCCCTCATTTACAAAGGCAGCCCTGGAGGACTGCAGCTGGTATGAGATGCTTTCCTTTMACAGTGCCCTGGAAAGTCCTAATTTTCCCAAAGAAAGAAAATGTACAACCTGAATGCTGAGAGGTCTTAAAAGACTGCARTGTTTATTTTTTCTAGTGTCAGAGTAACCTTGCTTAATAAATTTTTCTATTACTTGAAAAAAAAGTTTTGATGCCACTTCTATTCACTATTAACTATGCCAATGAGTTTGCTAGAATGCTATCAGAAGGAAATCCTTGCTGCATGAAGATGGGTATTTCTTGTCTCAGTGCTGGATAGCCCAGAAGACCTAGAGAAGAAGCGAATCTGCCGCATCATCACACGTGACTTCCCCCAGTACTTTGCAGTGGTATCTCGCATCAAACAGGACAGCAACCTGATTGGCCCAGAGGGAGGTGTGCTGAGTAGCACGGTGGTACCCCAGGTGCAGGCTGTCTTCCCAGAGGGAGCACTAACCAAGAGGATCCGTGTAGGCCTACAGGTACACCCATATTGGATGCAGTTGATCYTCATGTGGATTTATTCCTTTGATTAAAAATGAGCATTTCAAATGGAAAATAAAATGTTAAATAATCAAATTATTCCAGGGGGCGCCAAAGTAACTATGGGAGATCACAGGTCTCACAAATTTACATGAGTGCTTGGTAATAATATGAAACTTGGAATTGCCATATTTAAAGTCTCACAAACTGATTTGTGAAATGAAAAGCAATGCTTTAGGTAGGATATTGACATTAAATGTAATAATATATGGTTTATTTTAATATTTTTCTTTATTTTGAAAAGGCTCAACCTATGCACAGTGAATTGGTTAAGAAGATCCTTGGCAACAAAGCTACCTTCAGCCCTATAGTCACTTTGGAACCTAGAAGAAGAAAATTCCACAAGCCAATCACCATGACCATTCCTGTCCCCAAAGCTTCAAGTGATGTCATGCTGAATGGTTTTGGGGGAGATGCACCAACCTTAAGATTGTTATGCAGCATAACAGGTGAGTCATATATGACCATGTTATAGTATAGAATTCTGAAAAAAGAAACTTAATTATAAAAATTAAATTGCCTTTGTCATAAGATGTTTCCTGGGTTATATGCATTAATTCAGGAAAAGCATTTTTAATTGATTAGGGAAGCGAAAGCCAAAAGGAAATGAATTCTTATTTACTAAATGTAGTCTGTATGTGAGACTTAGATACTATATATGAATTGTCATTTCCACCCAATTAACCCTATAAGTAAACTTTAACCCCATTTTGGCAAAAAAGAAACCAAGATTAAAGAAAAATGTATAGCATACCTGAGTTATGCCTTAAATATTTGGGAGAGTTGGTATTCAAACCCCATGCCAGATATCTCCCCAGCCCAGGCTTCATGTCTTCACAGAAGATATCCCTTTATATCCACTGGGTGGAAAAGAACATTCTGATTTTACCCAGTGGTTCAACCCAACTGGTCTTTCTAGGGTAGCTCATGTCTTTATCACTGATTTATTGAACTAGCTTTGGAGAAACAAAGTAAAGGTTTTCTAGTAACTAACAGATTTTTGGTCTCTTCAATTGATAGTTATAGTAGCTTTCAGACAACTATCAAGCTCTCCAAAGATATTCCCTAAACCACCCTAGATAGAGGCAAAAACATCCACACAAATAATTTGTTTTAGGGCTATGTAATTTGATAATTTCCAAATATATCAGTAATTACAGTGTTGGCATTCAATGAAATATCAATATTATCATCAGAAGGAAAAATAGCCATTTATGGTTGTCTTGGTATTGTTCAATTTTTTTTTTCATTTCTCCTTCGTATTGACAGAAATATTCACCCTTATTTATTTCTCCTTCTCTATTTCTCCCTTATTATTGTGTTTTGTATACTTAGGAGAAACCATCAAGATTATGCCATAAGTTTAATAATGTGACAAAATTTAAATCTCTGTGGACTGTAATGAGTAGAGGGGGGAATGATCTGCTTCACGTATCATCTTTTTTYCCAATTGCTTATTTCCGGTTATCACTGAGTATTTCTCAGTGTCTTTCCCATACTTTTTGTAGTGTGGGTGTATAATTATCCCCACTATGGTATGCTACCTGATGCTGTGGATGTGAAATAGGAGAGAGAAGTTGTCTGTGATACACCCTGAAGGTACCACATGGGCCTAGAWACCATCCACCATGTCTTCAAATGAGCTTTTACTAAACAATTTTTAAAATTTAAAATAGTTTGAAAAATTAGTACATTTATGTGTTAATTTCAAAAATATGCATGTGCATAGAATTTTGTATTTTTTCATATTCTGTAATTCTGCTAAGAATATATATATCTTAAAGGCCTAATGGAGTAAACATCTGTAATCTTTCTTTGATAAGCCATTTCCCTCTTAGAGTCAAGGTCTGTCTCCATCTCAGACATATATTCCTCCTCACTGCTCAGTAGAAATAAGATAAGAGGTTACTGGCCCTCATGATGATCTACCTATATGCAAAGGCTGATCTTTGCCATTMATGTATTTGTTCATTTGTCCTGCAGAATATATTGAGCTCTTAATATTTTTCAGGCATTCTTTTTTTCCAATCTTCAATTTTAAGTGGATAGGAAATTTCATTTTTTTAAAAATGGTTGTACAGAATGTGAAGTTCAAGAATAAGAAAATACTAAATATTGGATATTTAGTATTTATAGATATTAAAATAATAAACAATCTAAATATTCTCTTATTCCTGAAACTCTTTAATTGGATCTTTTAAAATGATCTAAATGATATATGATCTAAAACTACCTTCAAAGCCTAGCAATTATGACAAAAGCTTCAGAACGTCAGGCAGAGAATGGAACACTTAATAAACAGTTATTCAAACAACCTCCCTGAAATTTAGTTCCTTGAATGGTGGTGTCTGCTGCTTGTGTTCCACGTGTCGTTTTTTAGCATGTAGTTTTGCCATTTTGTTCTCAATATGTCATTTTGAGGGGTGGGTGGGATTACGTGCATGAACACAGCCAGAACCACAGAGATTTTATTTTATGACCCAGAGTCTGGAGTTTTGCCTAACTTTCTTCCACAATCGTGTTATTTCAGGTGGAACCACCCCTGCGCAGTGGGAAGACATTACAGGAACCACACCCCTAACATTTGTCAATGAATGTGTTTCCTTTACAACTAATGTGTCTGCCAGGTAAGCTGTGCAGGCCAGAAAAGCCCATTGTACTCCCCCTCCCCCTCAAATTATTCCTGTTGTTGTTGTTTTATTTGGCTTCTTAATTCTTTAACAGTGATTATTATTTTTTTTTAAGTAAGTTCAACATTTTCTTTCACCTTTTAAACTAGACCTACCAACAAATGTAATAGTGGCACTACTATAACAAAGTCTGAAAGTCAGATGAAAATCTAAGCAAAATGAGTGACTCTGCTTGGGCTGAATGATTGTGACTCTGGCTTTAGAAGCCACTGCTGTTTTTCCAGTTCAAAGGTCTTAGGAATGAGAAATTTCCTGTTGTCAACAAAATATCCTAAAATACTTTTTCTTTCTTTTTTCTTTCTTTCTTTCTTTTCTTTTCTTTTCTTTTTTTTTTTTTTTTTTTTTTTTTTGGCAGAGGGGTGCCAGGGATTGAACGTAGAGGCACTTGACCACTGAACCACATTCCCCAGCCCTATTTTGTTTTTTATTTAGAGACAGGGTCTCACTGAATTGCTTAGCACCTCGCTTTTGCTGAGGCTAGCTTTGAACTCATGATCCTCTTGCCTCAGCCTCTGGATCCAGTGGGATTACAGGCGTGTCCACCATGCCCAGYCTAAATTACTTTTTCAACAAAATAACAAAAGCACAAAGCCTGCCATGGTTTGCTTAAATGGCTTAGTGGTTTTAGAGTCTCTCTTGCATCCTAATACATTTGCATATTAGCCGTTGTTGTGTTGGATATCTTTAAAAAGCTGAAGCTATCTTTCTTATTTACAGGTTAACTCCATTTTTAATATCAGTTCCCATCTGAATAGTCTTTGTTAAGCCTCTTCACATTTCTTTAATTTGATATTATAATAATGCTGTGACTTAAGTAGGGCAAGAAGCATTTATGTCTATTTTAGGAAAACTGAAGTTGAGAGTAGTTAAAGCTTAAATTCCTATGGGGACAAGAAAAGATAAAAATGCATGAATTGTTAAGTAACAGTTCCAGCAATAGTCTTATAGTTCCTTCTCCAGAGGGCCCAACTATTTAGTTTCCTGCCCATGCTTTAGCATGTTCTGCCAGTCTGGCACCTGTACTCTAAGGCCCCAAGATTACCAGTTCTGAATGAGAGAGACAGACCAGAGGTACTAAAAGAATTCAGAAGAAGGTGCTGTACTAGTAGTTCCAGAGGATCTGAGAAGAGATTACCTTTGAAGTATGTGTCAGAACCTCACAGCCACATGAAATTGGATAAGAATATAAGATGAGTAAAAATGCAAAGACAAAATTCTGAGGGTGCATTGGGGGATAGAATAAGGATTGATATCATCTTGAACTCAGAAAAAATGCTGGAATGTTGCTGGCAACACTCGTTTTAGAAGCTTTTAATAATGTAAAGAAATGAAGAGTCACTGTACAATTTGTACTTCTCAGTTAAAAAAATACCAAAAAAAAAAAGAAAGAAAAAGAAAAGAGTGCACAGCTGTGTCCAAAATGAAAATACTACAAGAACAACAATAAAACTAAAAAAATTGTTGTAGAAGAAATAAACTCTTTTGTGATAAGATGGGAGAAATAAATATATAAATTTAAAATACCACAAAATGACTGTCTTTGTAATAATAATTTAACTTGTATGTTATAAGAAACAGTGAGTATAGTTAGATTAGTAGAAAGAGGAAGGTAATTTTGTGTCCCTGCCATGAGCCGGGAACTACACTGAAGTTTAAAAACATTATGCCAACTGAAAATCCATAGAGACAGGAAGTAGAATAGAGTTTATCCTGGGCTAGAGTGAGGAGGAAAATGGGAAGTTATGGTTTAATGAATACAAAATTTTTATTATGTAAGAAACCTTTGGAAGGGTAGAAAGGACAAAATTGAGAAAATATCCATCTGATGGCCTCTACTTTCTTCTTCAAGTTCTCCGCCTTGCGGTAAGGGTGAAGCTCAAGGAGAGTCATAAAGGGCCAGCAACCTCGCTGTACTGGGAAAAATTATATCTGAGTAAAACTGCCAAACAGCACAGATTTATGAGAGTCTGGAAATCATAAAATCATGGAACCAGTAATTTATTCTATGATCCATTTGAATTCTATCCATTAATAATTAAAGCATTCAGGAGCCGAATTTTTAAATGGTTGAATTGATACAATCTTAGTTATTGGAGTGCTGCTTGGAAAAGAATAATGAGATGAAGAAACACAGCAATTGTTGTTGAAAAGCTTCAGGAAATGCAATGAAGACTAAGAGGGGAAATAGGAACTCATTCAGTGGGACCCCTATCAAATCTGAGGCTGGGCTTACACCACTGGAGAATTCTAAGACACCACAGGTGTGTTTCAGAGGATTGAATACATAGAATTGTTTCCAAGGAAGGAAAACACACAGTATTTAATAGTTGATCTTAGAAACCTGGTACAGCTCCCTTCCCCTTGCTCCCTCTGCCCTCCTCTCTATCCTGCCATCCTTGTTTCTTTCCCTTTCCTTCAGCTTCCTTTCATTATTCCTGCTCTCACCTTCTTCTTATTCCAAGAAGTACTTGTTGATTACTCTGATCATATTAATGGAACTGGTTTTTTTTTTTCAAGGGGTACACTTTAAATAATCGTTTTTATTTATTTTTCTAGGTTCTGGCTGATAGATTGTCGACAGATACAGGAATCCGTTACCTTTGCATCACAAGTGTACAGGGAAATTATCTGTGTACCTTACATGGCCAAATTTGTCGTGTTTGCCAAATCACATGACCCCATTGAAGCCAGATTGAGATGTTTCTGCATGACTGATGATAAAGTGGATAAGACCCTTGAACAACAAGAAAACTTCGCTGAAGTGGCCAGAAGCAGGGATGTGGAGGTACTGTATTAAAAATACAGATAATCTATGTTGCTGTTCTGTCATTAGACTTATATTTCAAATATAATATTATGAACAAAGTCATTAAAAAACATCAAGGTAAAATCAGCCATTTTCTGGGGCTGGGGATATAACTCAGTGGTGGAGCACTTGCCTACCATGCACAAGGCCCAGGTTGGATTTCCATCACTACAAATAAATAAAATCAGCTCTTTTCAGCCAATTGAGACCTGTCCTATAGAGATGATCTCAGTGAATGTGGGAAGATAAAAGGGTTTCTTTGAAGATTATTTGAAGAAAAACTATGAGTTATTGATAAACTCAAAATATGTGACTGTAGCAGTTGAGATTGTTTTAGTTTTCCTGGATGTTCTTTTTTATTTGAAATAAATAAATTAAGATTTCTTTTTTTAGTAAAGAAAACAGTCTGAGAATTTCTTCCTTTTGTGTAAATGTTCATATAGGATACCCAGGGCTTTTTCACATTACTTATTCTTATTTTAGAATTCTCCATCAGTTTGATGTCCAGTAATCTGACTCATTGTGATGTCAAAAATTAGCCAATTCGAATTTTAAACTTAAAAATTAAATATCTATTGGTTTGTGGTACAGTGATAGAAATGAGAGCATTAATGTTTCCTTGCATTTGAAGATTTCCATTACCAATAAGAAGAAAAAGTTCTATACCTTGTCACATATAAGACAAATTGTCATTTGGCAACGTAAAGATTATTATATGTGTATTTTAAGAATGTAAAACTCCARGTAGTAACACTGCTGCTTTCTTTGTGTAAATAATAAACTATAATTGCATCTCTTTTGTTCTGTTATTTTTCTCCATTTCACCCAGGTATTAGAAGGAAAGCCCATCTACGTTGATTGCTTCGGCAACCTGGTGCCATTAACCAAGAGTGGCCAACACCACATATTCAGTTTTTTTGCCTTTAAAGAAAACAGACTTCCTCTCTTTGTCAAGGTAATGTATGCATGGAATTTTGTAATRTATTTTATTCAAGATCAAGAAAAGAGTTGACTTCCTTCATAGTGGAGAATATTTGCCTTTCAATTATTCCCAGATTTTATTTTTTAAGTCTGTTTGTAAAATGTAATGGTTCTAGAAAATCAAATATTTTTATTTTTAGAGTTCAAAGTCAACTTTAAGTTTTAGTTATAGACCATATTTAAGGAGGAGAATAAGAATAAATAATAGCTGACTCATTAATTAGAAACACTGGCTACTCTTCAAAATTTGAGGGGGAGTCTATTTTTTAAAAAATAGACTAATGATTTTTAAATATTTAGACTTAAATTTTTAAAATATGAGTGAATTTCAGAAGTGTAAAAGAGTTCTGACAACTTTTTTGTTGTCAAAAAAAAGAGACCCAGAATCTCACTTAGGCTAATAAGAAATCATCCCAGATAGAGCTATTGATTTGATGTATTTTCATATATTCATCCAACAAACATTATGATGACAGGTCAGTGCACCATCAATGTGCTGCCTGTGTTTTATGAATGTCAATCCAAGTTAGGGCCTAGATTCCAATTCTAAAGAGGATCACAGCGTATGAATGACATTCATGAGATAAAACAAAACTAATAATTCCTCTCTACTCTGTTTGCTTATTTTCTTTCCTATTTCTCACAACTTATTTCACTATTCTAGATTTCTTAATGTTTAGTCCTCACAAGGCATAGGCTAGTCTCTGCTCCCTTCCCCCGACAGTCCTTCTTCAAGCTTTGACTTCCCAAACTGTTCATTAGCAATGACTCCTTTTGTTATTTTAACACCTCATGATTTTTCAAAACATGCATCTGCAAACCTGTTTAATAAATTTGCCGAAGATCTCTAAAGATTATCCATTATGCTACTTCTGCTTCTGTTGTTTTGCCTGATGAATGATAGGTTCTTAAAGACAACCTCATTATACAGTAGTGCTGAAAGGTAATGGACCCACTTAGTAAAGACATCTGTATAATTAAGCTAATATTTGATATTGTGGATGTGCAAAAGTCATCCAACAAGAAACCCAATACGAAAATGTTCTCCAAAGAGGTATAAGAATGACCAATAAGCACATGAAAAAAAATGTTCAACAAATTAGGGAAATGCACATCAAAAGCACAATAAGATACTACTTTATACCCATGAAATGGCTATTATTAAAATAAATCCTATCAAATAAATAAATGTTGGCAAGGATGTGGACCTTACTTACACTGTTGATGGGAATATAAAGTAATGTAGTCATTGTGTAAAACAGTATGATATTTTGTCAAAATATTAAGTACATATGATCCAGTAGTTTCATTTCCAGGTATGCTCCCAAAAGAACTGAAAGTGTTAATAGCACACCAGTGTTCTTAGCAGCATTTTCCACAATAGCCCCAAAGTGGAAACAACCCAAGTGGGTAGATAAATAGATGAAMAAACATACACACAAAAAGGTATTATTTAGCTTTTAAAATGAATGAAGTCCTGATACATGCTACAATATAGATGACACTTAAACAATATGCTAAATGAAATAAGTGACACAGAAGAACAAATATTGTATAGTTTTGCTATATGAGGTACTTAGAGTAGTCAAAATTCACAAAGACAGAAAATGCAAAGGTGGTTACCAGGAGCAGGGGGATGGAGGGAATGGGAAATTATTGTTTAATATACACAGAGTTTCAGTTTGGAAAGGTCGGCAAGTTCTGAATGAAGACGGGTGGGGTGGTAGTGCTTGGTTATACAACAATGTGAATGTACCAAATGCCACAGAATTAAAGATCTAAAAATGGTGAAACAATTAGTCTTATGTTATGAATGTATTATCACAGTAAAATATGAAATTCTGAAACTGCCATATGGATGAACCTTGAGAATATGCTAAGTAAAATAAWACAGAGAATATTGTATGACTCCACCATTACCAAGGAACTAGAATAGGCACATTCGCAGAGAAAGGAAGTAGAATAGAGGCTATCAGGGTGGAGGACTGGGAAGTTATTGTTATAAGGGGGACAGTTTTATTGTAGGGTAATGAAAAGTTGTAGATAGTGGTGATGAACACACAGCTCTAGAATTGTGCTTCATCTGCTTACAATAGTAGCAATGGTAAATTTTATGTTATATCTTACCATGKTTTTTTAAAAAGCTTAATAAGTGATTGAGATCTTGTGTACAATATGGTGACAGTAGTTGATAATAATGTGTTGTATTTTGAAACTTCCCAAGAGAGGTCTTAAGTGTTTTCAAGACAAGAGGGACAATAACCAGATGAGGTGATAGGTATGTTAATGAGCTTGATTATAATAATTATTTAACAATACATAGATATCATAGATATATACATCAAATAATCACATTTGGGTACTTTAAATATATAAAAGTTTTATTTGTCAATCATACTTCATAAAACTGGATATAGCTAAATGTTTTTTAAAAAGTTATTCTAAATGAGTGTGGGGAGGAGGAAGACCTTTGAATTTTTACTGAGCATTAACAAATGAATTTTATTTTACCCCTTTAAATATTGCCTAAATGAAATAAATAGTACATGTTAAATATAGGTGAACAAAATGTTCTTGTTCAAGGTACGTGATACAACTCAGGAACCTTGCGGACGACTATCATTTATGAAGGAGCCCAAATCCACAAGAGGCCTGGTGCATCAAGCTATTTGTAACTTAAACATCACCCTGCCGATTTATATGAAGGTACGTAATGTTTGCTGTAGTGTTATTCAGACAGAGTAGAAACTGAATTCAAATCCTTTGAAATGAACAAAAATAAAGGCAGTGAATGTAAGCATATGTAACAATCACTTTTGTTAACCTGTTGAATTTAGGATTTTTCCATTCAAATAAAGGAAGAAGTATTTTCTCCTAACTTTGCATTAAATGTACTTTGATGAAAAATTTTATCAACATATTGAATATGGAAGAGAGAAATAGGGTATGAGTTTTGACATTTTGAACCAATTTTTTTAAAAAATAAAATGATTAGCTTTATTTCCATGTGCTGTCCTGAGACCACTCTARTGCAATTAGCCCTACCAAAATACTGGAGTCTCTTGGCTCTGCTTACAACCAATTCACATGTAGATAATACATTATTAAATTCAGGATAACCTCATGATATTTTATTTTTTGTTCAAATAATTACCATAATCTATCCTGTTTTAGGAGTAATAAATTAATTTTTCAATTATTTTAAGATGTCAGTATAAAAAATGTCCCTGTGCTACAAGAAATAACACTGGAAACACTGATGAAAAGAAAAAAAAATGACTCACTTCTGACACAAAGTCTACCTAGGCACTTTCTTCTCAAACCTTTYCCAGTTATATAAATCTTTAAGTACTCTGGTTACATCACATATGACAACTGAATTAGTTAAATGTTGTAAGTAACTTTTTAAAATTATTTTTAAGTTTTTCAAAAAAATTTTAAACCAATATCCCTTTTTAAATGGGAAGCTCCCAATGTCAATCTGTAGGTGGCTACAGTAGGTTGTCAGTGTGCACATTATAGATTGGGGAAGAGGATGGGTGGTGGCTGCTGAGAAGGAGGGATATATTTAAAATCCTAAGTCTTCACTCCACAAAACAAAGAATTTTCTTTCTTATTTTACCCACCRTGATTGTCGAATTATAAATTTTGGATAATTAATTATGTAAACCAAAATAACGTAGAGAAAAGCTAAAAGCATCCTATTTGACATTGTAAAGTATTATTAAATGACTAAAAAAATTAAAATATTTACATATGTAAATATACATGTTATTCCTCAAATTGGAATGTAGCATTGCTATATTGACCCAAATGAGTATAATCTAACTGTACTCCAGTGATGCAGAATGTACTCTTCAGATTGTGGTACTAAATATTGGTGAGTCACTGGAAGCAGAATGCCAGATAAGAACCATAAAAAAATATATTCAAGCCACCTGAGTGATACACAAAGATGAAGGAGCTTTATGTGATACAACATAAAGCTGTATCGCTAGACAGGAAAAAGGAAAAGAAAGGTAGGGGTGGGGAGCTCATGAAAATCAAAAGGAAATCAGTGGAGGAAATGTCCAGGCAGGTAGGGAGAAGTGCTAGGAAGTATATTGGCCAAATTATATTGTTATATTACATGCACGAACAAATATGTAATAACAAATTCCATCATTATGTATAACTATAATGCCCCCCCAAAACTGTGGAGAGACAAAAAAATAAAAAGATGAACAAACTTTGGTTTGCAGTAAGCTTTCAATAAGCTGTAAGAGAAAACATTGACTTGGTTTTGTATTAAGACATATCAGACACAGTTATTAATGCCATGATGGTCAAGAACAATTTTTTATTTACTAACTTGTTTACTAATTCAGTTTTTTATATACTAATTTCAAAAAGGAGAAAATGTCAGCATTGCACATTTAAGATCTACTTTGGAATTTAATAGCATGCTATTATAATAAAACTCCTATATATTGCCTACGTATTAAAAATGTTTTCATCATCTGCGTACTCAAGGGTTTTTTTTTTTTTTGACATTTTCAGTCAATCTCTGTGATGACTGGGATATCATCATCACTACTTGATGACCTAGCATCTGAAATTATTATATTTGTAATTTTTGTTCTTTTGTCTCGCAAATATACAGAATTAAATCAGTCCTCTTTGATTTTCTGTCTGCCTTCTGTAAACTTAATAAGAAAAAATAAGAGTATGCTGGTTCCAAGCTTGCCTGTTGATGTTTGTTGGCAGGGTATTTACTCTTCTCTTCTAAACACTCTACTCTTCCTTCTCTCTTTTTCCATCTTGCATGGCATGTTGGGGCGGCAAGGAGTCAGAGTCAGACCAAGAACAGGAGGAAGAGGTAATTTTATGATGGTGTCACTAATTAATGGCTGTGTCATTGCTACAATCACATGCGTTCTTAGAAGAGATAAACCAATGTTTTTAGTAATCAAGGGGACAGAATTTCATTTAAACTCTCTGAGCCTGTTTTCTCATCTTGTGGATTGACTTCAGAGGATAGTTAAGTTTCCCTATAAATTTCAGTCCTTTCTCTATGCCAAATGTACATTTCTCCAAAAGCTATTGAACTCAATGGTTCTCAAAGGTTAGTCTGAAGTTGCCATTTTATAGCAGCACTAAGGTATCACTTGCCTTTTTAATTCCTATACCCTACCAGGCCATAGAGCAGTACCCAGAGGCCATAAATATGTGATACCATAGTAATGGGGTGTATGCTTATATATTATTGGATCCTAGCATTTTCTCAGCTGTAATTTGTAATGCAGATATTTGTTTATGCATATCACATATAAACAAAAGTTCTTCCAGGAACTTCAATAATTTTTAGGAGTGTGGTTGTCCTAAGATCAATAAGTTTGAGAATGACTCAAACCAAAAACTTTTAGGAACATATAGTTCATTGATTACACTATAATAATGTTGTAATAGAGAACTATACACCAAACATTTCTCATAAAATATGATCTTTATCAAGTACTCCACGTGTGATCTCTCTTAACCACCCTATGAGGTGTGTACTATACCACAGATGAGGAAAACAAGTCTTAAGAAGTTACCCAGAATAAACAGCCATTTTATTATATCCATTTTAGTATTTAATTCAAATAGGTATTTGTCTTGTTTATAAAATGTGAAAATGTCCAAATATTGTAACAGAAATGAAACAAATCATTGGAAAACTCCTTATATTTACTTAAAAATGGCAGCTGATAGAAATAGGGAAATACTATTTATAAGACAATTGTAATAATTACTAGTTATGGTTTTTTATTTTTTATTTTTTTGGTAMTCAGGATTGAACTCTAAGGTGCTTAATCACTGAGTCACATCCTCATCCCTTTTTTAATTTTTTATTTTGGGATGGGAGTCTTGCTAAATTGCTGAGGTCGGCCTTGATCTTGAGATTCTCCTGCCTCAGCCTAGGATTATAGGCATGCACCACCATGCTCAGCTACATTATTTTTAATATACTTGTTTCTTTTATAAAGGTTATTCTAATGCTTTGGAAACAAAAATATAAAGAAAAAATATAATTAATACCTTATACTCTTCAGCTTAACCTATAAGGCCTTGGTTCAGAGGATTCCCAGATTTCCCTTTGTCTGGTGTCTTGGCAGTGAAGTAGAACAGGAGGAAGGAATGTAGACTCGCTGCCTATTCCACATAGCCACACACACATATCAACCGATGACCGGGCTGAGATCATTCTTTCCCTAACTGCATATGCGCTTTCATGTCCTCAACTTCCTTCCTGTACACAGTGGCCGTGTCACCACTGTTATTGAAAATGGTACCTGCACATACTGAAAGAACAATAAAACCATGAAACCAACTTTGCTATGTTCACAAAGGAATTTTACCCATTGGATGTATGATTTTTTAAATTGAGTCTTTTCAGAAGCGAATCAGGACAATAGATCCGGTTCATATTCTTTTTAGGGTTTAGAATGCTGACTTATTTTTAATGACAGTTCMACTACCTCTGTGGGACCTATCACCCTGGCATACTGTTGGTTATTTTCTTCTTTTTTCCACTAAATTGACACATGTTGTTTAATGCCAACTCTACCCTTTGCCTGGCCTTTTTCCTAATATRTATTTCTCACACTGATCACAACCTGGGTCATAGCTCCCCAAGAATAATAATTAGGATTTTTTACCCCTAATATCTAGAAAAGAGATTTATGTTTTTCAAAGTTAAGATAAAAATCACTGAGACCCTCAGGGGAAAAAAAAAAAAAACTGTAGCAAACAACTCCAGCMTTCCAGCATGTGGTGTGGTCACCCCCATGTACATAATTACGAATAAGAGCTTATTATGCACATCAGGGGCTMTAAGCAAAGATGCTATTTGTAACCATTCAATTTATGTTATGTTTTCTTTCAGATCGATATGACATCTGAAAAAAGTAAGATTTTTAAATAAAATTGAGTTTGTTTGAAAGCTGGCTACTATAAAAAGAAGCATGAGTTAAAAATGCAAGCTAGTTGTTATTACTAACCACTGTAATAATTATATTTTATATTATTAATCATTAATATATATTTATAAAAGCAGCTTGGCCAGTTAAATTACAAATATGCCTAATTTGTGAAGCTAATTAGCAGTAAAATGCAATGATTATTCATCTAAGCATTCACTTTCTTTTGACATCCCTGTTAACCCTGGTATGCTGTTRTGCTTGTTTAGAATGCCACCCACTGTTTTGTCCATTTGTTAGCCTAACATTATCATCTCATTATTTTTTAAGCATTGATATGACAGTATCACTTTTTATATAAAGCATCAGGGACTTCTATAGAGAGGGGTTTTTGTTGTTTTGTTTTGTTTTGTAGGCTGCACCCGCAAAAGTGATACTGTCTAATAGTTTTGAGCTGAAGCTAACTCCACTCACTCCATCCCTCCCTTGCACCCCTTACTGTGGTGAAGTGTAACTAAAATCCTTAGGCGGAGATCTGACAGACTTCTGTGAAAAGTTTCTGAAAAAAAGAGAAATTAGAAAACAACTAGGGGTCAGCAGTGCAACGATTGAAACCTCCTGGATGAAATCATGAATCACCACAATGGTTTATTATAGGGCTGATTTTAAATAATGATGCAAAATCCCAAACCTGACCCAGAACAGACAGAGCTGATTTTTACAGACTTTAGAAGAGTTACCTTGAATTTATTTCAGCTTTATAATATTCAATTAGCATTTTAGTTTGTTGGCCTAATTCCAGTGGATACTCTAACTTCTTGTGTGGAAACTCAAGTTGAATTTAACTAGTTTCTTTCTTTTATGCCCCAAATGCTTTAGAAAAAGATACTAATTTTTAATGTTTACTGATTTTAAGATTTACATTGATTTACTTTATTTTGGATGATAGTCCCAAAAGGAGAAAACTCAGAGCCATGTTCAATATGGTCACTTGGCCCTATACTATATCTGTGGGCTTTTTTTTTTTTTAACTGCTAGCACAATATAATTTACTACTAAATTCTTGGAATGGCTTTAAGTGAGACTTACCCTTATGTTAAATCATTATTCGAAACTAGAATATTTGAGCCTCTGGATGTGGTTTAAATAACTGAACAACTCTGTATTGATATAAATTATCTTGATATATTATGCAGATTCACATRTCATATTGCCTTACCAAATAGAAATTCCTCCAAGAGAAGGCACTTTTGTTTCAATGACATATTATTGTTGCCTTCATTGACTCCTTTTTTTTTTTTAAAGGTGATTTTATTTTTTCCTCTCCTATTCAGGACTATTGTGTTTATTTAAATGACCCTATTTTTTGTTCCTGTGTACAACCTAGTAGGAATCAAAATTTTATCTATCTGACTCAGTTGTTGCAAAAGAAGAAAAAAAAATGTAACCATGCTGTTAGAAAGCCCTGGGTTTTCCTGAAGAACTCCTAGATGTAGKGAATGTTTTGCAAATCTCAGATATACACTCAATACTGAGTTTTGTTTTAGTTTAAAGACAACCACTGAATAGTCTTCGTGTAGGTACAAAATCATCTTCAAAGAAGGTCTCTGTTGAAGGGTCACTTTCCTAGAGTCTTTTCAGGATTAAATCCTAGAGGTTTGACCAACCCTTCCTCCTCACCATTAATGATGGTGGGCCCCTACAATCTGTGCTTCAAATACACTTCGTTCAGCATTTGTTGTAGGGAAACGAATATCCTTCACCACAGTAACGTTTTACATATTCGTTCTAATTCCTCACCATCCTCCTGCCTGTGCTTTCCCGCAAGGCTGCCTCTCCCAGCAGTTTTACTCCACCTTTGCTTTGCATGGAAATAACTTGGCTTACATAAACTGTGCGTGTGTCCCGTGTGACTGTCTCTGATTTGGGTTGCCATGCCTCACATTTTAACTCTGGACTCACATATACGTTTGATCACAGTGGTTTTTTGGTTTGGTTTGGTTTTTCTGTTGTTTTTCTTTCCTTTCCTTTATTTCCCTCCTTGGTCTGTCAGTTCCGTGTCTAAACAAGGAGGTTGCTCCAAGGAAAGAACCATGCCTCTTAGCAGAAGACTGTTTGTTCCATTGTTAGGTGTGAATTTCCCTTAGATGAAATGCCAGTTTGCAGCCAATTCAGATGTTTTTCTATCATCGTTGTGTATTGGCAGAACTAAACATGCTGAATTCCAGAGATACATGATTTAAAAAACGTATGTGCACCATTGGACGCGTTCATTCTGAGTTTGCTACTGCTGGCTTTCACCTAGAGGAAATCAACTCTCTGCAATTTCTAATGCTTTTTTTTTTCTTATTTTTTTTCCACATGGTATTTTTCTTTTCTTTCTTTTTTTTTTTCCGACATTGATCTGTAACATCTGAACAATCTTGAGATACCTCTGTGTAATTTCACTGCGTTGTTTCTTTGTTTTGATTTGTGATGGTTTTTTTGTGAGTGTCTCGGTTATTTGTGATAGCTTTGTTGTATGTGTGGATGTGCTACAAGTGAGAAAATTAAGCAAGTTATTTCCTGCTCATTTTTCCTTTTCAGTTTTTTTTTTTTTCCGTTAGCCTTGCTTTGCTCTTGTACCTTGAGACCTTGTGGATCCACCATCCCCAGCCCATTCTGTTGCCCCTCCCACCACGGCAGGAAAAAGACRCTGTGTCGTTTCAAAGTCCTGATTTACATTTGCCAATATCTTTTTTGATTTCCATTTTACTTTCAATGTTTTTCATTCACATCAAAGATGATGAGACAGAATCTACAGAAACATCTGTCCTGAAAAGTCACCTGGTTAATGAAGTTCCTGTCCTAGCCAGTCCGGACTTGCTCTCTGAAGTTTCTGAGATGAAACAAGATCTGATCAAAATGACCGCCATCTTGACCACAGATGTGTCTGATAAGGCAGGTTCTATTAAAGTGAAGGAGCTGGTGAAGGCTGCGGAGGAAGAGCCAGGAGAGCCCTTTGAAATTGTGGAAAGAGTCAAAGAGGATTTAGAGAAAGTGAATGAAATCTTGAGAAGCGGAACCTGCTCCAGAGAGGAAAGCAGTGTGCAGAGCTCTGCTCAGTCTGAGAAAGAACTAGTGGAGGAAGGATGGGTTATTGTCAGTGATGAGGAAATAGAAGAGGCCAGACAAAAAGCACCTTTAGAAATCACTGAATATCCATGTGTAGAAGTTAGACTAGAGAAAGAGACCAAAGCCCAAGTAGAGAAAGATGACACTGGGTTAGTGAACTACCTTGTTGAGGACCTCAATTCCTATGTGTCTCCTCCTGGAGAGAAGCCACAGACAGGTCACGATGTGGCCAGGGAGAAAAGTGAGGCTCCCTCTGTTGGCAAAAGCTCGGAGAAAGAAGGGAAGGCTGCACCCGCCGATGAGAAACAGGGCCTGCAGAAACCGCACAAACCAACCCTGGGAATAAAGAAGCCTGTGAGAAGGAAATTAAAAGAAAAGCAGAAACAGAAAGAGGAAAGCATAAACGCAAGTGAAGACAAATCAGAAGTTAAAAAAGGTAGTTCGGAAGAGTCACTAGATGAAGATGCAGGTCTGGCCCCAGACTCTCTTCCCACTGTGAAGGCCACCTCTCCTCTGATAGAAGAAACTCCCATTGGTTCCATTAAGGATAAAGTAAAGGCCCTTCAGAAGCGAGTGGAAGATGAACAGAAAGGTCGAAGCAAGTTGCCCATCAGAGTCAAAGGCAAAGAGGATGTGCCCAAGAAGACCACTCACAGGACGCATCCAACGGCATCGCCTTCTCTGAAGTCAGAGAGACATGCCCCAGCGTCTCCCTCCCCTAGAACAGACAGGCACTCTCCCCTGTCCTCCTCTGCGAAAAACGAAAGGCATCCTCCAGTGTCACCATCCAGCAAAACCGAGAAACACTCACCTGTGTCACCCTCAGCCAAAACCGAAAGACATTCACCTGTGTTGTCATCAGGTAAAACTGAGAAACACTCACCTGTATCKCCCTCCACAAAAGCTGAAAGGCACTCGCCTGTGTCATCCACAAAGACAGAAAGACACCCACCTGTTTCTCCTTCCACCAAAACAGACAAGCGTCCACCTGTGTCACCTTCCGGGAGAACYGAGAAACATCCTCCAGTGTCACCTGGGAGAACGGAAAAACGCTTGCCCGTTTCACCCTCTGGAAGAACAGAGAAGCACCCACCTGTGTCAACCGCTGGGAAAACAGAGAAGCACCTCCCTGTGTCACCTTCTGGGAAAACAGAAAAGCAGCCACCTGTGTCCCCCACCTCAAAAACAGAAAGAATTGAGGAAACCATGTCTGTTCGGGAGTTGATGAAAGCTTTCCAGTCAGGTCAGGACCCATCTAAACATAAAACTGGACTCTTTGAACATAAATCAGCAAAACAGAAACCCTCCCAAGAGAAAGGTAAAGCTGCTCGAGTAGAAAAAGAAAAGGGGCAGACAGCAACCCTGAAGGAAACACAGAGAACAGAGACTCAGACCATCAAAAGAGGCCAGAGATTCCTAGTCACAGGAGCTTCCGAATCCAGGAGGGGGGTCCGGACCTCCTCGATGGGATTTAAGAAGGAGGATGCAGTTGGAGAAAAGGAGAAAGCACCCAGTCCCAAAACACCGGAACCCGTTCACTCAGCCCCTGAAGAAGAAAGCCATAGAGAGAGTGAAGTTCCCAAAGAAAAAATGGTGGATGAGCAGGGAGACATGGACCTCCAGATCAGCCCAGACAGGAAAACCTCCACTGACTTTTCTGATGTCATTAAGCAAGAATTGGAAGACAATGACAAATACCAGCAATTCCGGATGAGTGAAGGGACCGAAAAGGTGCAGCTTCACTTAGACCAGGTCCTCACTAGCCCTTTCAATACAACCTTTCCACTAGATTACATGAAGGATGAATTCCTTCCGGCTCTGTCTCTGCAGAGTGGTGCTTTGGATGCCAGTTCTGAAAGCCTAAAACAGGAAGGGATAGCAGGCTCTCCATGTGGCAGCCTGATGGAGGGGACCCCTCAGATTAGTTCAGAAGAGAGCTATAAGCATGAGGGCCTAGCAGAGACCCCTGAGACAAGCCCAGAGAGCCTTTCTTTCTCACCAAAGAAAAGTGAGGAGCAGATTGGGGAAACCCAGGAAACCAAGTTAGACACGCCCCCAGAAACACATTCAGGAGAAGAACATCACCCCACCAAAGACATTACTGATGGTTCTGAAGAGCAAGGTGCTGCAGTCACTGAGGGCTCAGAGCCCTCTACTGAGTGCTTTCAGAAGGTGACCACCCCAGACCCTTCCAAAGACATAAGCCCCCAACCAGAAGGCAGCAGCAGTGTATCGTTAGCAACAGAAACACCCAAGGCATTGACGGATGAAAGTCAGCTTACACTTGATAGTTCAGCTCACAAGACTCCAACTGATGGTGAGGCTCGGAAATCTCCAGATGAGACAAAGTCCTCACCTCTGACTGATGCATCTGTAAAGACAGACACAGGAATTGCATCGAAGCCTCAGGGAGGCATTAGAAGTCCCCAAGGGTTGGAACTTGCACTCCCTAGCCGTGACAGTGAGGTCCTCAGCCCAATGGCTGATGAATCATTAGCAGTCAGCCACAAAGACTCTCTGGAAGCCAGCCCTGTTCTGGAAGATAACTCCTCACACAAGACTCCCGATTCTCTGGAGCCAAGTCCTCTGAAAGAATCCCCCTGTCGGGACTCTCTCGAAAGCAGCCCCGTGGAACCAAAGATGAAGGCAGGAATTCTTCCAAGTCACTTTCCTCTTCCTTCAGCTGTCACCAAAACAGAACTCGTTACGGAAGTGGCCTCCATGAGGTCCCGGTTGCTCCGAGACCCCGACGGCAGTGCTGAAGATGACAGTCTTGAGCAGACGTCACTCATGGAGAGCTCAGGGAAGAGCCCTCTTTCTCCTGACACCCCCAGCTCTGAAGAAGTTAGCTATGAGGTCACACCCAAAGCTGCAGATACAAGTACACCCAAACCAGCTGTGATTCATGAATGTGCAGAGGAGGATGACTCAGAAAACGGGGAGAAAAAGAGGTTCACACCTGAAGAGGAAATGTTCAAAATGGTAACCAAAATTAAAATGTTTGATGAACTTGAACAAGAAGCCAAGCAGAAAAGGGACTACAAAAAAGAACCCAAACAAGAGGAATCTTCCTCATCCTCTGACCCAGATGCAGACTGCTCAGCAGATGTGGATGAACCAAAACAGGTGGATGAGCCAAAACAGGTGGGTGAGCCAAAACAGGTGGGTGAGCCAAAACAGATGGAGAACATGGCAGGTGAAAGCCATGTCCCCGTGTTGGTGACTTCTGAGAGCAGAAAGGCTTCTTCCTCTTCAGACAGTGAACCTGAATTGACGCAGCTGAAGAAAGGTGCTGACTCTGGCCTTTTACCAGAACCAGTTATTCGAGTGCAGCCTCCTTCCCCACTCCCATCCAGCATAGACTCCAATTCTAGTCCAGAAGAGGTGCAGTTCCAGCCTATAGTTTCCAAACAATATACTTTCAAGATGAATGAAGATACTCAGGAAGAGCCAGGTAACTCAGAAGAAGAAAAAGACTGTGAATCCCCTTTAGCTGAAGACAGTCACCCTTTTTCCACGGATGATGCAGATAGAACTTATGATGATCTAAGCAGAGACACTGATCAGCCAAAAGTCTGTGATGGCCATGGATGTGAGGCTGTGAGTCCTACCTGCTCAACCACCCCTATCTCTTCAGGTCTCCAGAATTCTGCTGGTGATGATGTCGATGAGCAGTTAGTCACCCACAAGGAATCATTCGCTCCCCAAGATACTCATGAAAATGACACAGGAGAAGAGCTTGATGCTCCTGCTGTGAAATCGCCACAGGGAGAATGCCCCAGTGAAAACTGTTCTTCTTTGTCCCCTCTGCCTCATTGTCCCGAATCTGAAGGAAAGGAATTAGATGATGATCTATCCTCCGCATCTTCCACAACAAAAGTGGAGGTCACAAAAACGGATGAAACATTGGAGAATATACCAAAGGACTGTTCTACTCAAGAGAACACTATTACCACTCAAACAGATAGGTTTCCCATGGACGTTCCAGTTTCCGACCTAGCTGAGACTGGTGAAATCTACGATCCACATGTCATAAGCCCTTATGAAAATGTTCCTACCCAATCTTTTTTCTCTAGTGAAGAAAGCAAAACCCAAACAGGCACAAGTCACACCTCAAGTGATTACTCTTCTGAAGTATACTCTGTGACTACATCCTCTGTTGAAGATGTATTAGTAACGAGCTCCTCTAGTACAACTGTTTCCAGCAAAGAATCTAATCTTGAGGGACAGAACCTAGAAATCGAATCTAGGCAAGAAAGTACCTTGTGGGAAATGCAATCAGATAGAGCCTCCTCTTTAGAGCCTGGTGTACCAAGTACACCAGCAGTCATTAGTGAACAAATAAGCAAAGTCATCATCACAAAAACTGATGTGGATTCTGATTCCTGGAGTGAAATTCGTGAAGATGATGAAGCCTTTGAAGCTCGAGTGAAAGAGGAAGAACAGAAGATATTTGGCCTGATGGTGGACAGACAATCTCAGGGTACTACCCCTGACACCACTCCTGCTAGGACCCCAACCGAAGAGGGGACCCCAACGAGTGAGCAAAATCCATTTCTCTTTCAGGAAGGAAAATTGTTTGAGATGACCCGAAGTGGGGCCATTGATATGACCAAAAGGTCCTATGCGGATGAAAGTTTTCACTTTTTCCAAATTGGGCAAGAATCTGGGGATGACACTCTCTCTGAAGACATGAAAGAAGGGGTCACTGGAGCTGAGCCCCAACAGCTGGAGTCAACAGCTGAGTCACTAGCACTTTCAGAATCAAAGGAAACGGTGGACGATGAAGGCGAATTACTTCCAGATGACTTGAGCGAGGAAGTAGAGGAAATATCTGCTTCAGATACTCACCTTAACTCCCAAATGGGAATTTCAGTTTGCATGGAACCATCCACAAAAGAGGCCATTGCTACAGGGGCTGAGGACCTCCCCACCATGCAAAGGGGTGATACACCTTCTCTGTCCAATGTGAAGCAGACACCTTGCTCTGACTCTCCAGAACCAGTTGTACAAGTTCAGTTAGATTTTTCCACAGTCACCAGGTCCGTATATTCAGATCGGGATGATGATTCCCCCGATTCTTCCCCGGAGGAACAGAAATCAGTGATCGAAATCCCAACTGCACCCATGGAGAATGTGCCTTCCACTGAAAGCAAATCCAAAATTCCTGTAAGGACTATCCCCACTTCAATCCCAGAGCCTCCATCTGTAGAGGATGAGAGTACGTTTTCTGAAGATGTTCTATCTAGTCTGGATGAGGAAAGTAAGGAGGAGGAAGCAAAACCAAAGTCCAAAATCCCCATCAAAGCACCCATCCAAAGAGTGGAGCAGTCGCTCTCACACCTAGGTGCATCTCTTCAGCAGTCAGTTGCTCCTCAGGGACAGGATGTGACAAGCAGAGCACCAGATAACAGAAGCCAATCMGAATCTGATGTTAGTCCAGAGGACTCAAAGACCAAATGCCCAGTGAAGGCCAGAAGTGATACTGAGACAGAAACAGAGAGCAGAGAGGGGGCAGAGGAGCTTGAGTTAGAATCAGAAGAAGGGGCCACAGGACCAAAGATATTTGCGTCCCGTTTGCCAGTTAAGAGCAGAAGCACCACATCATCCTGCAGGGGGGGCATGAGCCCCACAAAAGAAAGTAAGGAGCATTTCTTTGACCTTTACAGGAACTCCATAGAATTCTTTGAGGAGATTAGCGATGAGGCTTCCAAATTGGTGGATAGACTTACACAGTCAGAAAGGGAGCAGGAATTAGTTTCAGACGATGAAAGTAGTAGTGCCCTGGAAGTTTCAGTTATTGAAAATCTGCCACCTGTTGAGACCGAGCACTCAGTTCCTGAGGACATCTTTGACACAAGGCCCATTTGGGATGAGTCCATTGAGACTCTGATTGAACGCATCCCTGATGAAAATGGCCATGACCATGCTGAAGGTATTTGATAGCCACTGGGATTCCCTGTGCTACGCATGTCATAAATTTGATAGTTTTTTTTTTTATACCTTTGTTTTATTTGGTGATTTGTGTCTCATTTTCTTTAAGCTTTCTGTAGTGGTTAATGTGTTTGTGTAAGCCCTTTGTGTTTTGTGCTTTCTCTGTATACTCTTGTCTATGAAAACAATCTCAAGATTGAGTAATGAGAATGCTTATGGAAAACATAAACATATCCAGGCAATGAACTTGCCTTTCTTTATTTGCTGCACGTAAGGCCATGCAAGCTTTGAGTTTTGTTGTTCTGAAGTACCCAGGCTTAGCCTCGAATTAAGCACTTTTGCTATTGTGCATGAACATTTGGATTTTTGTTTCATGATATGAGGACTCACAACTGTTTTTTTTTCTTTGAATACTTCGCAATAATTTATACTTACAATTTTGTAATTATTAGGAAGCCATTTGCTCAAGAAGATTTCACATATCCAAAAATTCCAATTGTTGTGGATCTGTTTTTAATGCAGAAAGGTGGGATTTCAAATACATTGGTAAACACTTTAAGCAAACAAATATAAGGTAAAAATATGCTTTTCATTTACGTGGTAGATGAATGGAGAATGTACTCGGAAAAGATGCAGCAGACAACAAAAACTCAAACTTTGCACCATTTAAGTTGACTGTGAGGGAATGATGGCTCTTTGAATTGTAAAAATGGAAACCACAGATGGCTTTGAGAAGTAGCCTCTGGTCTTCCAATATCTCTACAATGAAGACTATTATTCTTAAATTTGGCTTATAAAAAATTTCATGGTACCATGGTCTAAAATGCTGCCCATCAATACATGGAATTTTAAAATAAATGGGAAAATTATAAATTAAGTAAGATATGAGCTTTCTTGATAGCAAGCAGGCAGAAATTTGTCCCAAAGACATATATGCATACCAATCCAACAAACACGAACAAATGCATTTTCTTTTTTCCTCTCCTCTTCCGAGGTCATAGGGACCAAGGTAAATGTTATTTCTGGCCACACTGGATAAATCAGGATGGTCTGAGCAAGCCATGACCAAGATCTCTTGCAAATTTATGATGAGATTTCTTTCAGCAAGACCTGGAAGTGGCTGATGCCTCCATGAATAATACTAGATGGTTCTAGCCAATTATTCTACTTCTGCATCCCATTTATGATTACTCTGGTGTTTCTTGAGTAAAGCAGATTGTCTTCTGGTGGGCAGTATTCACTCAGATAATTTAAAAGAAAAGTCCTAAAATGACTATAAATTGACAGTTTATAGAATTTTCCAGTAAGTAGTCTTGATTAAAGAGATATGGAAGCAGATGGTTTTCATGAATCATATTAGATTTATTCCCCATTTCACCCCAGATATCAGACAAACACACAACTTAATATGATCCAAATTGGAATAGGTAATATGTGCTATCAAATATTTGGACAAGTAACTTCCTTCCTTTGGATGGTCGGCACATCGTTGTTCCTCCCCTATCATAGACAACCTTTGGCCCTTCTGTCTTTGACCTTCTGTAGATCCACAGGATGAGCAGGAACGGATTGAGGAGAGGCTGGCTTACATTGCTGATCATCTTGGCTTCAGCTGGACAGGTAAAACCAGGGTGACCTTTTTATTTTTTTTCCTGCAGAAAGCCTGCTTAGTTTAAATGATACAGGTGCAGTAACTAAGTGAGAATGGTCTTTTCCTCCTCCTTTTTCTTGAGAAAGACCACATGAAATAGTGAAAAGAACAATAAACTATGAATTAAAAATCCAGCTTCTGTATTGGCAAGGCAGGTTTTTCTCTGAAATTTGGAATGACTTTAGATTTGAAGATCAAATGATTTTATATGATTTTCATAAAATTTAATTTGAGATTTAACTAGGGCTTCTTCTTTTAGATAGTTTGTGTCAGGTATCTTCAGAGTAAAGGCACTAAAATTTGTTTGGGGTGAATATTGCAACATATATGAATGAGATGTTTCAATAACTTTTTTGAAAAATGGAAATGTTTAAGTATAGAAATGGTATGTTAAATAATTTACTAAGAGAGTAAATTATTAAATCAGTGTGGTTTATTTAAAAATCATGATTCATAGATTTTAAAATGATATGCTTTCATCTACTTGTGATTTACTACATTATAGCAGAATTATATAGTTTGTTCCTTCATTCCTTTCTGCCTTCCTTCCATTCTTCCTAAAATCTGTTTTGATTTCCTTTTATGTCATTTGTGACTACTTCATTGAGACAAACAGTATAAAGTTAATATTCTTCTTTCAATTACTTAAAGATTTGCTAATGAATAGGATTGCTAATGAATAGGATTCCATGTGCTAATAATCGATCATTTAAAATAAATAACTGGAAATGGGAAATAGCATTGCCTCATTTTAAACCGTTTTAAAGTAATTTTAAATACTGATCAGCCTTATTTAATTGGAAAATTTAGAGGAAGGTATATGTTATCAAATTGTCCCTGATTGATTTATTAGATAGGTAACATTCAATTTTTTTGTTGTTTAAATAAATATGCATATGTTTGGTGAAAGTTCAAGCCTTTATATCATCATATAGAAAGATATAAAATGAAAAGTAAGTATGTCTCTCACACCTACTCCTGGTCTTCTAGCCCCAAGTCTCAACAGTAACTGTTAACACTTTCTCATGTTTTCAGAAAAAAAAAATACAATGCCTATATATATGCCTACCATTTAAAAGTTAGCAAAATTTTGTAAATTTTGCTTACTAATACTCCTTAGAAATTTTCCGGTAGCATACATGAGCAGCAGCATAGACATACCTGTTATATTTTTAAAATAGTTTTCTAATTCTATTGCATGGGCATCCATCATTTTATCAATAGCCTTTGTTAATGGAATTTAGGTTGTTCCCTCTTACTGGCAATAAATATTCTTGTATATTGGTATATTTTTAGGAGAATGCCTATAGAGTATGTCCTTAGAAGTAGAATTGTTGTGTCACAGATAATTTTTATTTTAAATGGTATTATCAAAATGATAATAGAAGCCATCCCTTGTGCACACACCACTACCACACACCCACACAGTCATGCAAAAGCACCCATATAGATGAATATGGTAGAATTTTAAGGAAAGCATTGTGGCTTTTTCCCTGGGAAAACTAATGCTTTCCATACCTGCTGAGGGCCATTATTATTCATATAACATGAAATCAAAGGAAGAATTTTATCCTACCCCTATAGTTTAGACAAAGCTATTTATATTTATATTAGACAAAGCTAGGTATTTATATCTAAGTACCCAGAAACAGGATTTATAGTACTTAAAATATCACCCAGGATGATTAAAAATGAGAAGTAGTCTATTTCTCCCGCTTTCCCGCATTTATTTTCTATTACTTTGGTAAGAGCATTAGTATTAATGGTCTCCTCTGCACTTTTGGAATCAAATGAACCTAAGTTATACACATTTTATTATCACTGCTTCATATCTGCTATTTCTACCATGGCAATGATCAATTTCATACCCAGTTTTAAGGAAAGACCCATAATCAGGAGTAGAAAAGCAAAGAAATATGAATCACTTCTACTGTGCAGAAATAAAAGAACCCAAATATAGCACCCACAAAAGCACATGTATAAAATCACAAAGCAAGGTATAGATATTCAAACTGTGAAGTCAGTGTGTTTACAAAGTAGTACCTTCTCCTCTAGAACTGGCAAGAGAATTGGATTTCACTGAAGAGCAAATTCATCAAATTCGAATTGAGAACCCCAACTCCCTTCAGGACCAGAGTCATGCACTGTTGAAGTACTGGCTGGAAAGGGATGGGAAACATGCTACTGGTAGGTACAGAATTCTAAGTAAAAACTATTAGGCTAAAAGTGGAAATCCTGGGGCTGGGGTTGTGGCTCAGTGGCCATCAACATTTAAAAAAAAAAAAAAAAAAAAGTGGAAATGCCTGTTCAACAACCCCATTCTTGCAAATTTGGTAAGACAATTAATTAACAAATACCATCCATTTGAAGTACTAACAATGAATGAGAACAAACTGTTGCCCTTTCTAAAACATGCATGTGGCATAAAATATCTTGCATTTCATTCCTGTGATTAATGGGAAATGACACCAGCACTAGCTGACAACAGGGATATTATTCAAGTCTTAAAATTATCCAAATATTGGTATGGGATATAGTTTATTTATTGTTTTATTAGTAGCATGCTCAGTTCCTGCTTCCTTTATTCCTAAATAACGTAAGTAGGGAGAAATATTAAGTACTTTTTTAATGTTATAATTCCTATGTGATATTCTGACCACATGGAGTAAAATGGGAGTGATATGGACCAGAGGTGCTTCTCATCCTTTAGCTGGGCTAAATTTGTCACTTCCTTTAATGTCTCCCTGCAGATCTACCTTGAGACCTCTATACATATCATTTCTTCTGTCTATATGCTTTTTAGTAGCACTGACATATTTAGCAAATAATAAAAGTAAATTTATTTAAATTTAAATTTCTGATAATTAGTTTACACTGAGTTGGTATAAATCCATCCCATGCAGTATTTTGGATAAACTTGTACCAAAAAAGTATTTTACCTGCAACTCAGATTGGACGGGGTGTCCCATATGTTATCGTCAACTCTACTTTTAGGGCTTGTGCCTAGGCTAAACCATCTTTTTTGTGTGCATGCCTCTCTGTTTGCTTTTTACCAAAGACACTTAATTAATCTTTGGCTGTTTCCTATGCAAATATCAGAAATGTAGTCAGAAATTAAATGAAAGAGATTTTAAAAAGAATAACCTCTCATRTACAATAAGTGGATTTTCTCTACTATCTTAGATACCAACCTCATTGAATGTCTTACCAAGATCAACCGAATGGATATTGTTCACCTCATGGAGACCAGCACAGAACCTCTCCAGGAGCGCATCAGTCATAGCTATGCAGAGATTGAGCAGACCATTACACTGGACCATAGTGAAGGTAAAACACTGTGTATGTTGGCGGTAGAGGTATTGGATTAGGTATTGGATCTACTCCTCTCTCTCTCTCTCTCTCTTCATTTTTTGTTGTTAATTTGTTCATAATTTGTTCTTTTTAGATATATTTATGATAGTAGAGTATATTTTGACATATGTACATGGAGTATAACTTATTCTAATTATGATCCCATTCTTGTGGCTGTACATGATATGGATTACAGTCATCCATTGATATATGAACATAAGGTTATGTCTGGTTCATTCTGCTGTCTTTCCTTTTAGAAGATAGACCACGGCCTTTGGGGATCATTCATTTCCTTGTTACTTCAACTTTGCTGCCTGTTTAACACCCCCCTCTCCAACACCTCATACACACTGTTCATTCTTTGTTTTTGTGCCATCATGGGTGACCCATTCAATTTACTTTCCTCGGTTCCTTGATGGCATTTTTGAAACTAGTCTTCCTCAGACACTAAATTCTATTCTCACAACCTAGAGTGTATCATGACCAATAACTGTTGTACTTCTGAGAAGCACACTACTTGAACCATTATACTTCACTTTTTCTTTCACCTCCACACCAACAATTCTTCAGACCCACTGGGACCTCCAGGCTTTGGCCCTACCGCCTTTTGAAAATTAAAGTTTCTTGAATTTATTGTCATTCCTTTGCCTGCTCAATCTCTTATCTCTATTTTATACCTTTTCTTCTTCCTTCAGACCTCCAATACTTCTCCTTATTTATTCCCAGCTGATACCCACACTTCAGATTTCTTAGAAAGATAGGTTATAGGAAAATGTCGGTATTTTTCCATCCCAAGATCCATCAAGAGGAGTGCATCATGACGCACATTATACCTTCTCTCCTCTTACAGTGGATTAAATTTCCTTGCTTTTCTAAAGCCACTATTTTTTTCTTTTGTCCTGGATTTGATTTCCTTTTACCCAACGAAGGACTTTACTCCTGCAAGTACTATTCTGCTCCCTGCAACTGGACTATGTCCAACTGCATTAAACCATGTTTTAACAGGTCTGTTCTTAAAAAAACAAAGCAAATGGGGCTGGAGCTGTGGCTTAGTGGTAGCGCACTTGCCTGGCTTGTGTGAGGCACTGGGTTTGGTTCTCAGCACCACATATAAATAAATAAAATAAAGGTCTATCAAAAACTAAGAAAAAATATTTTCAAAAAATCAAATAACTCCTTTCACCCTAGATTCCCCTCTATATTTCTCCATCCATTTTATAGGAAATTTCTTCAAAAGAGCAGTCTGATTTTCCTGTCTCTCCTTCTCTTCCCACTCTCTCACGAACTGTTTCTATAATCCACTCCAGACCAATTGTTTCTCATTGCAAAATTCAATGGGAAATTCTAAGTGTTCGATTACTTTATCCTTTAGTAACCTGTGCACAAATAATTAATTCCTTTTTGTTCTCTTTGCTGCTACCTGAGCACCTCCAGCATTCTGCTTCTTCAGGGTCCTGGTGCTTTCTGTCTCCTCCAACCTGGATCCACAGAACCTTTTCTCTCTCACTTTTCTTTGGGTCACTGCTCAGATATCACCTCCTAGGGGGAGTCTTTCCTGCCTCGTCTATCTAAAATAGCAGCCCTATTTGTTCTATTCTTTACCCTGGTTTGCTTTCTCCTAACATTTATCATATGTACAGATCTACAGAAATAGAAGTTCAGTAAGGGCAAAAGCAGCCTTTTCTGTCTTGTTAAAATCTGCAAGATTATCCAGCCTCTCCACAGCCCCCACTACATAGTTCATCTTCAATATACATTTGTTGAGCAAACAAATAAATAGGTGAATGTCATTCACTCCTCTGCTAAAACTTTTTCAATGACTCTTCATTGCCTTGAGTAGCATGAAATGCCTTAGCCTGGCATAAGACTCTACAAAAAAAAAAAAGACACCCTACTAACCACAGAGTGTTGTGGTGAGTATTAAACAAGTTAATACTTACAAAGCACTGAATTAATATTCAGAATGTATTAGTAATTTACTATTATTAATTCGTACTCTTTTTTCAGCTAGATTCTATGCCTTGACTACATGGTGAATGTCTATTTATCATAAGTATTTCAAACATTACCTCTTCTGTATTTCCTTTCCAACTTCTCAGATGCTGAGACGAGGATAGTGCTCCCATATTTAGTGACTGCCAGCTGTGGCCCTGTCACTCTGCATTTGAAATGACTTCTCCTCCCTTTATGTGATCAACCCCTTGATCTTATTCATCTTTCTAACCCATGGGCCTATCTCAGGACATGGCACATCATAGCTACTTAATAAATGCACATTTAGTATAAATGAGTTTTGATTAACCACTTAAATCATTCTCCCCATCAGGTTTCTCAGTACTTCAAGAGGAGCTCTCCGCTGCCCAGCATAAGCAGTCAGAGGAGCAAGCTCTTTCTAAAGAGAGCGAGTCCAGTGACCACCCTCCCATCGTCTCTGAGGAAGACATTTCTGTTGGTTATTCCACGTTTCAGGATTCCATCCCTAAAACTGAGGGAGACAGTGCAACAACAGTACTTTCTCCCCAAACACACAAGGAACAAGTTCAACAAGATTTCTCAGGGAAAATGCAAGACCTGCCTGAAGATAAGCAGGAATACTTGTGAGTTTCAAAAGCAAGTCTGCATGCCAATACCATGGGGGGGGGGGTGCAGTTTTAAACTATTGCCAGTCATACAGATTTTAATAATTTTAAAATATCCCTCACCTATAACAAATGACAGAGCTACATCAAAAGAAAAGAAAAGAAAAAAGAAACATTTAAAAGATTGTGACAGTGTGTGTGGGACAGACCTGTTTGAACTTCCAGTTCTGTGACAGTCCCTAAGTGTTTTGAGTCTCCATTTCCACATCTATAAGCCATGATAACAGTAGACACTTTACGTATTTCACAGAGAAAGGTCCAAGACATGCCTGTGAATGCATTGTTTGAACTGTAAACTTTTGTCTTGACAACACAGTCATCACTTGTACAGTGGCTGCACCTTGTCTGCTCCAGAATGTTTCCAGTCTGGCACTCATTGTGCCTTGACTGGTCTGGAGCACGAAGAGTGACAGCAGAGGTATGGCAGCATTTATAAAACTAAAAATACACACAAATGATTCACACAGGCCAAAAGACCATTGACACAAGGATGGGGTGAGAAGGGAAGTAAAAAGAGGTTTTCTAGAGAACTTCTGGCTAAGGAAGCTCCAGAGTACAGTGCAGCTCAGAACCTGAGCTCTGGGTTTTATGGAAACAAAGGAGAAACAGAGCTGCCTAAAAGACACTGCTGTCCAGAAAAAGAAAACTGATCATGAGAAAGACAAATGTGTCCCTAACTCTGAAATCTGAGAATAGTGTGTCACGAGGCAGCATTACAGCATTTCCTTTGTCATTATGTGAGTGTTGTTTGGTGGCCCTGGAATGTGAGAAGAGGGTAAAGTGGGTAATGAAGTGATCTCTCCTTCCAGTGAGCCACCCCTCCCATCTGCCTGTAGGGAAGAGCATAAAGTAGAGGTTAGGAAAAGATGGAAAGAAAAGAAAGTGCTATCAGAGAGGCTCTGGATATTTGACATCAATGCCCATAGGGCACAACAGAAATTATGCTAAGAAAAAGGGAGCAAAGAATTTTCATATTTCAAAATTGGAGATTATAAAAGGTTCATTGGAGTAACTCTAAACTGTCAGTAGAAAAAAAAGTTTCAGTGTCAACAGATCCCTCTGTTAGTAATATTTTTTTCAGAGGCCCTATAAAAATTTCCTTTTAGTTATGATAACTAGATTAACGTGGGGATTTATTTAATTCTTCCAGCGTTTCATTCTTACTTTAGAAGTATTATTTACAAAGCATTATTAGGTGAAGTTTCTCAAATCCTCAATATTACTGACTTATTGAAGAAAAAATAAAAGTTTAATTTATACTACTTTAGAGGTTAGAAAACTGTCATTCACTTTGGGATAATTTTTACCTTTGGAATACATCACTCTCCATCAATGCTACATCAGTGAGCCATAACTCTAGGCTATATCTTTATATATATATATAAAATTTAATTATTTTCTTGGCTAAATACACAAAACCCATCTTGGCTATCATGGGCTATGAATACTAGCTTCACCTTTTCTTCCAGTCCTCTTCCTCAAGCAGGGGAAATGTAAATGCCCCATATGTATTATTTGACTTTTTTGTTCCAGTGTGACCACCCCAGGTACAGAGGGGTCAGAGACTCACACGGCAGAGCCTGGCTCTCCCAGCAAGACTCCTGAGGAGATTAGTACCCCTCCTGAGGAGGAGAGGCAGTACCTTCAGACCCCAACGTCCAGTGAGCGGGGAGGCTCCCCCATTGTGCAAGAACCTGAAGAGCTCCCAGAGCCCAGGGAGGAGGGTTCCCCACGGAAGACCAGTCTGGTGATAGTGGAGTCTGCTGATGACCAGGCACAGACGGTGGAGAGACTCGATGGAGATGCAACTTTTGACAAGGCAAGACTTTCATTCCTCTCCGTTTTCTTGCCCATCTGTAACAAAGCTACAAACCTTCCTCCAGTTTCATTTCTCTGATGGTTTATTTTTTATTATTTCAAAACAAAAAAAAATTTTTTGCCAGATTAATTAACCTGAGCTTTGGGAAACCCTCAGTTCTTTTAAAGTCCGAGAAACAATGTATCTAGGAGAAATGGAATATCTGGTGGGTCTAGCTCCCAAAGCAAACTTTCTTCAGTGGAGGACAGATAATCTCCAAATTAGATTTTCTTAGATTTATTTTAGGACTAATTTAGCAAAAGAACATTTTGTCTAAATTTTGCTGTTTCTGAATGTCCAAATGGCTGACCGTGGCATGAGATTTTTCATAACACATCCTTTGTTATTAAATGAGGTATAAAGTTGTGAAGATAGGAGTGTACCATACTAAGAAATTTATTCTCAAAATGCGGCCTATATGGTTCACGTATTTCAGAATTAATTGGGGAACTTGATCTCCCCTTGGACCTCCTGAATCAGAAGGAACCCCAAGAAGTGAAGAGAGAGCAAATCTGCATTTTAAATAACTTCCCAGATGATGCTCGGGCACAAAGAAGTATGAGAATCTGTCTGAATTAAACTTAGTATAAAATAACTTAAATTAGATGTTGTTTTTTCCTTTTAGAAAGTAACAGATTTTAAAAGCATGTTATACTTAAAAGTATTTTTCATCATAGGCCTAGTAATAAAAGATTTGTTACATGAAAGAATTGAGATCTTTTGGGGGGAAAGGAAATACAATATCTTTGGATTCAAGATCTACATTTGTTTTAATTCACTATCAGGGTAACATCTGCTACTAGGATTTATCTAAAGTCATAACTAAAATTAGAAAAGATCCAGGCAGATGAGAACTGTGTCCTGATTTTGGCAGTTGTTTCAAAGAATGAATTCATTTCATGAATGGATTTTTATTCCAAGTTTGCTTTGCACAGAATTATTCATCTCAAGTTCTTGGCTTCAATGCATACTAGTAAAAATATTTCAAACATGTTCTCTGGGCTTAAAAATTACCAAATTTAGCCTGAAATTCCATAGGCAAATAAGATAAAGACTTAAAACTATTATTTGGATGAATTATGTACTTAATCGAATCTGTGCATATAAATAAGTTTTTATGTCATTTTGCATTCTACATACTGTATACAGGCCCGTTCCACTTATTCTTGATGGCTTCAAGTATCTCTCATCAACTTCATATGTTGACATTTACACTCTTATGGTCATAACTTGGGCATCCAATTTGGTTACTTTTCTTGTAGACTATATTTCTAGGCAGTGGGTTTCTAATTGTATTTCAAGTAAAATTTGGCTTGAAGATATATATTCTTCCTTAGCAGAGAAAAGTGTAGAGCTATAATCTGGGTATTTTAAAATATGTGGTGTGTGTGTGTGTGTGTGTGTATTTTTTTTTTTAAGGATTTTGCTAAGTTGCTTAAGGCCTGGCTAAGTTGCTGAGGCTGACCTTGAATTTACAAGCCTCCTGCCTTAGCCTCCCCAGTTGAAGGGATTATAGGCATGAATCTGGGGAATTTTCTCTTTTTTAAAAAAAACATCATTCCATTAGGAAAGAGTAACTTCATACATGACTCTTAAGACATATGTTCTTATTTAAAATTATGTTCTTAGCCTCAACTGGCTTTAGGTCAAACTCATTAAATCTGATTGTTCTCTTCATTCTTGACTTCTTTGAAAAATAATTGTTATTTGTAGCTTGCCTTTTTTGATACCAGGAAAGTACAYGACTGACTAGACAACAGGAAATTTTGGCTTCCTGCAAAAAGTTCTGCGACAAACACCAGCTATTCCTACATGTGTGGGTTACTCATCCCAAGTTTAAACCAAATGTCCGTGACACAACTTGGATCCTAGGTTTACACTCAGTTATTTATGTAAAAGAAGTCATGTGGGCAAGATTCATCTCTTCAGACAGATTTTTGAAAGATGGGTTTTCTGACAGTTCTCAGAATTACAGATTGTTTTCAATCATTGCCCCCCAAAATCTTTATTTTTGTTGAAGCCTGAGACTACCGCACATTTGCTTTTACCTCTGCTAACTTTTCTACCAAAGCCTCCATGAACAACATTCTCAGAATACAGTGGGAGTTAAAGGAGAAACCAGTAGGGAAGTCATTCCTTAGAATGTTAAAAAACAATGCTTCCATGCTTCCACCAGGAGCTAACAGAGGAATTAGGTGAGCTGGAGGCCAGCTCTGATGAGGAGGCGATGGTAACTACCAGGGTTGTCCGCCGGCGAGTCATTATTCAGGTACCAGTTGTTGAATTACTGCACGTCAGGGACGGTTCTGTCCTTGTACCCATAGAGAGTAACCCACCCAAAGCAATAAAAGCTCAGCATGCTCCATAGGTAATGCATGGCGACTTGAAAGCAGATCCCTTAACTTTCTTATTTCRTTTGTAAAGAAATGCGGTGTTAATGACATTTGCAGCCTACATCCAAGAGCGGGAGCAAGCAAGAGCAAGATCTGGCCTCTTCAGTTCCTTCCACCTCACCTCTTGCTTATCTGTGTTTGTTTTAAGTTTTACCTAACTTGGATCAGATTCTCCTAAGCATGTTATTACCCACCTGCTTCTGTTTTTGATTAATCAAACTATTTGACAGGAGTTTGCATCCCAGCAATGCTTTTCCACATTGCCTTTGGTTTTCCTAACATTCCTCATTTTAGCAACACTTGGAAGTAGTTCCTCAGAATTTTAGCCCAATGCTGAAATGACCCTTTTCTCCCAACTGTTTAGGGAGATGATATGCCTGACATCCCCCCAGAAACAGTCACAGAAGAAGAATATATTGATGAGCAGGGACACACCGTGGTGAAGAAGGTACTGTCGAGGGTCTCCTCACGTGGCTGTTTAAAAATCTCCTCAAATTTCCTGTTTCAAATCTCTCAGTATTGCTGTTCCTTAACTCAAAAATAAGATACACAAATGAAATATATTTCAGGTTACTAGGAAAATCATTAGGAGGTATGTATCCTCGGATGGCACAGAGAAAGAAGAGATTACGATGCAAGGGATGCCACAGGAACCTGTCACCATCCAGGAAGGCGATGGCTATTCCAAAGTCATAAAGCGTGTTGTATTGAAGAGTGACATCGAGCAGTCAGAGGTGAGGCCACACCATTCTTCAACACTCACAGAGAGGAGCACAGCAGAGCTCAAACAAGATGGAGGACATTGCTCATATTGGTCCCATTTCCTTTTATATGGCAGTCTGCTTATAGTTGCACATTCCTTTTTTTTTTCCCATGATTTGTATAATAGCCACGAAGAAGCTTGGCAGCCATTGTACTCATTGTCTTGTGTCTGATCCTTTTCATTTCTGTTGTCTTTTTAATTTATAGTTGAACAGAACAGAAATCTAAAAGTCAAGTTTTAAAAGAATAAAGTCCCTTTTGCTGGGCAAGGATGTTAGGAAGAGGCATTACATGCACCTAGGGTGCTAGTGTGTGACTGGGACACCAGCCTTCTGAAGGTCACTTTAGATAAATATTTGATCTTCCAACTTCTGCATTTCAGGGCCACTAAAAAGCAGGATCCAGAAACTCCTTGATTCATAGTTTTTTTTCTTTCTGTTTAACTTCCCAGTTTCAGGGACATGTTTACTCTCTTGGACATGTAATTTGTGAAATTCTCACTGTTTTACAATCCTTCATATCCTCAAAATGTCACTATGAGGTTATCTGGAAATCTACATGTCAGTTTCTCATGGTTTTTTGAGTTCCTCCTTTGGGGATTAACTTTATCTAAATGGGCCAGATGAAACCATTTGAACGTGAGAAAAGAGAGTTCATCCATAGATTGCTCTATCTACATTACACTATGTAACCAGTCTTGCTCACAAAACTGATTGATTAATTTTTATTCAAGTGATATTAAGTAGGGGCTATGGAGATTTAGCCATTAAACAGACATTGCCAGTTGATTATAGTTCACTTTTCCCAAGCTTCCTCCTCTTTTCCACATACTGTTTTCTAGCAGGCCAGCATATAATATTGGAGTTACTGTGCTTTGTTTCTTAGAACAGAAAAACTAATTATTTGTTACATTTTAGCAGTCAGAAAATGTATTTTGTGTGTCCTTCATTTCATTAGGTCACTTTGTCTGAACCCAGCATTTTGTCCAGTGCCTCACAATTTCAGGCTGAGCCAGTAGAAGGCCGTAGAGTGAGCAAAGTTATTAAAACAACTATGGTGCGTGGAGAAAGGATGGAGAAACATCTGGGRGATTCTAGTTTAGCCACTGATCTTCCTTCAGCCAAAGATGACTTTGAAGAGGTATTAGAAGCATCTTTTTGTCTTTCTTTTTACTTTTTTTTTTTGATGTGCATTTTACATTTACTTTGTGCTTCAAAAGAAAATTGCTTGTCATTGTGTCATTTCATGCACAAATTCATGGAAGGGAAGAATGCAGCATAATCAAGAAAGCAGATTTCCTGTTCGAATAACTCGTATGGTGAAGTGATGTTTCCTCAGCTTAATAGTGTTCATCCATGTCACCCTAAAAGCTTTTAAAAAAAATCTAGGTAACCAGGATGCACTTCTGCAAAATTAGAGTCAGAATCTAGAGCTGGAGCATGGTCATCTGTAGGTTGTATAAAGGTCTCAGAAATGTTCTGTACTCCTAATAAGGGAAAGAAATAAAGATGTTGCAAATTATCTTTGCTAGCTAATATTATCAACACTGCCAACGATAGACATTAAAAAATTTAGATATGTTTTATAATTGTTACTTTAAAAATCGTTTAAAGTTACTTATATTCTGATTTCAGCAATGAGGAAATAGGTCCACAGGGGCAGATCCACGGCAGTAAGCTAATTTGACTTTACATAAACTGCCTTAGAATTTGATATAACCCTTGGCATGAATTGACCTGAAGCTATTTTGACATGAAATCTACTTTCTTAGAGTCAAAATCCATATGTTTTTCTATTGGTAATCATTGGGTTTGATTATAGGATGCTATCTCCACCTCCTCTGAGTTGTTAGTTATATATAGTTTATATATCATGTTACCTTTCTAAAATCTCAATTCTGAAGCACATATGATGAAGGATCGGTTGGGCATGAACAAACACCCACAAGATATTTTTACTGTTGAAATACTTAGAAGTGAAATGCTGTGGGTATATCGTCGAATACACCTGCAACATATATTAAGATTACCTAGGAAGACATTTGTATACTAAAAACAAACCTTACTTAAATACTTTTAGTTTTTCACATTTAACAACTGGAATCCTAAGATGATAATTTTCGGATTATCCAAAGGTAAATTCTCTGAGTTATATCCTGGCCCTTGTTTCTGTGTTTGTCCCTGGTCATTATATTTATCCTCAGCATCTTTTCAGTAGGAAGGAATGGGGTGAAGGGAGGACATTAAGAGTCAGTCAATATGGGTAAGTTTCCTAAAGTAATATAAAAAAATCTTCTTCACAAATGAGAGAAATTTTCAGGGACTTGTTAAGTAAAACTCAATTAGATGTGCTGCTAGGAGTTGTTTCTACTTATCCTTTCATATGTATCTTTTCATACTATGAATTGCAAAGTGGTAGATCGATTGCAAAGTCTATGGTTTATGCTGAATTGTGTCTTATTCTCTTTTTCTTACCCCAGGCTTTGAGTTACACAGGTAGCCACATGAAAGTCCACTTTCCCAGTTTAGTAGAGAATGAAATCCTGAAAGAGGATGGATCAATAATTAAAAGGTTTGGGTTAGCATGGGGTGATGCTTTGCCAACTAACACCATAATTTTTTTTTTCAATTTTAACAAAAGAAGGGCAGAGCCCCTGTGTAACCCTAACCCCCACCCCCCACAGGAAGTGCCAACTCTCCTATATTATAAAGCTTTGGTCAGGTGGTACCTGCAGTGCACGCTGATGCTCTAAAGGTGATGTTGAGGCCTAGCGATGGTGAGGTGAGATATGTGCTCACACAGTCTGATGCTCTGGGTTTTAGCAAGTTGTCAAAGTCATTGAAGTCAGCCAGCTAGGTTTCCCATTGTGTTGATAGATTTGGAGAACACAGGACAGGGGAATCTCATCAATTGCACACACAGTAATTTTGTGTCCAGGTACCTGCTGCTCAATCTTAGTAAATCATTACTTTAAATGTGTTTTGTGTTTAACAAACTGTTCATGACTCTGCATGTGAGTGGCGAGTAACATGAGCATGAGTTTGATGCCCATGAACCTGAATGCACCTAGCGATGCTGAAACCAGAGGCTTTTGAAAGTGAAGAAAAAAATGCATGACTGTAGGAAGCCGCACTTCTTGCCTATATAGAATGAGGCTGGCTGTGAGGCGCTCTGGACTGCTGGTCTCTGTAAGGGATCTGATGCATAAACTTGGGTGCCATTGCTGTGGTCTACTTTCAGTTCTCTCTGGTCCTCTAGCAGCACAGTAAATATCTGTATTAAAGAAATGTTCTCASCCTCTCAGTGAAAAAAACACGATGGGAACCAAAGTTACTATTGTGCTTTGCACTTCATTGAAAAGAAGAGAAAGATTGTCATTTCTAGTACTCTACAAGGCTATTTTAAGCCTCTGGAACATAATAATTAGAACAGCAAAATTAAAGGTTCTGTCACAATGCTACTCTCCAACCAAATGTGAAAAACAGCAGCAGCTAGGAATTTAACAGAGTGTAATTGTTCTCTTAGAACTTTAAAAATGCTACAAGAATTCAGGACAAAATGCTTTTTATATTCTGAACTTTAAAGGCTTTTATCCATGTACTCAGATGAAACTATATAACCCTTGCCTGTCCTAACATCACAGGATCTTTAAATTGGAAAAGATTTGGAAACCAATTGGTTCAAAGTTCTCCATAATAGCTATTGAATTTGAAGTTGAGAATATAGAACTATTGAGTTCCCCCAGCCAGTCACTGAACTCTATTTGTGGTATGCAGCATTTAATCTTATTCATTACTGAAGCATCTTATTATATATCTGCATAGACCTGCAAAATACACAGAGGACCTCCCTTGCACCAATGYTATCAAAGCTCCTCCTAACTGTTGGCAGAAATCGTCAGATATTTGCCTTTTTTGGAGGAAAAAAGTAAATGGATGCTGAACAGAAAAACATGATCTGATTTATTCCCTTCCCTCCCCTCCCCTCCCTTCCTTCCTTCATTTTTGGTAGTCGGGATTGAACCCAGGAGTGCTTAACTGAGGCCACATCCCCAGCCCTTTTTAATATTTTATTTAGAGATAGGGTCTCTCTAAGTTACTGAGGGCCTTGCTAAGTTGCTGAGGCAACTGCCTTTGAACTCATGATTCTCGTTCTCAGCCTCCCCAAGCTGCTGGGATTATGGGCTTGCGCTACCATGCCCAGCCATAATGTGATTTCAATCATTTGAATAAGATTTGTCCATTTCATCAAGATTAACAAATTTTAGTTTGCCTTCAAATGCAAAGTTAGCCATGTAGTATCAAAGGAAAGGAGGGATGAGAAAAATTGAGAGAAGAGAGCAGGAAACAAGGATGTCTAAAAGAAAGCTGAAAGTATTTTAGATTGAAATAAGTCACCTTTAAAAAAAATCAGAATGATCTTAACAAATGCATAGAGAGGTGTTGGGAGGGGGCCATATCTCCTAGCTCCTGAACACTGGGGAGAAATGTAAGGAAAATGGTGGCTCAAGCTACAAGTTTGATCCTTTCTGACTCTGGTTCTAAGTGAAGATGTGTGGCACAGGAGTTAAGGACTCAGGCTGTGGAAACTTGGGCTCTCGTCTGCACTGCAAGTCTCCATGGCATGCTAAAACTGTTATTGTTAAATTTCGGGACATTGCTTAAATTCCCTAAGATTGAGTTTCCTTATTTATTGTAATAATTGTGCCTGGCACACAAAACACTTTCATCAAATATTTGTGGCATGAAAAATTGTATTTACAAGTACAGAGAGAAGAACAGAGAATGAACAAATTATGATACAATCATTTTCAGGCAGGGATACAGAAAAATAATAATATGAAATATAATGATAAGTAATAGTCTCTGTTCTCAAGTAATATCCAGTCTGATGGGGGAGGCAAGGAAGCAACAGACTGTTAATTGCAATAGGATGCACTAAAGAACAAAGTATATGGGGKTTTTTTCAGGGCAGAGGAAGTGTCTGTCTTTCATGTTTGTTTTTTCCCTTTTCCTCTCTCTCCCTCACTATCCCCGGATGAAGCTTCAGAGAGGCCCGTGTTGGTAGTTAACTTTCTTTTATATTAATAGGATACCATTTCACTTTTTTAACTATGTCACATAAAAAAGTTCTCTTACAGAATAATTTGGGGAAATTTGATGGGAATATGACCCTAAAGTTTAAGTTGGCATTTAAGGTGTTTTGAACAAATTGAACGAAAAACTCTTCTTCTTAAAAGTTGTTTGTGGAATTACGATTTCAGGACAAACTGGGCCCTTTTAGATGGATGTGAGTTAATCCAAACATGAGTGTTGTACAGTTTTCTTTTGAATCATAATGAAGCCTTGTTTCGTTTATTTGAAATACTTCTCCAAGATTTCAACAATACTCCTTGCCCCCCAAAACACTTTTCAAAGTCTCATGAATCGTTTCATATATGGTAGCCATATTTAAAAGAGACAAGAAGATACCGGTAGCTGTGATACTAATGGCTTGGTGTGGAATCATCGAGAAGTAATGTCATGGTTGGCTTCAGGCCATGTTAGCAATGAAGAAAGAGCGTAATTCTCTCCCTGTCTGCTTTCCTCTAGGACAACCATGAGTAAAGCCAGCACACAGAAGAGGGCTGTGGTGAAGGACCAGCATGGAAAACGCATAGACTTGGAGCACCTGGAGGATGTACCTGAAGCATTAGAGCAGGATGACCTCCAGCGCGACCTCCAGCAACTCCTTCGGCATTTCTGCAAGGAGGACTTGAAGCAAGAGGCCAAATGAGGGGCTGCCCAATTCTCATACCAGAAACCACACATTCACTCAATATGCAACTTCCCATTTCCTTAGAGGAGTGACCTATCTGGCCTAATTGATGGGATCCCCAGACATTTCCACTGTTAGCAAACATACAGCATTTTGTTTTAGTTTTCCCCCATCCTTTTCAACTATAAGCTAATTTGTGACCAAAGATGGCATCCTTCATTCTGGATGCTGTATCCACTACTTTGTGTGTCTGTGCTAACCTGGGAACTGGCCACCTCCATTGTTCTTGCTTCTGCCCAAGCTCCGTGAAAATCCACCGCTCAGAAGAACTTCACCTATAGACCTCTTCAAGTGACCACGCAGAGGAATCCTTCCGAGGGATATCCATGTACAATGTATATAGCTGAAATGCTCAGATGAACACCATATTAAAATTAAAACCACTGCCTATCATAACCACACTGGGCATCATGGAATAAAAGGCCTCTAGAAAACGAACAATGGTTAATTAAGATATTGCTAACACAATCGAATGATAATCCAGTTCTACTGCAAAAGAAGCACTTCAGACCTATCATGTCCTTAGAACTTGCAGAATAGCCATTGCTCCTAGGTAAAGATGGGTTAATAATCTTGAACTATGCTAAGAAGTTATGGCTGGTGCTGGCCAGCATACTTTGTGACTCTCCAACACCATACTGAGGGAGGGGAAGGAGGGAGCAAAAAGGTGAAGAGATTCAAACAATGAGGTATTCGGTTGCTAGAAGCTACATCCCGTGGCCTTCTAGCATCATCAGGTCTTGTAGATTTTGAACACGTTGGCAGGGTATTTTAAAAGCTATAACTACTGTAGTTTTCCAGTTTTCATTGCTGCTTTAGCAAACCACGCTGTCTTACTGGTGGTACTTTCTTCTGGCCACTGCACTGTAGATACTCCATTGGAAACAAGATTTACCCACTACACAAAAGATTAAAACTCCTTCACCATGTTGGAGTGGTTTCTTTTTTTTTTTTTTTTCATTTTTTTTCCTCCAGATTTATATCTTCTCTAATACCTGCATGTGGCATTGAAAAAAAATCAAAACCACAGTCAAAAACCCCTCTTCTAATCACATTAATGGTTTTTYGTTCCTTTTGCCCTGAGTGAGCACTTTCCATTGTCCAGCTAGGTCTGTTTTTCAGCTTGCAGACAAAATTGAGAAATCCTTTGAAAATTTGGTTTTGGTTAAAATTTTTCGGTTTATTTATTTGAAATCCAAACTCCCTTGGAAACTCTTAAGTGCATTTGTGCACTTTACTATTTGTTTGTTTCAAAGAAGGGACTGTAACAACCTGAGTGATTTCCATGTCCTCTTTCTTATTCCTCTAGTGGTTGAAGCTGTGTAGCATTTTAACATATATATATATTCACAAATATATTCATATAAACAGTATACATTTTGAATCAGTTATTTGTTAAAGAAAAGTATATTCAATGAAGATGAAATTTWAAAAAAGAGAAAAAAAAAAAGAGTCTATCCTCCAGGGATCGAGCTTTCTCCAATTCTATCTGGTCTTTTCCTGTTGTGCAAAAAAATGACTCATTGCTCCAAATGTCAAAAACAAATGCGACAAACAATGGCACTTCATCATTTATAGTACRTTGCCAAAAGAGAAAATTTCCTGGGAGGGAGGTTTCCCATAAGCCAAATCTCCTAAGCCTCAAATACTAGCACTTTTTGGCAGTTGGATAGGAAATACAAGCATTCTTTGGCAGCCAAAAGGAGAAAGGCCTGTGGCGAAACTTTTTGAGACACGCCATGGCCTTCTTGTCAAAAACCTTCACTGGAGCTCAAGAAAAGCATTTCTGTTGTGTTATTTGCAGTGCAGATGGTGTCTGTGTAACAACATAATGGTTAATCACCTTCTTTTGATTTTGATTTTTGCTGTGTTATCAAAAAACTTGAATACTGTGAGAAGAAGTGAATTTTCAGTTGATGAATCAGCATCTTGTTCCCATGGTGATAACACTAATTGAATATATCTATGAGGGCATGTATTAGTTAATGGAAAAAAAATACAACACTAACAATACATAGCTGCAATGTTGTACAATGGCTGATTTAATTAAATAAAATGTACAAGTGTTAAATGTGGCAACAGTGATTTGTTCTTCTTTATCAAAGACCTGTAGTTTCAGGAAAATGAGATTATTAAAGAGATAAGATAGGACTGAAGCCAACAGAAAGACACAAATTCCTGCTTTCTTCAGTTTTATATAGAAACTGAGTGTGTTATATGTGATAAATAGAAAGACTGGGATAAATAGAAAGACTCAGTCTTTGCCCTCCAGGAAATTTTATTGCTTTTGCTATGCAACAGAGAGAAGCAAGCATGTATGTTTAGTTTGGGGGTCACTAGTAAATAGAAAATGGGAATCTAGGGACTTGATGGAGGTGAGAATGTGGTAACCAGGTGTCAGCATCATAGCAAGTTTATAGGACAGAACCATTGGGTTCTTTTCCATAAGATCAAGGTTGTCACAAAACACCTGCCTCTGGGAACAGCTTTTAGCTTTGAACTTTTATTTCTCTTTTATTGCCAAAGAATTGAAAATTAAATGAATATACTAATATAAGTAAAGACAAGACCAGAATTGGCAAAATCAAAATCAGTTKTGTTTGGAGTGTCTGGTTTTGTTATGCTTTTTTGAAAGATCTCTTTAACGCCAGAGACACAGTTTAGGAATTGAGTAGGTTTGGTTTAAATCTTATCTAATATGTGATATGAAGCTTACTGAATCTGTTTAATCAACCTGGTTGACTAATACATTCTTCTGAAATTAAAATACCTATTAGTACTGAAATATATTTCAAAGAAAATACAAAGTTCAAAAATTTTTCCAAAATGGGAGTTGCTGTACTCCTCATTTGCTTAGTATTTTGCACTTTCTACTTATAGGAACTCTCATATTGCCTTGGGTTTGATGAAGGCAATCAAAAAAAAATATCAGAGAATAAACCATGTCTTCTCATGTTGAATTATTTGCTGTGCAAACCCTATTTCTTTAAATGAGCCTCGGTGACTCAGATGCCCTTTTACAGAAATAAATTTAAAAGTGGGATGGGGCAAACGCTCCAGCCTGAGGAAAGATTATGCATAACTCATAAATGACTTGCATTAGTCAGAGAGAGGTGTAAATTACACACAAGCACATGGATACAGGCTTGAATTTGAAATCAGGCTGCTTGTGAAGTCGTTCACTTTATGTCAGCGTAGAGTATCTTGGGTGTGGGTAAGTGGGCAGGCACAAGAATAAACCARATAAAGAGAAGCTAAATATATATTTAATGAGAACCAAAATCACTGCACATTTTTCTTGAATCATGGAATAAAGATGATCTTCTTGCTTTCATTATGCTTAAAGGAAAAGAAATTGAAAGGCTTTGTGTTCATTCACCACTTCCACTTAAAACCTACACACTCCTTCCCTCCGTTAAGGAATGATTTRTTTCTTATCTAATTGAAGCTAGAAATACAAGCTTAGAATGAACCAGTAAATATGTACTACCACTCCGTCTCACCATGATACTAGAACATTTAAGAATATCTTTTAAATTGCTGAGAAAGAAAACAAAACTTCTTTTCTACCTCCTGCACACAAATTAAAATCTTCCTGTTTGGTTGTACTCAGACTTTCTGGGAGGAAAAAAAAAAATACTCTCTGGTTTTAAATTAGCTCCACAACATGGAATAAATGGTATATGAGAATACATTTTGGGAAGAGCTGTTAGATATGACGGACAGACACATTTGACAGTGGTATTTGCAGTAATTCAATAGATCCAATGGAGTTCCATCATTAGAAATATTCAATGGATAAGTTCTTGAATGATTTCAGGGAGGAAATATGACCACCGGGTAAATATGTTGATTTTTAGAGCAAAGCCTGGGTGGGAATCAGTCCAGCTATGTTCATACTTATGGGGTGACTTTGGGAAAGTCACTCCAGATAGATACTTTCCTCATCGGGAAAAGATGGTAATAATTGCTTCAGATGGGTATCCCTGTGCCTGATGCAGGTGAGGGTGGCAAGCCCTGCTCTATGTGTCACCCTTTAAAATAAAAGTGCCATGGCAGCTAATGTGTCCTTGGTGTTCATTTGTGATCCTATTTGTGATCATCTACCTCTCAGTGAAGGAGTGAGCTCAGGGTAGGTGTTGGAGGCCATAAGTTAGTCCTCTAGGTTAGAAAACTTAGTTAAGTGCTTCCTGCTAGGGAAGAGCAGGAACATGGTCAATTAAGCCCTTTTGTCCTCTCCCTATTCTGAGGTAGGGTGCCTCAGGAGCTCTTGGTCAATAGGTCGTTAGAATTCAGTTCTGGTTTCTGTTCCTGTTTCAAACTTCCCCTCCCCCCTCTCCCATGCTCTATTTTGGGTTTTGTTTTTAATTTTTTTTTTCTCAAAACTGACTGCAGAATTGGATGGAGCCGCCAGACTCCCTTACTGAGTGACTGTTCCCCACCAGGAACAGGTCCAGCAGAGAGGCAACCGAGAAGAGCTGTCAGGGCCTGGGCTTGGCTGAAGGTGGGTGTGAACACAACAGCTGTCTTTGTAGATATGCAGGAACAACTGAACACAAGGTCAGCATGGCCGACACATTGTGCCTGTTTCTCCCGGGTGTGGATCAGAGCCCAGTAGTGGGGTAGAGAATTTACATAGTGTTTGTAGAGCCACAACTTCTGCACAAGAAAGTCAGCATGGATTTTCAAGTCACTCAAATATAGAAAACCTTAGAGAACCCACCAACAACAACAACCACCCTACTTTCTCAATCCTAGGAATCAAGAAGGACCATGTGGAGGTCTGTAGTTCCAAAAGTCCAGTTAATATTTAGAATGGTATAGTAGTCTCCTGGGACTGCCATCCAAAAATGTCATAGTCTGCATGACTTAACATCAATTTATATTCTCACAGTTCTGGAAGAGAAACATCGAAACATCCAAGGTCAAGATTTGGCAGGGTTGGTTTCTTCTGACCCAAGCTCTCTGGCTGGCAGATGGCAACCTTCCCACTGTGTCCTCACAGGCTCTGGCACACACATCCTCTGGCCTTTGTGTGTCCAAATTTCCTCTTCTTATAAGGTCACCAGAGAAATTGGATTAGGACTCTCCCTTGTGGTCTTATTTAATTGAATCACCTCTTTAAAGATCCTATCTCTAGACAGTCACATTCTAAGGTAGTGGATATTAGGACTGCCACCTAGGAAACTGAACACGTGGGGGCCCAATTCGGCTCATAACAATTAGGTTTTGTCCAAAAACAAAGGCCTTTTTGCAGGAAGGGATTTAATGCAAGGAATCAGAAACTTACATCAATGCTGGAAGGGTTAAAAGAATGAAGGCAAGGAAGCTGCTGCTGCTTTGAAAAAAATCAGTAGTGCAGGGACCAGAAATCCAAGCTGCCACCTATGGGCTCAGCTTCGTAGCACATGGTGAAGAGAGAGACAGACAGACAAACAGACAGACATCTTTATTGCAAGGAATTGGCTCATATGATTATGATTAGGGAGGATGAAAAGTCCCATGATTCACTGTCAGCAAGAGAGAGACTGAGGAAGGTGTTATCTAGTCCAAAGACGCCTTGAGGCCTGAGAAGAGCTGATGTTCAGTTTGAGTCTGAAGGCAGGAAAAACCCAAATCCCAGCTCAAAGCAGGAGTTACCTCTCACTTGCAAGACAGCCAGTCTTTTTGTTCTACTCAGGGCCTCAACTGATTGGATGAGGCCCACCCACACTGGGAAGGGGGATCTTCATGACTCGGTATACCCATTTCAATGTGAATCTCATCCAGGAACACCCTCACCAACACACGCAAAATAGTGTGTGACCAAAAATCAGACACCCCATGGCCCAGTCAAGCTGACACATAAAATCAACCTCCATGAATGCTTTTCCTCTCCCTATCTGTAACATTACCTGTATTCACCCGAATACATATTTTTTCCACAGAGTGCTCTCTTGCTTCCCTGTCCTTGCTGTGGTCTGAATTTTTGTGTCCCTACCCTTCAAAGTCCCATGTTGAAATATCTCCCACCCATGCATTAGGAGGTGGGGCCTTTGGAAAGAGATTAAATCACCTAAGTGGACCCCCTCATGTGATGAGTGCCCTTATAAAATTCCCCCACAGAGCTAGCTGTATCCCTTCTGCCACACAAGGACACAGTGAGGAGATACCATCTGTGAACCAGAGGCAAGTCCTCACCAGACACCAAATCATCAGCATCTTGATCTTGGAATTTTTTTCGCCTCTAGAACTAAGAGATAAACATCTGTTGTTTACAAGCAGCCCAGCCCACGGTGTCATAGCAGCCCTAGGACCCAGACAGCGTGGCTCTCACCTCTGCATCCTCTGTAGCCTTGTTCTGCAAGTGGCACCCTTACGTTAATGTCCTCCATTGGCTTCTCCCAGCCTGGTTTCCCAGCTTATCGCTTCTCAATCCTTCCACAGTTTGATTTCCAAAAACTCCTAAAAATTAAACATATTAGAAGCTATGGGATATGGCTAAGCAGGGGCCAGAGAAAAACTAAATGCATTAAAATCAGGTGATAGCTTATCTGCCGAAAGTGGCCAGAGAGGAAAACAGTGCACGAATTGTCATGGAAAAGAAGGAACAGGGCCCCAGGCAAAGTGAAGAGACCAGGCAACATGCTATGGATGTGGAGGTGCATAGAAGCCTTCAGAATTAACAGATTAATTAAGGAGAAAAAAATGTAAAAATATAGCCAAGACCTCTCTTTTGAAGTACTAATACAATTACCACTAACAAAATCAAGAGATTTTAAAAG